TATACTGACGAAAGGAAATAAAGATACCTTAGTGGCTTTTAAGCTGTCGGTGTGCGTAGCCGACACGGTCATTAGTCTCCTTCGCGCTAGCGGAAAGAACATACGTGAACGTGCAAGCACGTTTTATTCGTATGCTGTAATATTGTGTAGCTGCAACGATCAAAATACGAAACTCGAAATGGAAGTCGCAGATCAATGGCGAAGGCAGTGGGCTGGGACTGCTGAATTTGGGAAGGTGAGGGCATCAACCGACACTAGTAAGTTACTAGCTTTTACAACAACATTGAAAAGACGGCTAGGATAACACGACAGGACACCTTAGTGGTAGTGTATGTACTACATTAAGCTTGAATAACGTATGCATGTATAAGATGAATGAATTTCAAGTAATTTTGCATCTATAATAAACCTTTGCATAAGACTTACTCGCTTAGTATAATATTCCTTTCACAGGATTGTTTTATCTACTTTTAATTCCAACTTATACATGGTAGAGATAATCTTAAAATAGAGATTAAATTAGTAAACTAACCTAACATATATACAATCGTCATCGCCGAAAGCGTAAAGTTGCTTTTCCATATAAAGTGCAAAACCTGAATGACGTGACCGCCCGAGCAAGTTCGATTTTTTATTACACAAAAATGAATCATTGTGTTAATATAAATTATAAAGTTCAATGCTTACAGTATTTATTTAACCGGTTATTTCTTTGTGTTCATTGAGATCTTATAATTATATTTACAATTAGCTACTTGTTGACAAGACCTAAAAAATTCTAACAGTGTAACGAGAACTTGTTGACTTAAATTATATTACATGAAGTCTACATTGTCTGCATAAACCCATAGGCAATGTCATAAAAATGAGCAGCGGCGTAATGTAAAAAGTTTGCCTGTTTTTTTGTCCATTACGTCTGCCCCAGTGCCTAAGAATAGATCCTTAGCATATCCAGAGGCTATTTATTAGTACCAAATATTAATGGTACGATTTTTATATAGTCAATTGCAAAGATGAAGTTAAGGTTACGTTACAGTACTTATAAAAGGTGAAAACTTAAACTCAGGAGTCAGGATTCTTTCATGAATAAATACTTTAGCTAAAACTTACAAAGCCTAAGGTCAAATAACTGGGCAAACTAAGTAGGTAGGTACAACCTTGTCGGCTGTCGCTATCTTTTAGGAACTCCACCTACTTGTACATTTCATTGTTTTATTACCTATACTTAATATATGTATAGGTATTACATATCTATTTAAATAGCTTAAACGTTTATTTAGAAAAAATAATGATTAACTTTAATATACATTAATATTTTTGCGTACAATTTTAAAAAAGACTTTGATTTCTGGTAAAGCACGATTTTTAAAGCGAGCGAAAACGATTTTTTTTAGATTAATTAACACTAAAGATTTCCGTAAGAAATTACCAAAATCTCCCTTTGGCTAGGAGAATTCAAACAAAAACTGATATGATACAGTATTTGTATTTATCTCTATGTAACCTAACTCTATTGAACTTAATTGTAATTTAAGTGTATGTTGGTTTTAATCAACCGCATGCAAACCACAGTTCTATTTGAAACAACCGGGTTGGGGTTGGGGGGGGGGTTGGAACTTGAGATTGATCCTATATTTCTATTTTGGTTTTGTACACTTCCTAAATACCTATTACAATTTCATATACGAAATATTTCTTACCGGGGCAGTATTGGCCAGTGTCAGTAGATGATGCAGAAGTTATTTTAAGGTTTCATTTTCTCATACTAAATATACGCGTACTTGCACTCACGAAACAAAGTCTAGTGTTCGAAGATTTTGATTAACAACATCCATAAACAATTTAAACCAATAATAATTTAAAATATAGAGAAGAAATCAACTAATTTATTTTTCAAAATATTCGGCCCTCTTCGACAGGAGAAAACTCTGGGGGGTTAAAAAAGGGCCCGGGACCCCAAAAAAAAAAGAGGAAAAAAAGGGGGGGGGCAAGAATATAACGGTATTCCCAAGTGTTCATATATTTTTCCGCAATAAAAAGCTGATGCTTTCTCAAACTACACTTTAACAGTGCCAAATATTCCGATCGTTTAATATTAGTTTACTTTCTATACATACTTTGTAACTCACATAGTGTCTTACGGGACTTTACACATCATACACCTTAGATTAACAGTTAGGTAAGTAATAATATAGAGAAAGCATCTTAGAACAAATGACGATGTTCCGCTGATTTCCTTTGCCATTTCCTATATTCAAACATTTTCTCACGTTCGTAATTCACTCATTAATATTGATAAATCTCAAAAACTGAATTTCCTTAGTTTTTGCACACGTTGACGTTTCTTTTACACTTTTTAAGGCCAACGGGGAATGGATTTAATGCCTTTTCTTCAACCGGTTTGTCAAACAAAAGCCTCCAAAATAATTGTTCGGATTTGATTGTTAACAGCCGTACTCAGTGTGTTACATGGAGATTTTGATTAAAGTTCAGCGATGAAATTGGGCATACTATTTTGTTGCTAGTTGCGTCGTTCTTTAGATATAATTAATATACCATTAGATATATTTTATTGGACGAAGCTAGATAGGTATAGCAAGCGTAGGCTGTTTTTTAATTCAACGCAGTGAAGCACCCACTGATATTATTAATATCAAAACTTCGATTTTTGTTTCTAAAATGCTAAATAAATAATGCGGCTAGGTTGGTGATCAAAAGTTTGACTTATTACTGATAACATTTTTTGGTGACCTCAGAAATATAAATTTTTGTTAGTTTTTAAAATTGTTGATTAGGAATCGAAAGATTATTATCGAGTTGGTATGTAATTGAGGTGCTTAACTACATATTACTATTGTTTATTCTGTGATGCCTCTCCGGAAATCCTGCGCTAAGGCCGCTACGAGGTTACAGCAGCTCATGTGGAGCGAAGATACACAGACAACTTTAAAGTATTCCTAAAATTACATATAACAATTTAAAAAAAAAAAAAGTAAAGTAAAATTGCTGAAAATAAAAGTACAGAATTTGATATCTATGCTACAAATTATAAACGTTTAGTTAACTACTATTGACTTCAGGATTTCGATGTAAACTAGAAAAATTTGTTTCGCTTGCAATCGGAACCAAGACACTTAGTTAATGTACGTCATAAACTTCAACTATTGAGTTAAGAATATGTACTGAGTTGAATTTCCATTCTATTACCATAATGATTCGAATTAAATACTGCGCAGTATAAATAGTATGACTAAATAGCTTCCACTAAATACAGATGAATCAGATTACCGGGGTTTCCTAAACTGATTCGATTTTTTAAATTCAACAATCGTGGATTTCTCAGATTTGATCAAACATTTTCCTCGTAAAATTACGACGTAACGTGTGACGTAAAGAATTATAATTAAATCGTAGTTTTCATTAAAATTTTCATTCCAAATTTGAAGTATACGTTTGCGATACGTCATAGTAGGTTTTTTCTATCTTGGTTATTCCAATTGAGTTAAACTTTACTAGAGAGCAGATGTGAGACAAATATTCGTCAACAAATAGTCCATTGATTGATTAGTGAGTTAGTAACAATAGTTTCTTAAGATCTATGTTAGAGAATTAGTAAAAATAAGGAAAAAGTAGTTAAATAAAAAAATAAAAAGAAACTATCAGGTACAAAGCCCTGCGGGATGTCGGAGCAGTGTCGTAAATAGGGGCACTCCATTCTTTCGACTATCATCCGTAAGATGTTATTGTATACAATGCTGTCTTTATAGTTTAGTTATAATGCGATGTAAATTTACGAAAAAATATTGCTTTAAATTTAAAAAATCTTTTGACAGTCATACATTTGAATATATGTTCCATCAGTGCCTCGCCGATACTGTTATTTACCCATATAATATCTAACCTGGCCTAAGACCTATATAACATAGAAATAGTCAAATCTATTAAGAATTTGTCAGAAATACTTTTTCACGTAATGCATAAAGCATTATTTTACGGAATGCTTATTATATTTGAATTTTGATTGATGTACCTACATAAGATTTTAGCGCCAGTGTCAATGACATTTAATGACAATTTTCTTAATCTGTCCCCACTCCTCGCCCACAATATTACCATAATTTATTTCACACCTTGTTAATAAACTTATTTGAACGAATGATTATACCGTTACCGATTTTGTCTATGCCTGCTTATTCTGACAGTTGATAAATTAACTTTACCCATTTCCCCGTTATGGTATTATATTATATTAACCTCACCTTGATTCATATTGAAGCCATTCGAAAATATAACAAGATCACGTAAATATAAAAGTTTTCACTATACGTATAATTAATATTGTATTACTTTCTTAATAAAACTGGTTTCTATCCAGTTTCGCGTAAACGAAAGTTGATAAGAATTACAAGTTTCTTACCGCCCGTGAATTCGTCTTAATAGAAAAGTCCCTTTTTTCTAAACCAATACGCTAACTGCATTTAAACGCGTTTAACTATCGTACTCTGCCTATATAGTACACAGAGCAAGCTATATTTTTCACTGCTGAAGAGCAAATTCGAGCAAAATCTAATTTCATTTAAATTAGAAATTATTCCTGAATATTTTATAACAGAAGATTGTTTTTATCGACTTACAAATTAGTAAATGTTTCATACGAGAGTAAATTGTACAGAATACAGGAGTCGGGAATAGAAAATATGTGTAGACATTGTTAATCATTGTTTAAAAAACTATTTTATAAACTAAAAAAATCTTATAAGATAAAGTGACGAAAGTGTTTCCTATTAGCATGTTAGCCTGCTAACTATTACCCTGGTAATAATCCTTAAAATTTGTCATTACTTAAGAGTACTACGAGAGATGGAGATTACTTTCTGTAGACATATTCAACATTACGAAACTTGCGTACTTGTTGACCAAATTCTGTGGACTAAACTCTAACACATAAGAATGTGGCTACGTCCATTTCCTTTTAAAGAAAAAGTAACTTATTTGCAATATATTCATTAAAACTGCTTTAGCGTTTGAGAGCCTTTACGTTTTTATATGAGTCACGGGTGGTAAACACTTCCGCAAAATATTTTTTAATACAAAATCCTAAAGTTCAATTGGAATTTAAAGACCCCACGTCTTAGATAACTAATACCTTACATCACCTCCACAAGGTCAAATCTAGAAAGTTAACTAGACACAGACTAGCTTACGTCATAATTAGCTTTTAATGGTTTAACTTAAACAGATGTTTACAATTCGCTCTAAATATATCAGAATGTCATGGTGAAAAATGTTTCAAATCGTGTGTCAGGTATTTTCACTGTCTAATCAATAAAGAAAAAAAGGTGTATTTGTATAGGAGTGTTAGTGGCTTAGGCGTGCGACCCTCGTCCCTGAGTTGGGGTGTTCGAAGCACAAGCAAATTCCTTTGGTGCACACCAAAGGAATTTTCTTTCTTTGTGCGGAAGTAGCAATTGCTCCTACGGTAAAGGCAAACATCGTGAGGAAAAGCAAAAAATCGTTAACATGTGTCAGACACAGAGGGCCGATCACCTATTTGTCTATTAAATAAAACTGATAAAAGAAAATCGATGAATTCTGAGGCATAGACTCATATTGGAGTGTAGCGCTACTGAATTATTATTATTTATGGATTTGTTATACTTTTATAATGTCCTGTGGTATTTGCAGGTAACTGAAGGCGGTGTGACGCGTCGAGTCGCACGCGCAATGGAAGTGTTGCACGCTAGCGCCCCAGGTGCTAAAGTTCGTGTAATGAGAGCGGCGTACCATTCCTCCTCTGGTCCTGGCGCACCAAGCTCTTCCTATTTGATGCATTCTTCAAGACGAGTAAATATTTGATTTCTATGTTTTTATCGCTTTTATAGCTTAGCTTAACGTAGTTCACAGAAAACGCATCAATTTAAGACTGTAATCCTACGTACGTGTATAGAAAACATGCATAGAAAAGTATGTGGTCAAGAGATATAAAAACACAGATCATTGACATGTCTTATATGTTATATAAATAAAAATATGTTTTAGGTCATATCATCAGGATATCTTCCAGAACAATCTCCGGCATTACCATCAAAACCATTAGAAATATCGTCACTACCGTTAGAATCATCTCCTGAAGTTGACAGTGAGAAATTGAATTATAAAGTTACTGAACCTGATGACATTGAAATATCAGAGCCGTCAAAATGGAGAATCACAACGGGGAAGTCTTCAATTAGAATGCCCAGTGAGGAATCTTCGTCAACCGATAACGCCAGTATCATTGATTTAGACTCGAGAAATAGCAGTAGAAACACCACTAGAAGCTTTCGAAACAGCGAAAGCAATGAAGATAGTATCAAAAATATACATGTCAGAAATCATCGGGTATCACCTTTATTAGACGCTCCTGTAAGTCTTAGTACTTTAAAATATACATCTCTTCTAAACGGCAGTGATGAATGGAATAACAGACGTAAGAGTTATAGTTTCGAAGACACCACAACGTTAAATAGCAAAAGTGGTGATACGTTAAATATTATGGATTCTTCTACTGATAGTGGGATTTGTAAGTCAACAGAAATTGTAAGCGATTACAATACACATCATTTTGAAAATATGTCGATGCGACGTAGTAAAGAGAGGTTATCTGATTTGCCTGAGGAATCATTTCAAGAGTGGTTGTGGAAAAATAGACCAACATCAACATTTAAACCAACGCGAATTAGTCCATTAAAAGAGCATCACGAAAAATATTTAACAGACGATAACAATATAATTTCACTACAATCTAAAGGAAAAGTTACCATAACATTGCCAGTTACAGTTGAAGATGATGATCCTTCTTCAATGTTGACTTCAGACGATAACGATAAAAGAACAAAAAGGGTTGGATTTTGTAAAACAGAATTACATTTTGCAGCGGAGTCTGGAACTGTCAACATAATTGCTACTGACGAGAAACCACCGCCTTCTAATGACTTTAGGAGAAAGAAAAGTGTTTTTGCGCCATATACAAGTAAAGTTGACAAATCAATAACACTTTTTGGAGAAAAGTCTAGTTTTCGAGATGTGCCCATTAGTATAGATAAACAGGAATGTGCTGACCTAGATGATAATATAGCAGCTACAAAAAGTATTCTTAAGAACAGAATTCCGAAACCCAGACCATATCTTTTAGGAGAAAATATGGCACTTGGGGATTCAACGGAAGACAAATATACAGAAAATAGTACGTTTCCGACAGCTGTAACTTTAATAAATAGGCAGTTTGATATTGAACAGAAGCAGACTAAGTTTTATAGTAATAGAGCTACGGATGAAGAAACGTATAGTAATCATTTGAGGACACCAAGTATAGGTAAGAAAATTATTTAAATATATTTTTATTATTTTAATACATAAATAGAATAGAATAAATTGCTGAACCATCAATTTGGATTCTGAAAGAGTTACAGTCGATTATTTTTCTCGCTCTTCTTGGTAGAGGATAGACTTTCAAATTATTGCGAACAAAATTACGATCTAAAATATTTATGTTTGTGAATTTTATGTCAAAAATCTTGAATTAAACAGTAACACTCATTAACACCAATAGCGTTCGAATTCTTCGCGATTTCAACAAATTGAACACAGCGTATCCAGAGCTGGATATATTCGGTAGTGGGCTGATCGGTTTTAGAGAAAGCATTGTGGGTTGCCTTTCTCAAACCTAATTTCGCTGTTTTGATGATAATTTTTCTTTTTTTTCTGCTCTAAGTGCCAACAAATTTCTGTATTTTTTTATTGTGTGCTTTTACTATCGTATATGTTTTAATTGTAATTTTTATTTCTATTTAATTATTTCTTTTTTGTGAAACTTATGCTTACATTAATTGTCACACATTTTAGATGCGAGATTTTTTGTAAAATAATTAGTAATTTTAGTACTGTGTGTGATGTTATAAGCTTATTAACTAAATAAATAAATAAATAAATAGCGAAACAAACGCAGTTACTTTGAAATATAATTTGTCATGTTGATCTTTATCAGGTCCTCAAAAACATATTCAGTCATTAAATGGCAAAAACACTGCAGAAACTATAAAATCAATGAATGCAAGTAACCGTGAAGAACATGAACACAAATCTACCTCACTAGCTCCCACTGGTGGTAAATTTAAAACTCGCCAACTTCGAGACAGCGATCTCACCTTCTTTGGCATTCAAAACAATAGAAACAACGAAGAAATACAAACACTCGATAACCTACAAGAAGAAATTCTTCATTCAGTCAAATTAGTACAAAAAATATCGAACAGTGTTTGCAATAGCGAAGCAGAGTCAGATGATACTCCTGAGTATCAAAATATTTCTAATATTAAATATCGTCCAGTTCCTACACCAAAACCAAGAACAAAATACATAGAAGTATCAGAGGACAATCGAAATAAATTGTTAAAACCCATATCAGAAGCAGATAGCGATGTTCCCAAAACGACTCGATCGGCACGTTTGAAGACTACACACGAAAGCGCATCTTCAACGAGTAGAAGTTTATCAGAGTCACCGAGAAAAGATTCACACGTAACACGAAACAAAGTATGTGAAACTTCGCCGAAACGGTGAGTTCTTAACAAAATTTTATACTAACTTATAATTATTGTTCCTGTTGGTATTTTAATTTTAAGCATAAATTATATTTGTAGGTCAACCAGTATGAACCGTAATCAAAGCGGAAGTGTGGATAAATATAAAGGACACCCAAATACTAAACGTAAATCAGCGAATAAAACGCCTGAAGAAACTGTGTATGTAAATATAAATGCTAAGAAAGATACATCAAAACATTATTTGGGAGGAAGGAACAGTCCAACAAAATTGAAATTGAATTCTGATAATATTGAAGTCACGACTACACGAAATTACGAGGTCACGAAAAACAAACAAACGAAAAGCGATGATCGCAAACCAAAACGAACAGAAAAACTAACCACGCCTGACCTTTCGACTTCACGCAATGAAGACATCAAAGCGGAAAGATCGAAAACCTCACAAAGTGCAAAGTTCCATAATCGGTCAACTGAGACTAACCAAAAAAGTAAAAATTACATCGAAGGAAACAAGGAGGTGCATAGAAATGGATATATTCACAATTCCGAAAAGGCTTTTACAAAAGATAAATCTAAGCGACCAAGCGACCACATTTCCAGATTAGCAACTAAAACTAACCCTAGTCCAGATAAATTAAAATCCAAGGAACCTGCTGCCACCGAGCGAAATTCATCTAAGTCTAGAAAAAGTAAATACGTCATTAACTATGATGATAAAAACGGAACTGTATCCTCCATTTGCAAAATCAAACCGAGTCCAGATTCCCTTAGAAAGGAACCTGTACAAAACCTCCCTACAACTGATAAAAAAGTCAAATCGAGGAAATCTGGCTTCCGTAAGTAATCGATGTAAGTAACGTGCATGCCTTTTTCGACGAAAACCAAAATTTAATTTAAAAAGTGTCTTTCAGTTCAAACACCTGATCACCATTGGCTATCCGGGGTTAACACGAAAACGCATGCACGAAAAACTTGCCAGTTATTATAATGAAGGTGAATTACGGAATCAAGAATTAATTAACTGTATTTTATGTAAAATTAATGATCTCATAACATAGAATACAACCAGCTAATTTGCCTATACTAATGGAAATAAAATTATAATGCTGTACTATCGTTTTATTTACACTGTTGTTAAAGGATCTTTATCACATTTACTTACAATAACTTCGACTTTATGGTATAGTTCATTTTCAAGGTAGATTGAAAATTTGTCTAAGAATCCCCTTTCAGAATCAGAGTGGTTGGTTAATATAACTGATATACCCTTTTGGGTGGCATCCAGTACATCATGGTGTAACATTTCACCTGAAATAATTTATTTAATTAATAAAGTTTGTTAAATAAAATAATTTACAATTGACTGTAAAAGTAAAGTTTGTATATAAATGTGGTGCCATCTATGGGTACTTTTAATCAACAACAGAATAATAAAACATGACAATTTTTTTATGTTGCTTTTACTAATTTTCAGCAGTTGGTTAAATTTTGTCGCTACAAAAAGTCGGAATAAAACATACTGACTTTACTGCTATAAATAAATACATTACAAGTTTCACACTCTTACACATCTTCACATAGCTTTTTTAAATTGTTTTTCTTTTAAAGGGTTGCCTGGAGATCCCTTAAAGCGATAAGCCCTTTACACTTTAAATCTTATTTATATATAATTATATTTCTATATCAATAAATAAATTTTAAGTGAATATATAAACAAGACCAGACTTCTCACACACTCAATGTTAAAAAAAAATAATTATTTAGTACCTGTAAGGAATAAATCAGCAGGCACATTTTTCAATACTGACGCTCCTGATCCAGCACATAGTGCAATTGTTTCCAGGATTTCTTCATCCATTGCTTTACTTCTGCCTAAGGCTAGCCTGACATATTGCAGACCGGTGAGTGCTTTTACTCTTGCTACAGCATTTGACACAGAAATTCTTTCCTCTAAGTGCAAATATCTGAAAAAAAAAACAAGTCAGTACGAAATGTAAATGATATGAATAACCCAGATAAAGCAACAACTTTGGAATAGGATTGGATATTTAGAGTAGGATTTTTCCGGAGGAGCTCATCTTTAATATAAAGATCAAACCTACCTTCCACATCCTGTTTTAGGGTCTACGCCAGGTGTAATAGGTTCAGATTGTACAACGCGAAATGCTGAGGCCAGCCAATCATTCACTCCACCCTGAACAGCATCCCAACTTGTATGTGGTGAATATAGAAAAATCCTTTTTTCTAGTAAAAACGACACTATACGCTCTTTCCATGCACTGAAATACGATATAATTTTTACCAAGGTTTTTTTTTAAATTGACATTTAACCACTCTGATGATATGAAGATTGAGATACCATGATTATCAAATTTAATCAGTTGATCCATTGCGACGTTTTTAAGATTAGTATATCACAAACACTATACAAAATGTATCAAAACTGTATATTTTGTACTTTTATTTCTATATGTTCATAAATAAAAGATCTCAAAAGGCAGTACACAAAATAATGAAAACAGTATTACCTTTGCTTCACAGATTTCATAGGTGCAAATATAGGAGGATGGTATGATATTATCATTTCACAGCCTTGATTGTCGGCTTCTAAAGCAACATCTTCTGTTAGATCATTTGTTAACAGGATCTTTTTAATATTCCTAAAAAAAAAGTTAATTCTTAAACCATGTTATAAGATTATCTAAAAACTTTTATGATCACTAGGCTTACAATTGTCTTGCCGGGCTTTAAGGCAGTGGTTTCTTGAAGATCTTTAAGTTGTAACAGTTCAGAAATACCAGGATTCACAGCTGCTCTTTACATTTATTTAATTAATAAGTATTCAAATTATCTGCATTTAGCAATAATAATAAAAAACAGGAACTGTATCCTTACTTACTTGTATAATTTGGGCAAATAAAGTTACAAACCTTGGTGTGTATGGTTCCACTAGTAATCCAGTGTTGTCCCAACTTTCAGAAAGAGATTTTGGTGCAAATTTCTCTAATGCAGCCAACACATGACGTATAGTTGTGTTGGACATATTTTCACTTGTTAGTTTTGTGATTGTGCAATATTTTTGTAACTGCAGTGTTTTGTAAGAAAATCTTGATATTCTAAACATTAGATATTAATTACCCTGAAACAAGGTTTTTATTTAATGTGGATTTAAATTTATAATATTTTGGCTCTACAATGTAAACATGTATTTCCTAAGAGAATAATAACACAAGACATAAACAAAACTCATATAATGACAAAAAATAACCATACCACAATTATCATTACTTAACTAGTTACAATAAAATATACAGCATTAAATATATGTTGAATTCTGCTTATTAACTAATTATGTAAGCAATCACTTTAGTTATTCATCAAGAAACTTCCAAATTTTTATTTGTCCATCATCACTGCAGGACACTAGTTCATTGTTAGCCGTTGGATTCCACTTAACACAGTTAACATCTTGGGAATGTGCATCATATTTTTTACAAATTAAATCAAATGTTGGTGCATCTGGATCGCAATCTTCAGCCTCTTTAAATATTCTGATAATATCATCACCACTTGCGGTAGCTATTAGACCAGAATGGTGACACCAAGCTATATCATATATAGCTCGTGTGTGGTAACCAGATAATGTACAAATACATTTCCAAGATGATTCTTTATCAGATACACTAACACCTAGCTCATTATTAGGTTTATATTCCTTCCATATTTTGACTGTGTTATCAGCGCTGCATGTGGCTAATCTCTCTCCTGTTTTATCAAAAGTTAAACTCCATACAGTAGTCTCATGTGACTCTAGAGTTGCAACACAATTCCAGTCACTGTCCAATTGATCCTCTTTATATATTTTGACTGTATTGTCATAAGAAGCAGATGCCAATACTTCAAGAGATGGGTGCCATACAACCTATAACAAGACCTTCATTAAGTAATGTATACTCTAAAATTGAGTATGAACCAGAATAAACTACACACTTTTTTCACATCTTGATTGTGAGCATTAAGTACTGCTTCACAAACATACTCATCATCACCAGCCACTTCCCAGACCCATACTGATTTATCTCTACCGCAGGTAGCCAGCAACTGCCCAGAAGGTGACCATGCTACACTTTTTACTTCATTTTCATGTCCCTCCAATGTAGCATTGCATTCAAACTGACCTGATAACAATATTATTATCAAAAGTATTCTCTTGTAACTATTTCAACATGAGTAGGTTATATTTTGGGTATACACACCACTCTTTTTATCCCATATAGCTGTAGTGCCATCAAAACTAGCAGATGCTAAAAAATTTCCACAAGGAGACCACGCAACTTCTCTTATAGTCCTTTGGTGTCCATCCACTAACATAGTCTTCACAGCCCATCCTTGATTTTCCTTGCTCCATAAGTTAATAACTTTATCCTCTCCACATGAGGCAAATATATTTCCATTAGGATGCCATGAGACATTCCACACAATGCCCTTGTGGGCATTTATAGATTGTAGTAACTCTAACTTAGCCATATTAGTCCTAATAAAATTTACAATTATATGAGTCAATAATAATTCCCTTGGGTTCATCCCAAATAAATAAAAAAGAATAAGAGGTTATAGCCATAATATTAAGTCATAATGGATGTATTGAAAATATAATTTTACATATTCTTGTTTTTCCCATACGTACCGAATGTAATAATTTTATTGATGAATAAATATTTAATTGTTCACTTATACACATAAATAACTGTTGCTGTAATTGTAAAAACTTGACAAGTCAATGGTCATGTCAAAATTATATTTATTTCCAAAAGATTTTATTTTAAACTTCAAAGTCAAGTAATGATTTATATCACTTAAATACCGACTGATTCATTGAATGATAGGTGGTTGTTAAATTCGTTGACTGACATCTGACAACTGTAAACTTCCTTACTATTCAGTCTGGTTAACCGTCAAAATGATGTTAAAATTCATTTCTCAGCTAAAAAAAATCTAATCAATTATCAAAGTTATTACTTATTAGTTATCTTTGAAACATACATTTCAAATATTTCCGCTTTCTGAAAAATTTCAAACAAGCTGAATATTATTTCAACAAATGTTACAGATTATTTGTAGTCCAGGTACTAGATGAGTACATTTAAATAGATAATATTATAAATCTTTAATAACATTTAATAAAAATAACCTCCAAAGTATCGGTTTTCGGTATTTATTTTGCCAAGTTATTGCTGCTTGTACACCGCCTAGCAACGACTATAAGATGGAACCAAGTAATAGACTTATTCCTCCTCATCTAAATGCCGAAACATATAGAATGGAGACCTCTGGAACATATACACATGCTTACTTGGATTTTGTCCGTGTTCATAAAGGTAAACTAAAATTAATGCTGTTTGTAACAATAGAAGACGATTATGTGATACTTTATTACGTCTAATATTCCTTATATTTTCAGATGGACATATATTAGTAGGTTGTTCAGAACTGACCGGTCGATATTGGAATGGAGGTGCTTGTATTTTACCAAATGATCAGGAAAGTGATTTTCAAAAGACAAATTTCAAGCGTGACATAAACTTGGCAAGTACAACTGCTGATGGTTGCTTCTCAGGAAGCTCAGACAAGGTAATAGTCATAACATTAACAAACAACAAACAAGTTTTCATAGCTCAAATTCACAATTTAGCAGTGTTTAAATTAAAGATCTTTGGTTGGACTAATCCTAAGCCTCATATCAAATCTTGCAACAATTATTTGTAATATTAATATTAATTTACATTGTGCGTATTGCCTACAATAGTTTATCATTTAATATGTTTGTGTTTATTAAAGTGTGTTAAAATTTAGGTTATATTATGTGAAGATACAGGTGCAATAAGTATTTGGTCAAAGAGTGAAGATGCATGGTCAACTTGGAAAGAAGATTTATCAGTAGCAGAACATGATGGCCCAGCACTTGTTATAGAATGTCTTGATTCCGACAGGCTGTATGTGTCAGCTGGTGGGGATGGTAATGTGAAGGTAATAGTTTATTTTAATAATTTATTGTTATATTAAAAGACATAATGATACAGCCTGAACTAAGTTTGTTGTTCTGTGTATTTTTTTTGTGTGGTAAAAATAATTTCTTATGAGGGTATTATGCCTTCAATTAAAATGCTTGTCAATTCATTAAAAAAAACATGAAAAAATATCTATATCTTTCATATTTAAAGCCTCAAATATTTTTTCTCATTATAGTCTATCAAACTTGTTTACAATTTCTTTTTATTGTCTGTGACATTTTACATAGAAACAAGTACGAAAAAACAAAAGCTGAAATGAATGATTGTTATAGGTATGGGACATTCGGGACAATATGATATGTTTACGTAACTACAATTCAGCACATAGCATGCAAGTTAATACTATAGGAGTGAAGCCAATGTCACAAAAACATTTTGTAACAGGTTCTCTAGACGGCTTTATTTCGGTGTGGGATGAACACACAAACAAGCCTGTTTATGGTAAGGAAATATCCCTTAGTATGAAGATAGAAGATAAATGTATAACTCCTAAGATTCTAGAAAAATCAAATCAATGAAATAGTATTAGGATTGCACTAAAACATAGAACAAATAATAATAATTAAAATACAATGTTAAAGAAAGTGGCATTACAACCTTTTAGGTTTGGACCTCAGAATGATGTATTAGTTTTGTGATCATTTGTTTTCTCTAATAGACAACTAAGTGATCAGGCTTTTGTGTCTGACACCCCGACCTTTTATATCTATTTGATGTTTTCCTTCACCTCACAAACAAGGATGAGAGTTGCACGCTTAATCAACTAGGCCAACACTGCTCGGTAATAGACAAAAATAATAAGGAAAAAGTACCGCCCCGCCACATTATATATCACTTGTATATTAATCCTGTAATTTTTATTTCAGATGTTATTGAAAACAACTGTGGGGTTCGATGTCTCCTGTGGATCGAAGAAAATAAATTATTATTTGGAGATGAATCTGGTCAACTCTCTCTAATTGATCTAAGGGATTCTAAAAGTGTAATAAAGTTACATGAATTTCCTGCACCTGTTCATAGAATTGCTTTTAATCCGAGGTAAGGCGAATTACTATTGGACTTAATTAAATATTTTGAGCTAATAATACTAAAGTAACACATTGACTTAAATCATTAGAAGTATTATGTTCTACGTACAAATTTTTAAGTTAATATTCAAATTTATGCCAACTTGATGAAACTTGTGGATAATGCTCTTACTTTTTTTTCAGATCAAGTAACATTGCAGTTTGCTGTGATAACCAAATACTTTCAGTGTTTCATATTGATGGTGAAAAACTCAATCTTGTGTATGAGCGTAAAGCGCATCAAGATTGTATAAGGGGTCTGGCTTGGGATGAATCTGAGCTCAATGCCTTACACACTGTAGGGTGGGATGGTGAACTTAAAAAACATATTATTAATGAATAAAATTCCCATTTAATTTTTTTAAATAAATACACTTTTGTTGACCTGATCTTATATGCCGAGCCAAAATTTGTCATTCACTTAACTGAATAAAAGAAAATTTCAATGTTTTTCTGTGATTGAATTCATAATAACACTTGATTCAATTGGAAACATAGATGTATATCAGAATTTTCTTAGTAATAAGTTTTCTACGTGTTATTCAATAAAATTGTGTTTTTTGCATTAGCTTTAAGAAAAATATTTTCCCACCAAACATTTTGTTTTATTTTTACATTCGACATCGTTTGTGCTCCTTTACTTACAGTTCAGCTTAATCGAAATTTTAATTACATTAATTTAATTTTCGGGCTTATAATAATTTTTAATATTAGATTAGAGTGCCTAGACGTTTTTTTTAATACTCGTAGTTTTTGACTTTATCAGTTAAAGTTTCATTGTATATGAAGAGTATTTTAAATGGTCCGAGAGCTGGCACCAATTTTTGGGCAGGTAAACTCAAACTCAAACTCAAAATATCTTTATTCAAGTAGGTAACCAAGTACACTTTTGAACGTCAAGTTAAATTAATCGTAAATTTACATTTACTACCAGTTCGCAAGTCAAGGGCGTAGAGCGGGTAAGAAGAACTGGCAAGAAACTTTCCGCCACTCTTTTTAATCGCCAAGTATTGTCATACAAATTGTTTGAACTGGAGCAATTCAATCCCAAGGATTAGGATCATTTAAGTAGTCCTCAAATTTATAAAAAGCTTTGTTGATTAATTTTCGTTTCCCCAACGAGGGCTTTGAATTTATTTAGTGATAATACTCTAATTTCGCTTGGGAGCTTGTTGTAAAAACGAATACAATTCCATATAAGGAGGGTTTATCTTTTGGAGCCTGGTTGGTCGACACTCAAATTAGTTCTATTTCGCGTATTATACTGGTGAAAGTCACCATTTGTTTTAAAATCGTTTATATTTTAATGGACATACAACAAGGCTTCAAGAATATATTGACCAGATAGTGTCATAATATTTAATTCCTTAAACTTATTCCGTACCGACTCCCTCGGAGAAACACAACAAATACCCCGAACAGCCCGCTTCTGCAGCACAAATATGGATTGAACCTCTGCAGCAGCACCCCACAGTAAAATGCCGTACGACATAACGCTATGGAAGTAGCTATGGAACAATTTTAGCCGTGTCCTCATCAGTAAACTGTCGATTTTCTTTACTGCATATGGCAGGGCTCAGCCTATTCGAAAGGGTATAAGGGTATAAGGGTGTTTGGGGAAAGGGGAAAATGTGTCCCCATTATATCACGGTTGCAGACCTGGCTGGTGAGTAGGGGGGGCAAAACCACCCCCCCCTTTTTTGTAATACTTAATTTTAAACCCCCAAAAAATATTTGAGGCAATACGCAATTTATATATGTTGCGGTAAGGCTTAATAATACGAAAAAAATTAGCCAGACGACGGGGCTGTAACATTACCAGACGCGTGAATTTTTTTCAAAATATTATAAAAAATGTTTTTGAGGCAGCTTGAAATTTTAATGGAGTGTTATTTATAACTATAAAATAAAATTCCCAAAAAGACAGATCATTTCGGTAGGGCTTTCTACCTGCCAGGCGATCAAACAAATAATGGATGGGCACGGGCCTGTACTACTATAGACAAGCTGTAGTGTGAGAGAGAGCGCATATCGACAGCTGTCTCCGTTCTGGCTTGCCGCGTTACTATTGGCTCTAGTGAGGCCACGTGACTTACAATAACCCATGAGGTTTTTAGTTAGAATTTCGGAGTCGTTACTTTCAGTCGTATTATTCTACTAATGGTATTACACGTTTTAAAACTCAAATAATTACAAAATGTCTAGTGAAAAGTTAGTTTGTGTTATTTGTAAAAAAAAATGATGCTAAAGTGATTGCTTTTGTGGAGAAAACTCTAAAAAAAAGTCAGGAGGTGTTAAAGATCCGTAAACATCATGGGTTAAAATATAATGATATTGTTTTGCCAGTGATTCCTAACCTTTCAGATGGTTATCACACAAGTTGTTATAAGAATTTTATAGCTTTGATGAAAAAATATATTGAAAATACTGTGATTGAATCCAATGTTTATACTCTTACAAAAGGTATTGTATTAATTTAATTATTTTTCAAGCATTACTTACTGATAAATAAAATTAAGCATTTACAGCACTAAGTTTATCAGTTTTCTTACTGACATAATAAAATGTTCAGTATATTTTTATCATTATTCTATCTTTTACCTGTATAGTTCAATACAATAACTCTGACATACTGACATAATAACCAGCAACATTAGAACCCCAGCCATCGACATCTCTACTTCAGCCATGTACATCCATACCAGAAGCTTATGTTAGTGATAATAATGAAGACAACGTCACTGATACGTCAAATACACTTGTAGATATCGATGTTGATAATAATTCCGAGCTCAATAAAAAAAATTGTATTTTTTGTGACAAAAACTCTAAGAAATATCAAGGACAACGACAACCGCTTTCTGAATTGGATAAAGATGGCTTAATTAAATCCTTAGAAAAGTATAAAACATTTATCCATACATAAACATTCATACATATTTAGTACAGGCCCGTGCCCATCCATTATTTGTTTGATCGCCTGGCAGGTAGAAAGCCCTACCGAAATGATCTGTCTTTTTGGGAATTTTATTTTATAGTTATAAATAACACTCCATTAAAATTTCAAGCTGCCTCAAAAACATTTTTTATAATATTTTGAAAAAAATTTTGCACGCGTCTGGTAATGTTACAGCCCCGATTAAATCGTCTGGCTTATTTTTTTTCGTATTTATTAAGTATTACACTGCAACATATATAAATTGCGTATTGCCTCAAATATATTTTTGGGGAAAAAATATTGATATTTTTAAAAATGTAGGGGTTGATTTAGCCCCGCTACTCACCAGCCAGGTCTGCAATTCCGTGTTGGAATATAATAGGAGAGGTATGTGACAAGTTTTCAGCTTGCCTCAAATACCTGCCCAAAAATTGGTGCCAGCTCTCCTACTAAAAGGTGTTGGAGGTCAGCTGTAAAGCCCGCGAAACGCCAACTCAGTTTAATAATGAATTTAACAATATATATATAATTTCAAGGTTTGAAAATTAATGTAAAAAAGTAAAATATATTTTTTTTAATTAAAACACTAATAATGCTCGAAGTATTGTATTAGTTAAGTGGGGAATGCATAATTTCGGTAGGGTTAATGGGGTGAGTGGGCGCGGCGTTCAGGCGAAGCTCCGGGGGAGGATCCGCGACGGCCGTGGTTAGGGCTCTTCAAACGCACCATCGTGTCCAAGTGCCGGAATCTAATAAAGGAAATATATTTTATTAGCTAAGGTAAAATTAAACTTTTGACCTTGTCTATATAAATAACGATGGAATAAATATAATTTCAAGATTTGAAGTTGAATATTCGGCAATGCTTTAATAAGAAAATGGTGACTTAAACAGTTCACACTTAGTTCAGTTAATAAGATTAAAATTATACATAATATAAGGAAATATACTAATCATATCGCATTCTTGTTCATTGATTTGTTTCAGGAATGTACCCGGCCGTCGTCCTAATGAAACTGAAATTGATTTAGGTACTCAAATGTCTAATTTTTAAGAAGTATATTACTCCAAACCATTCTAGTAACATTCAAATAGACAATTATTGTTCTCACCTGAGCGGCAAGTCGTTAGCATCGTGATCAACGCTTTGGAAGAAGAATGCCAAAGGCCAACTAATCCACGATGACTGCTTCCTATAAATATGTGTTCAATCAATACAAGTTAGGGTTGTAGTTAAATTAGATTGAAAATTATTATATAAAAGTCTTTTATACAACTAGTATCTTGAAATGTGATTATTAAACACATTTAATTCCTCTAAACAATTTATTATTTTGATATGTGATACGTTTTTAAAAAACAAACACATTAATAGGCTTAAGTGTTTTTAATAGGTATTATTTTCTTAGTTTTATATGATATTTTATGTTTTTTTTAATATTCTAGGTTTTAAGATTCAAAAATTTGTTTAATAATTAAACTGGCTATGAATATAGCATCCTTGCTATTTCGACTTTTTAAAATAACTTTAGAACTTATCTTATTATATTAGTCTGGCCATAAATACTGTTACAATTGAAAATTAAAAAAATATTACATTTGAATTTGGAATCTGTCATTTTTATATGATTGTTCATTGAGTTTTCTCATTTTGGCGCCAATACATTGTACAATATTTTGCGGTATTAAAATGGAGGTGGGGTAGTAAAGAGCACCGAATAGCTGTGATTGCATTACACAAAGTAGGAATGGAGCCACATGCAATTTTTAAAACTCTCCATACGCTTAGTAAAAGGTGTACCGGGATATTAATAGGTAGAATGTGATCTTCTCTGATTGTGACAGAAAAAGATCTGGCCGTCCACGTAGTTTTCGTACGAAAAAGGTAGTCAAAGCAGTAAGGGAAAGAATTCGAAGAAATCCTGCTCGAAAGCAAAAGATTTTATCTCCGAGTCCGAACATGAAGATAGCACCTACAACCATGCCGCGTATTTTAAAAGAAGACTTAGGACCTAAGCGTAAGAACCTAATGTAACCTATAAGAGTACGTACTGATCAAGCTTACCAATTAGTTGACAGAGTGCAACGTGGGCACTGTCCGACAATTATGCTTCGGTGGGGTATTAGCTATGAAGGAGTGACTTAGCCATACTTTTTAGAAAAAGGTATCAAAATACTGAAGCACCTTAACAACACCATGTTCAATAAACCAAGAATGGTCCTTCCAACAAGACTCAGCGCCGGGTCATAAAGCTCGGTCAACGCAGTCTTGGTTAGAAACGAACGTTTCGGACTTCATCAGAGTTGAAGACTGGCCGTCGTCTATTCCCGATCTTAAACCGCTGGATTATGATTTATTGTCAGTTTTAGAGAGTACGGCTTGCTCTAAACGCCATGATAATTTGGAGTCCCTACAACAACCGTACCATTGGCAGTGAAAAATATTCCCATGGAAAGAGTGCGTGCTTCTATTGATAACTGGCCTCAACTTTAAAAGCACTGTATTCTGTACTTCGAATAAGCTTTTATATTTAAAATTATTTATTGTTTTTTTTCTTTGTTTCAGTATTTATGGCAACACTAGGTATTTAAACACAAATTTGTGTGTAATTTCTGTACTATACATTTATTATTATAGTGTTACATAAATACGTCAAATAATATTTACGGTGTAGATGGCACGAGCTCCGATTCTGCCTCAGATGGCGTGTCTGGTGTAATTGGAACCATCGGGGGCGGAGTCAAAGGTGTAGTTGGAACCGGAGGTGGTGTTTTGTTAATCGCAGGATTATAGATCTTCGGATCGCTAACCATCCGCACGAAAAATGATCGCTTGTGTGCTAATGCCGCGCGGTTGCGACGTGCGCGCTCGACGTTTAAATCCTGAAAAACATTTAGCATGTTTATGTACAAATTATAGGACTACGGAAAAATTTAAGTATTTAATTCTACACAGATTATTTTGCATAAATCCGAATTATAGAAAAAGTAATGGTTACCCTTTCTTTGTCCGGTCCTTCCAGTAATTCAGTAGCGAAGTCAGTTATGACATCCCATGCGGTTTCTGAGGAAATACATAAGTAAACTTATTTTTTTTGTTTGTGATTTAAGATGAAAAACGGCAGGCCCGTTAAACTTTCGTGTTACGTTCTTGACATTGATGCGTAACAACAGGTGACCTATAGTCGTGCGGTATATAGTGAAGTATAGATGAAGTAAGAATGGATTTAAAGATTAGAGATACATTTTAAAGTATATACATTATAAGTCTTTAGCGCTAAAGACACAAATCAATGAGAGATTGATTCCCCAAATATAGGTATGGTGGGCAGAAAGGTTGACATTATACTTCTGCTAATATAACGTTTATTATTTTAGTTTAAGTATATTGGCCCGTTTTATCTTCACAATACATACCTATATCATCGCGAGTGGCATGTTGAGTGACCACACAAAATCTGATCACATATTTATCTTGAACATAAGCAGGGACCATATGGATTTTTCCAGATGCATTTATATTAGTCAATAACTTCTTGTTCAAGTCATCTGTTTGTTTCGGAGTCTCATCAGGGCCACAAATAAGTCGGAAGCAGACTAAACCTAACTGTAATACACGAATAAATGTAATACATGAAGCATCATAACCTAATCTTGTATGAAATTACGATTACCTTGACATCATTGCAGACTTCAAATCTTTCGTCTTTCTTGACAAGATTTTCAAAGTATTTTGCGAGTTCGCAATGGCGTCGTACGTACTTTTGTAGGCCGCTGATACCATAGCTTCTTAGTATAAACCACAATTTGAGGGACCTAAATCTCCTACTAAGGGCAACACCCCAGTGGCGATAATCGATGGCCGTGTGGTCATAGCAATGTTGCAGGTATAAAGGATCTACTACCAGAGCCGATGTTAAAAGGTATCGGTTGGTGACCCACAGAAGTGAACAATCAAAGCTCGTTAACATAAATTTGTTAGGGTTTGTATTAAATGAGTCAGCGTATTCCACTCCTGCTAGGTGATATTTATGTTCAGGGCAGAGGAAGGCACCTCCAGCATACGCTGCATCAACATGCAGCCAAACCGATGGGTATCTCCGAACAACGGGCCCGATTTCAGGAAGGTTGTCAAATGAGCAGCCGGATGTTGTACCCAACGTTGTGCTGACGAAGAATGGCACTAAACCGGCTTGTTCGTCTTCTTCCATTGACTGAGGTCAAATAAAACACTTTATTAATTAATTATTATTAATTAATCATTTTGACAGAGCTACATTGCAATTAAAATCGTTCATATTAGTTGGGCTAAAAAGTTCGTAGGCTAACATAGGAAAAATCTTTTTTTGCATAGAAATTAATTTGATTATTCAATTATTATTTTCTTTATTCGCCTTCGAGAGCGATACAACAATTATAGCGATCATTTTTATAGTACGATGTACGTCTTTAGCCTTAAAATAGGCTCCAGTTACGGCGATTACCTCTTCATCAGTGCAAAATAAAAAGGTAATAGATATATAAATGACAGTAATAATGGAAATTACGCAAAAATATATTATTCTACAACTAAACTTTAATTTTATATTGTAAATATACAAAAAATTGCATTATACAATACAAAATTCGTTCATTCCTAAAACGCGAGAACAAAAACTAAATACTTACCTATGGCTGACAAGACAATAAACAAAACACTATTAAGAAGGAAAGATAATCTAATATATACCATTGGATAAACATACAGTCTATGTGATAATGAGTTTATTAATAAGTCCGCTTCAACCCGTAGTATTTCAGGAATTTGAAACAAGCCATTAAGTGCGCGACCATGTCTCGGGGAAAACGCCGAGAACTTTTCAATTACCACCGATTATTCGGCTCGCTATGACCTACTGACTTCCTTGGCAACTCGTTATCTATTTCAATTAAAAATTCAGAGATTAAACGTAGCCTATTTGCTGCTTTACTATAATTAAAAATACAATTGTAAACAAATAGCTCCCCTAACTACAAATAACTAATAACTAACTATGTAGTTGTACCTAAGACATTTAAAGTCGTTTAAATGGTTGTATTTTTTGGTGAAGGACATAACCCCTGAGGTACTAAAGTTAAGGTTCTATCCTAGTTTTATTTATAAATCAACTAATTCTAGTATGAAATAATTATACTTTACTAGAAAACCCCTGCACAACTTTCGATCACTTCATATATTTTGTTGTAATTAGGGATGTGAAAAAATAATCGATTATTAAAAAAGTCGATTGTAATCGATTTTTTTACGCGATTTTTATATTTAAAATAATCGATTAATAATCGATTATTTTTATAATTGCAAATCAATCATAATCGATTTTTTATCTGCCACCTCCCGATATTATGTCTGGTCTTTTATAACCCGGACCTCGAACTATTAGGAATATTCGATACACAATGATGTTTACAATGCAATACATTGAATCCGATTCTTTGAAGATGTATTGATATACTCGATACATTGATTTTTTTTTGTAAAACATCAAAAGGATGATAAAAGCCGTTAATTTTACAAAAACTCAAGTTTGAATGGAACACTATAATTTAAAAGTAAAATAAATTTATTCAGCAGAACAAGACAACATACAATTAAAAAGGCAACAAAAATACTGCAATGTGCTACTGAAAAGGAATACACTCAGCATTTATCAAAATCTATCAAAACGAGATTAAGTTAATTTCGATTTTGATTATTCTTAAACGTTAATTTGTGTTTATAATTTCTATTGTTTATATTTAATTAAAAAAACCATGAAAAATAAAATATTTAGGGTGTTTATTTTGAAATTAATTCAAAAATTAGGAAAAAAATCGATTAATAAAAAAAATCGATTATTTTTTTAAGAAATATCGATTATTTATTAATCGATTATTCATGCTAAAAAAATAATCGATTAATAAAAAATCGATTTTTTTATGCAGAATGTCACATCCCTAGTTGTAATCGACTAATTTTTTTTTTTTAAATGAGGTTTCACTGTTCTAATGTCAACAAGGAAACATGAAAGACCATAGACCACATGTTAAATGTAAAAAGATGTAAACAGCTGTAAAACATTTCTGCATCTAATTTCATTATGAAATAGATACTGTTTTGACGGAGATCGAAGCGTGCACAACAGAGTTATAGGCCATATTAATCAATCAGCTTTATATTACTAGAACCAAAATATTAATGGAAAAATAATACCTCGTATAAAGTCTCCCCTCTCAAAGATCCATGATCGTCGGGCTGTAAAATCCGCAACTTGACAAAGCAAATCATAGCTGCCTTTTCGACACATGAATGGGCCTCTTTAGAACAATAGGCTATTAGCTTGGACAGCAGAAGTCCCTCGTCGACCGTTGGGAATTGGTGCTTGAGTCGCTTGATAGCCGCGGCGCGGGCGGCAAGCATTGACACTAGAACACACTCACTCGCTGAACCCTGTAGAGGTTAACTTCATTAATCAATTTTAAACACATATTTTCGAATCGTTTCTCTTGATATTATTAATCGTAATAATCAAATATACAGTATTTACAATTTTCTTAACCTACACAGTATTAAAAATTAATAAATAGAAAATTAAAACAAATTTAAAAAGTTTGTTCCCTGTGGCAGTGTACCTTTAACGCTGGCAGCATTTCCTGGCTGTATTGCGATACTTATTCGTTGACCGAGGAAAACTACAGCTCTGGGGTCACCGGTACTATCTACCAGGTACCAAATTAAATCTTTAATTAGCGCCTGTGCACTTGAACCCCACGGCCCAAGAGTCTCTACTCCAAAGGGAACAAAATCGAAGTTGGGGGAAAGACTTATATTGGAGCCGTTTATTTTTAAACTATAAGTTATAAGTTTGTGTTACCGTAGATAAATGCAAAGAAACTAGTTATTTTATTACAATATATAGATTATTTATGGAAACTTTTGAACCCATCTTCGTTACTCATGTTGTAGGTAGCGACCATTTTCGAATATATTTTTCCTAATTATAAGTAACTAGAGAAGTTGGATAAAATTATTTTTCTAATACTTTAGGAGACCCCTCGAAAATATAATATAGACTGTTAAATGTACTTTAGTAAATATTATTTTACCAACGACGTACGTACGTCTATTTGTGTGGATACGTTAGCCCAGTCTCACCTCCCTCGGACAAGCAAAATAACTGGGACGGCCGCAGAGCAGGCGGAAAATAATAAGCGGCTCAAATATAAGAGTCTTTCCTCCAACTTCAATTTTGTTCCCTTTGGAGTAGATACTATTGAGCCGTGGTGTTCATGTGCACATGCGCTAATTAAAAATGTAATTTGGCACCTGTTAGACAGTACCGGTGACCCCAGAGCTGGGGCTTTCCTCGCTCAACAAATAAGTATCGCAATACAGCGAGGAAATGCTGCCAGCGTTAAAGGTACACACCAAACTTTTTAAATTTGTTTTAATTTTCTTATTAATTATTTTTATTATTACTATGTAGGTTGAGAAAATTGTAAATGCTGTATAAATAAAATGTATGTTTTACCAACTATTAAGCACAAATATGATGTTTCTTTTCAACATCGTAAACATTATTAGACATAATCAAAACAATCTTATATTTAATATTCTTACAAAGACTGATTATTTTTTCTGAAAATGTAAAAAGAAATTAACTTGCCTCTATTACACCACCACCTTTGCTGCCCTCCTCAAGAGCTAAGAATGCCGGAGGCAAGCCAATAGCTTTTCCTAATGAACAGAAAATTATAGCTTATCTTATATACCTGGAATTATTAATGAAGAAATCTAAGGTAGCTGAATAAAGTTTTACTTCCATTACGGATAGATATGCTTGACTTGGTGCGGAGAATTAAAAATATAATAAACCTTTATGAAATATTAATGTCCTTTATCAAACATTAATAGTAAAAGTCTTTAAGACGTATTAAACTCACCCATCCAATCCAACATGATGATTTCCAATTCAGTACAAGCAGGACTTGCAGCCTAAAAAAAAGGTTTAAATTCACTTTTGTTAGGTACACCCAAGGTGTACAATAATAAGAAGTATTATTGTACACCTTGGGTGTAACTGATATTTTGAATATAGAAATCGGATATGCAATCCCTGAAGAATATTGAATGAAGATTCATATATGTATTTTGTCGTAAAATAACGAGGTGCTGCCTATTAACAACTAACCAGCTTGCGTCCGCAGTTTCGCCCTTGTTGATTTTCGTGTATTTTAGCAAAATGACTTTTAGATAGTCGATTGTCATTTAAACCTCGCATATCATAAAATTATACTATATTTTGGTGAATATCGTACTAAAATCTGTATGAATAGTATGTAAGGATTCGTTTTCGTAGATAAGAGAAGATGATTTCGTGAATTAGAGTATTATCACTAAATAAATTCAAAGCCCTCGTTAAACGGAAATAAATCAATAAAGATTTTTATAAATTTGAGGAATACTTAAATGATCCTAATTCTTGGGATTGATTTGCTCCAGTTCAAACAATTTGTATGACAATACTTGGCGATTAATAAGACTGGCGGAAGCTTCTTGCCAGTCTTGACTTGCGAACTGGTAGTAAATGTAAATTTACAATTAATTTAACTTGACAATTCATAAGTGTTCTTGTTTACCTACATGAATAAAGATATTTTGAGTTTGAGTTTTTGAGTTTGATGGTTTATTCAATGTATCTGTGTAGAAAGCAAGTTTAAAAAAAATAATATGAGCAACGGTTCATAGTAACTCGATTTTAAGAAGCCGCGACCCATAGGTATACTAAGTTTTGATGTTATAGATCTGTCTATCCTGAATGATTCATCAACATAGAGCCAGGGGCTAGAATCTTGAATTGGTTTTTTTTTATAGAACAGGGGCAAACGGACAGGAGGCTCACCAAATGATAAGTGATACCGCCGCCCATGGACAGTCTCAATTCAAGAGGGCTCGCGAGTGCGTTTCTGGCCTTTTAAGAAATGGTACGCTCTTTTCTTGAAGGACCCTAAGTCGTATTAGTTTATGTCCTATATCTTGTGAATATCGAAACAAAAGAATTGTTTTCTGAGTAATTTCAAAGAAATTCGTGAACCGCGATGTCGCAGTCAGTACCTATATATGTTACTTGATAAAAAATAATACATTTCAATTGTACATGACCTAAATAAACAATAATCAATATCACCCAGCCCTTCTTGTAAATAATTACATTCTAATCAATAAGTTGCAAGCATATTTGCACACATTTCTATCGACGTTCTGAAAGTTCTCTGTTTAATTTAAACTTGTTTTTTATGTGTAGAATAATTATTTTTTCGTCTTTTGAATTTTATATTTAAAAGTCATTAAAATTCCATTTCATTTATTTAGTCTTATAGTCTATTCACTAATCTTGGCATAAAAATTTCTAACTGATTACATTTGGAACTCGAAACTTGGGCATGTACAATGCGTTGTTTAAATAAGGAGTTAATTTTGTCTCATAATGATTACTTCCATACACAAAAACCCCTAATTCGAAATGAATATATATATATTTTTTTTTTGATTATGTTCTGTGCATTTTTACATTATACAGGTCATGAGGTATCGATATATAATACTTACCCATGAAAACCCGATACATCCTATACCAGCAGAAAGCATATCACCAAGAATAGAAGGATACGCGTTCCCCGCCGGAAAATAAGCGTGGAACTGTGGATGCTGCCAATGTGTCACACCGGGCATTATCTTATTCTCTACATCCTTCATAACGTCATCCCAGTCCTCCGGATGCTCTGGTGCCTCGGAGGGCAACGCAGCGCGAAGGTAGCCAGGTTCGACGGATGGAGTCACTCGCCGCGAGCTTAAAGTACTCATGTACGTGCAAATGTAATCAACCATCTCCTTGCCCCTAACACGGAACTCTTCGGTGTCCATCTTTCTATGTACTCTCAGTTATATCGGAAGAGGTAGTGGTGTTACCGACGCGGCGTCTACTGACTGACTCGAAGACTTTACGCGGCTCTCAAGGATCTAATATAGCTTATAGTATATGACGCGGGGGCGACAATGCGCGGTCAACCACTGATTCTAGAGCAAACATTTATAGCTGACATTTTTAATTTTCAATTGATGCGGTGAACAGTTGATGCGAGATGTAATTTGCTTAAATTAAACAAATGTAAAACACTTAATATCAGCTTAATGTAATAATTATATTAAACTTTTTAGATGTATGTAATGCGGCAAGTCAATAATTATTTTGTTTGCTTTTTTTTTAATTAAACTGTTTACAGAATAGGTTGATTTTGTTTTGAGAGATGTTACAAGTTCCTAATGAATTAATTCGTTCTACTTAAGTAGCCGAATCCTGAATTCGCTGCTTTTATTGCTATTTTATTTTTTTTGCTTACATTTTTATATAATAATAGAAAACATATTTAAATAACTGATTTATAAAACAACTAACGTTCATGAATATTCCTAATTTCTTAATTAGATTCACCCTTTTAGGAGTTTAATTTTATATAAATTAAAAGGCTCGTTTAAGCATCAGTGGTAAAGCTAAAAGATTTTACAAAAACAAATACATAAGTATGAGAGACATAAGCAAGTCTCGCCTCTTCCTTTAAGTTTTCGATGATTTTATAAAAACCGAGTAACCACTAATGTCGCAACCTCTCTTAGACAAAGTTTTAGTTGGGAATTTTTAATCAACTTCGAAAAAGGCTGTTATCATTTTCCTGATTCCAAGCATGCTTTTCGTAACCGTATGTTAGCCTGTTTTAAGTTTGTTTAATCTTTAATATCAGTTTCTGTTTTCTTTTTTGTTATCTAAGAATGTACTTAATTGACTTATGTTTCTGTTTCGTAAACATATTTTGCTTAACAATAATCTGTTTTGGCAATGTATATTACGTTTATATGTACACACGTGTAAGATTATAAATTAATAATAATTAGTTATAAATACAATAATACTTTTTTGAATAATTCTTTCCTAAATTGGAATATACCTAATGTATAATAAAAAGGATTATTTTGATATAAATTTTAGTTTTTGAATTAGGGGACGAATTTGCAGGTGTAAAACTGATCTTCCTTTTCTAAAGTCTGTTAAATAACATAGGCAACTTTGTTTCATCGTTAATTACACTTGTGTTGTACAGAAACCTAATTTAATTTTTTATACTTTGTTTTCTATAAGCAAACAATTAAGTAGATGTCACGATGCGAAATGAAAGTGACATTTCGCAATTATTTAATAATTACTTTTTATGTATAACGTAAATTAAAATGTTAATGAACAAAGACCTATTGCTAAATTGAGAACAAATTTAAATCTTATCTAAATCGCTACAATTTATTGTTAATTTTAGAACCTCGATTTTTGTACACGTGTCTTATTCTCACCTTACCCCGGCAGAGATGAAGGAAAAATTATTAAACAAACTGAGTAATAACATATATAGCAGGGGTGGCATTGAGCGGGGTGTTGGGGGTGTCGACGAAGAACGCCAAGTAGTCGCCTCGCTGGAACGCACATTCTTCCCCGCCTCTGAATACCAATGCCATATTATTATGTGAGATCTCTCTATTGTGCAATATACCTACATCAAGGGACCGACTTCATTGACATCTCATTCGATTGAAAGTCGTATCACGCTTTCGTTTCGAATTATCCAATAATTTAACTTACTGTTGATCACATTACTGTTACATCTGTTATCCTACATTTCACGCCTGAGTGAAGCCACCCAAGTCACGAGAGTTATTTTTAATGACAATGATCTCATACTTGAGAATCCCAATACCTTCCATACCTCCCATAAAGGTAAACAACGTAGGATGACACCTTGGATAACGAAGAATGAGGTGATAAGCCATTAAGAATAATGGGATATCGGTAATGGAGCAATGTTACAATGACACCAGCGACCTTCGGCATCCTACCCCGCAGACGCCGCATCTTTAGTATATAAACAGAAGAATCACGAAAAGTACTCCAGTGAGCTTCCATCCTGCCGTTCAGGCGATTGACCACCCCACGACGGCCCAAGCCGAGGTCCCGCAGGAGACGCCCTTGCGCTATTCGCAGAAAAACGCCCATCCGTCCGAGCTACGCTTGCTAAAACAGCCCGGGCTAAGCTGTAAAGGCCCTTAAGGCCAACAGCGAGTTTCCATAAAAAAAAAACCAGTAATCATACACATCACTCATAGCACTAAGATCTAGTTAAATTTCGTCTTAAGTTTAATATTGTATATTATATAATTAAAAAGTTTAATCTTTTAATAAAGTTTTTTTGTAATATTTCATGAGTTATTTTGACTCCTGTATGACATGTCTGAATAATATTAAAAAGCCTGCGCTTCGTGAAGGGCCACCGTAACCCGTAAGCCTTGAATTACCAAAAAAATTTATACTTAAACCTCCCTTATATTCTAGATATTCATGAAAACTGCAATATATTCCGTGAAGTTTCTGATTTTATCACTAACTGACAAACCTATCGACTTGTTTTTACATAATATAAAAGTTTGTAGGCCTTATCAAGCCCAACGAATTTTCTCTAGAACTCAATTTTACATCTCTTGTTAAAACAGCGTTCTTAAGAAACGTTTTTTTCGACCGCTTTTCTCCAACTTAACAAATCGGACTAAATTTTTTTGGCCAAGACTCACAACTATCGTGGCTTATCTATTTCAAATGTTCAAAATCGGTTCAATAGATCCAGAGATTACCACTGACAACATTGCCATTACAAAATTAGTATATAACTATCTGTTAGTCAGACAAATTCAAATTTAGACGCTTTTAACCCTTTCGTCTCTTTCTGTCTAATTATGTTTATATTGTGGTGAAAGAGAGAGATTTAATTAAAACGATGCAATTGGACTGATTTATTGTTAAACGGTTTTATTTAGCTTGTTTGCCTCAAAACTAGTAATTGAAATTTGACCTGGTTGAGTGGGGGTTGATCTGAAATTTGGTACGCACCTTTAATAATTGTAATGACAATACAATTTAATACATTCATTTTTCAATCATTGTAAATCCATGATGGCCGCCGCTTCTAAATGGCGGATTACATATTTTATGATTTACATAGATCACTACTTACTCAATATAGGTGTCAAATACCCATATAGAGGAGGCTTGATTAGGAGAATAAATGTGTCTATGAAACTCAATGAATTAAAAAGAACAAGAAGTGTGTGACAAAATTAAAAACTTGAAAACAATAATAAATATATCAACTAATTTTTTATTAATAATATAATAAAATTCTGTGTGACAATAAAATGCATCCAGCAAGTACAACGCAATTCAATTAACGTATTTTTTCGCGCGTTAGTTTTTATAATGCGATAATAAATATTCAAATGTATGAAATGACTAGATATTGATAATATGATATTAGGATTATATTAACGACATTTTTTATATTCTGATGTGATTTTACTGACTTTTTCTCATGAAATGTCGTTTTAATAAGAAGTATCTTTTTAATTTAACAATAAAAAACAAATATTTCCTCTTTATGAGTCAATGCTGATTAATTAATAGTCTCGAGTAAACAATACTCGTACATTTTATATTCATCACGAGGGCATAGTCTCTATTGTGTCTCCCAGCTCTTGGGGTTCTAACATTTCTGTCCTTAATTCTTAATACTATAAGTTGTCTGTTTAAATAAGCTTAAGTACCCTACGTGAATTTAACCGCGAAAACTTAATGTCACTAAAATCCCGTTTAAGCTTTACCTTTACAAGGATTATAAAGACGAATTTCTTGTGCTTAATATAATATTCTTAACACAGATTTAGGTCCTTTACAAACTTAGTGGATTTGAATATTAATCTACAATCGTAAAGCCTACAAAAGTTAAAACCGAAACTACAATTATTCTGATTGTTGTACTGCGTAATTCCTTACGACAGCCCTACGGATGTTGAAAGCATCAATATCAATATAGCCATTTAATGGATATGTCAAAATGAAAAACTTAGCCTTAAGTCTGACGTACGTCAAATGTATTCAAAAGAAAAAAGAAGTCATAGTTCGCGCTACGTCTCGTTTTTGAATCTCAACCTAAAGTTTTTGTTTGGAAGTGCGAAAGCCTGTCGACAATCATTGTTGGTTTTATAGTCTAGCTGTTTCTATTTTTACTTTATCTTCGATCTTACTCCATAAATAAGTCTAGTATAAGTCAAGGTTAAAAATATTTCCTGATAATATTCTAATTTCGAAATATTTTTCATAAACCGGTCGCCCTCTTTATAATGGCATGAATAACTTGGAAAGAAAATGGGCTTGTTGAAATCTAATTTCTCGTAACCATAACGGGCGGTACTCGAAACCGATGAGCTATCTCCGACAGACGCCCGACTCATATCAATTTCTTAATTGAGATGGCGGCTTCTTTGCCGCATTCATAACCTTTTATTACACAGGCCTACAAAAAAAATTTTTTTTTATGGTGCAGCTCCTTTTGTATATATTGTCGATAAAATAGGTAATGTACAATATATTGGCATACGTCATTTTAACTCATCAGCTCTAGTTTACCCACTACCCTTCTTTTATTTTTTTTCCCGCCTTGGTCGTAAATAGTGATTATTACATTCATATCGATAAAGTTTCTATTACTAATTCAATATGACTAGTACGTCCAGATGTTGTGTTAACGATTCTGATACTTTTTGCTATGTTTGTGATCAATACATACTGAAAGATCAGCGTATAACGATGACAAACACTGTGAATCGTTTGTATTTTGCTTATTTCGGTATTGAAATTCAGCACCAATATAAAGTGTGGGTGCCACATGATGTGTGCACAATATGCGTTGAGCGTCTACGACAGTGGGAGAAAGGCTCACGTAAGTCTTTAAAGTTTGGAATGCCTTTGACATGGCGAGAACAAAAAAAAATTATGGCGACTGTTACTTTTGTATGACAAATATAGTGGGCAACAACAAAAAAATCTATATCTATATAAAGAAATGGAAATACCCTAAATTTCCCTCAGCACAAAGACCTATTCTTCATCCAGAAAATGTTCCAGTACCAGCTTTTCACCAGGTAGTGCAGCAATCTCAGGAGGATCAATCTGAAATACCTTATTCTTCCCAAAAAAAAATTAAATTCGTCATCTAGAATTTGAATACTGCGGGAAATCATCAAATCCTAACCCATTTTAAGAGAATGAGCTGAATGACCTCATCAAAGACTTAGGGCTTTCGATGGAACATGCTGAGTTACTAGCTTCAAGATTAAAAGGAAAAAAAAATCTTTTGTAGCAGTTGTATAGAATTTCCTCGGAAATCATAAGGCTGTGACAACTATGTAAAATTAGTAGAAGATATGCTGGTTCGATTCAACGATTTAGGCTGTAATATGAGTATGAAGTTTTCACTATCTCAACAGTAATCTAGATCAATTCCAACACAATTTAGGAGACCTAAGCGAAGAACAAGGAGAACGAGATTACCGAGACATAAAAACAATGGAGAACAGATACCAAGGAAGATGGGACACTCATATGATGGCCGACTACTGTAGGGGAATCATGCGAGATTGCCCAAGTCAATTTAATTCGAGAAAATCGCTCAAAAGACAATTTCTTGATGTTTAATGCCATAAAAATATATATATTTATTGTAAAAAATGTTTTTTATGTATCTCGAAAACTAGAGCTGATAGAAAAAAACTAATTACATTTTTGATTTCACCATGTAAGACATGCTTATAATCAGGTCTAAAATCCCCGGCACCAAAATAGTTGTAGGCCAGTGTTATCATTTAAATAATAATGTACCTATATATTTTGTATTAGATAGGTAGTTATTTTTTATTAAATTTTTATTTAAAAGCCATAAGGTTTCGCCAGGAGTCGTTCTCGGGTACACCAAGCTTAATAGCAAAGCTTTGACTTAGCTGAAAGGGCGATATATACATATGCTTCACATATTAAAAATATTGGAATGTAAATAATGAAAAGCTAATTTCCCATTGAAATCTGCCTAGAGTTTTTACAATTATTTATTACTATACTACTACTGTATATTATATCTAATAATAAGGTTAAATAAATGATACAATTATGTTTTAATTTTTACTTTATAATAATATTGTTTCCGAATACGGTTATTCATGCGTAATTTGGTTTATACTATGGGAAACCGCTGAGGTGAAAATATCTTAAATTTAGAAAACAAATTGCATTTATTTTTATTTATTTTTTATATTATTCACAATACTATTTCTATTCTTTATGTAGGTATATTATCATCATAAATTTTATTCTTCTAGAGGTTGCTCTACTTCAGAGACTTCAGCGTTTTCCTCCGCGTAAATGTGCAGTTCATTTATGGAATAGGGTCCCTCATTACATTTTGGTCCATCACAGGAGAAATTATCATATTCACAATGATCACCAATTATTACCTGCAATTTAACAAATATTGTATGTTCAATTGTACACCCGTAATATTATAAAAATCTAGACTAAACTTTTAACTTCCTATTCACACACTCATAACCTGTAGCTACTTTAGACATGGCAGACATATTTATGCGTCTATTTTCTTAATTTTTAAATAAAATCAACTGTCTTTGTCATCAAAATCTCTACGTGATACAAATATCAACTCTTGTACGAGCCAAGGCTGTACATTTTTCTCACTGGCTTTCTTAGTTGCGATTACCTTAATCGTCGGAGTTAGTACGCCTCGAGAGCAGAAGAGAGAGCCAGACTCTCTTCAGCATTTCATTTATAGCATTATTAGGAATTAATTAATTATAATTTATTCTTTTGTTATACGTGAGTCATATAGAGTGAAAATAAAATCCTCTATTACTTAAAGCACCCCGTTGACCCAGGAACCGTACAACTATATTTATGTTATAATGTAAGTGAGTACCTACGGCAATTTCACTATACCTCTATTCCTCTATCATTATTTCAATTTTTTTTATTGCTTCAATATGTCATCAATAAATATAATTATTTCCATTCCACGATCTTGATTTCAGACCTCGTAGTTAATTTACATTCATCAATTGTATAATTAACGTGCAGGTTAACAAATCAATACATGATATTTTTTATTTTTTATTGAAAAGATTTTACCTTGCTTGGATTCTCAGGATCGGGATTCGCATTGCAAAAACATTTTCCGCACACGCATTTCCCCCTGGCATGGCATTCAGGTCCCTCTGTCATGCCTTCCGGACGACAGTTATTTTCCATTTCCATATCCTTCGCAAGCACATCTTGCATTTTCGTAAAGACTCACTGTCAAATACCGAATACGTTTCATACAAAAATGTTATATCGTTAAATCGCATTATGTAAGTTAAATTTATTCAACTAAATTAATATGTTTTATAGTAAATTTAAGTGGTGTATTAACCTATTAATAATGGCATGCAAGAAAACATTTTTTTTAAATTTAACGACAAATAATCACGAATTAACATAGTTGTAGTCTGGAAACCTTTGGATAGCTTATTTAAGTACAGTGTGTCAGCAGTATTGTTTTATCAATACTATCTTTGTTTTTCAATTCATTTGATTTTTCTAATGTACTAGCTGTGCCCAGTAGTTCTCAGATGTTAATTGATCCAAGCGTGCTACAATCTTTTTTAGCTATTCAAGAGAAAAATAAATTTAAATACGAGAGCAATAATTGTGATTAACGCGTTGAAAAAACAAACTCTTTCGCTAGATTTTACAAAGTTTGAAGCTTCCGGTACTCGGGTTTGGATAATTCTGAACTTTGCACTCATTGTGAGGGGTTACTTACTTTCATAATTATGTGTTCTCACTGTTTCATTGCAAAATTGTTCCGCAGTGTTTGTTCTTTCAGAGAAACAAACACTCTTTGAGGGGCACCAAGAACATTGTCCTAGCTGCAAGCAGTCCACGCATGTCTTTTTAATTCTACATATCCAAGACTCGTCTAAGCCTGCTATTTTATACGAATTTATTGACACAATTAACAAAGTCATAAACACCAAACTAAAGTGCATGTTCATTTTGAAGTTGCTAAAACACTGGTTCCGCAAGATAACTTAGCATGTCATACAGCGTAATTTACTCTGATAACCTTTGTACTGAACTTTACGTAAATATTTAGATCATAGGTATATTGCGCCTAGTTAAAAAAATTATGTAATTGATAGTAGGTTCTTAGCCGGATTTTTCTATAGTTCGTCTTCAGAAAGTGTTTTAATTGTGTTAATAAAATTACATTTTTGGTATTATTGATGAAAGATTTTCAATTTATAAATAAATTGAAAAGGACTGAATTTAAAAAGTCTTTCAGCATTAGAATGCTGCATTATACATGCGCAACATATGCTATATTTATTTGCAAACAGTAAATTGTTTTGTAAATTACTGATAGGGTGCTAGTTATTTATAAACTACCTATTACTTTTTTGAAAATTGTTCGTACTGTTAATTGCTTTTGTTTTAACTTTAATATCTACATTCATTAATTTTTATCATTGTTCAAGCACACTTTTTTATACTATTACCAGTGGCGGATTTATAGATTTGCCGCCCGTAGGCTACTCAATTTTTGCCGCCTCTAAATTTTGCTATCTTAGTCCACAATCATATCAATTTTCTATCAATAAAATTCCAACTTTATAATTTGTGCTCCATCATCCTCGTTAGATCAACTTTTCCCATATAGTTATTATTATTGAGAACTATGGTACCGTGTTAGATCCTTGATTATTTTTACAGCAAAGAATTATCAAAAAACATTATTTTAAGGAAAAAATATCTCAATCGTATACCACTTTTAAAGTAAGGTAAGGTATGTCTTAAAACTATACAATACTTACAAAATATGAATTAAGCTTACGTAAAAAACATACATTTGGCGAACGTTGATTAACATTTATTATTACACTCACAGTTTAAAAACAATACAATAAATATATATTTTCTTTATGCAATGCATTACAATACTTTTTGCGAGGCTTTGAATTCGCAAAATCATTTATTATATCGTCGTACGAAATCTTGTTCATTAGCTCTGACTCTATGCACAAGAGAGCTAAAGCGTTTAGCTTTTCTTGACTTAAAGTCGATCGTAGGTAGTTCTTTACTCTCTTCAAGCAAGAGAAGCTTCTTTCACCTGAACAATTTGCCGCTGGTGTATAAAGAGCCATACGAAGTGCTATATCCAAGGTTGGATAAATGTTTCCTAGATTCTGTTCTTGCAGGAATGAAGACAGACTTATTAATGATCCGTTGAATAAAAAATTGCAGCTGAGTATTGTTTTATCTTATTATAATTAATTCATTCCGATTGGCATTTTCTGAAAAAGTTGGCTTTGCGAAAAAGTTATCGAATCTACTGATGTAAACATTTAATTTAAATAATTCGTGTACGACATGAGCGCTTAAGGCCTGCTCATTTGGATTTTCCAAACTTTTCTTACTGCAAATAAAATAATTAACTGATAAAATGTATCAATTTTCTAATGAGCAAATTGTCTCACTTCATATTTTGTGGAGGGGATTTTTTTATTGTCAAGTCACAGTCGTTCAACTATCAGTTATTTGATTAATATTATGATCTCTATAAGATATTGAACTAGTTTTTTATTTAATAAAAATTAGTCAATTTTAGTCAGTATTTTTATTAGACCATCGATATTATATCGATTGAATTGGGTAAGCAGATCTCATAATTATTAGGTACACGGAGAAAAAATTATAGCTGTTTTCAGTGAAGAATATATGTAAAAATTACTAAATTTCGATTATAATATCGAATCGCGATATTCTAAAAGTTCATAATCATTAATGTATAATTAGTAAAGCGTTTAGGAATTGTTCATGCAGAGATGTTGAAATATTTATTAATTAGCACATAGTATGTGAGAATATTTAGATTTTTGTTAAATATTCTAATTTCTCTCCAATTTTCGAAATTCGTATTATGTGTGTGTATAATTTTTTTTTTAAATTTGTAAACCGAAATAAAAAATTTATGAACTAAATTTGCCGCCCCAGGCTCCAGCCTACTCAGCCTGCTGGTAAATCCGCCACTGACTATTACGAAGTAGCAGGCATGCCATGTCCATAAGTGTCAAATGTACCGAGTATCGGTTATTGTCTATTACTGTCCGTAAACCATTTTCAATTAAGTATAAGAATTTGCGAATACGCTCAATATAGTCTCACGAGATTTCCTTTTTAGAAACAGTTACAAGGTGTATTTCTACCATAACTGTCAGAAGGTTCAGCTGTTTAGATGAGAATCAACAATTCAATTCAGATTGTACTGATTACTTCATCGGCTGTTGTAGGTACTCATGCTCCTATACTTTTATCTACTTATTAATAAATCAAAATAAATTTAGTTGGAGCTTTAGATTAGTTGAGATTGAAACCTACATTCACATAAGTGAAAGGTGACTAGTGAATAAATATTGAAAGAGAACAGGGTATTCAGAAGTGATTTTGTTGGTGCACGATGGATAATTTTGATGGATATTTTATTTCATAGGTTGTGAAATAGGTTTTATACCGAACGCATTATTAATATTTAAATCTCAGTCGAAATCGAGTGATTATCATGATGAAATGACTAGAATTAATTCCTAACCTGCCACCTACTCTTAGTTGTAATGGAAAATGCATCTGCACCAAACTGTACTATACTGTTAATACGGCACACTTTGATAACGGTTATCTTTTAGTTACTTACAAATAAATAAATTCGATTATTTCGTATGACTAAATTTACGAAAATAAATATGGTAATTTTATTTAGGGTCCCATAACAAAGGAAGAATAAAGCTCGAAACTTCCTTCCTTCCTTCCATATAGAAAGAGGGGAAAGACAAGGGGCCCCGCTCTCACCCACTATTTTCATAGCCATAATCGAAAACATCATGTAAAGTTAGATTGTAAAACAGGACTCTATATAATAGGCACCTACCTAAGTCACCTGAGGTTCGCTGATGACCTGATACTTCTGTCAGAGACAGTCAACGAGATGCAATTCATGATAAAATCTCTAAAACAAGCGAGTGCGGAAGTTGGATTGGAGATGACTCTAACGAAGACAAAGATAATGATTAATACACGAATAAGACCTATCAACTTGGACCAACTTTTAGAATATGTAGAAAATTATACCTGGGAAAAAGAATAAGTTTCGAGAAAAACAGTACCTAACATTATAGAAATATAAAGAAGGGTCCAACAAACCTGGAATAAATATTAGAGCCTAAAAGAAATATTTAAGAGTAAACCAATAGGTATCTCTCAAAGCTAAAGTTGTGAACTCATGTCTACAACCCAGCTTAACTTATGGAAGCCAGATCTGAAAATTCTCTACACAAGCTGTGAATAAAATATAAAAAAACAGGTATACGATAGCATTTGCTCGTGTCTGCCTGAAGTTAGAAACCTTGTCAAACTGCAAAAAATAAAAAAATGGCAGACATCTAGGACTATGACCTTTCAAATTATGAATTTTTAAGGATTTTTTTTAAATATAAAACACACTTGCACGCTTGGCAGACCTGCAGTGTTCGTTTAAAAACCCTGCGACCGCAGACAAATAGTCTGCCACCAACGTAGCGCTGCGTTTTCTATTAAGAGCGCTTCAAAAGTGTCGATGTAAAAAAAAAGTGTGCTATATCATTTGCTCGTGTCTGCCTCTTTGACTGTTGTTTATATCTAATATATAAAATTCTCGTGTCACAGTTTTCGTTGCCATACTCCTCCGAAACGGCTTGACCGATTTTGATGAAATTTTTTGTGCTTATCCGGTATCTATGAGAATCGGCCAACATCTATTTTTCATCCCCCTAAATGTTAGGGGTAGTCCACCCCTAAAAAAATTTTTTTTTAATTTTTAGACAAAATTTTTAATTTCTATTTTTTTATGATACAACATACAAAAATACATACAATCCTCAATTTTCACGCCTCTACGATCAACCCCTATTTTTTATTTGTTAATTAAAATCTTATGACTTGAACTCTGAGGTATATATAGAGAAAAATTCACAGAAAAACCTAAAAAGTTTTCATTTGGAAAACCGAACATTCTCTGGGGTAGCATAGCAAAATGTTCCATGTTGGTACGTACTAAAAAGGTAGGCTAGGTAAAATCACATTAAGGAGAAACGAAGTTCGCGGGGGCAGCTAGTTGCTTATAAAAAAATATAAATGAGGCAAACACCCAGGCCACTGATATTCCGAAAGCAGACCATTTTAACGTTTTTGTATGTTATTTTTTTCTTCTTTTTTTCGGATCGGGGTTCTTATCATGTTCGCAGGTCAATAAAAAAAAACATACCTACTACGAATAATCGCTTTAATTAGCCATAATACTTTTCTTCAGATTTGCGGATTTCAACGAACAGTAACAGTTAAATATCTGCAAATTTTTTGTTTGTATTCAGGGTGTCGAAATCGAATGGCAATTACAGCTACGATAAAATGATTTAGTAGGGCCCTTTTTTTACATCTACCTCCTGTGATAACACAAATACCTTTCTTAGATATTTTATAGATTTTCTTTGTTATCTAAATGGTAAATTGTCCATAAACCCCAGATCCAGACACAAGCAAATTATTTAGTATCAACTTTTTTTTACAGATTTAAATCCCTGTCGTTTAAAAATGCATCAGTACGACCTTCATTCATTTAGAAATTTTTGTCGTACCAATACGAAATACAAGCACAACATATTATTATAGTTAATGCTGGCGAGCTCCCTAGCCTAGAGGTAAATTAATTATTGTGAACGGAATATACGGTGGTTCTGGTTAAGGACAGATTCTATAGATTACAGATGATACAAGTACTCCTGCACCGTCTGTGGTTGTAATTGTCAGTTGTCTTAGAATATATAATCAAAATCATCTGCACATTGTTCAAAAATCTTTCAGCTGACAGTTCGTTTAATAAATAAAACTATTTATTTCTAAAACAATAAACTATGATAAAGTTTTATAATAAATAAAACCATTTCTTTGATTAATAATTTATGTTGTTATTAAGGTTCTTATTTTTATTCCAATATCCATTCGTAAATGCGGTACTTCTTTAAAAGCCTAAAGTTTCATAAAAAGATTTCAGCATGCAATTTCAGGCATATTATACATCAGAAACATGTGGCTTTAAATACTACAGAATAAAAGATGTTCACATGGCAAATAACTTATTTATGGGCTCTTACAGATAACACTATATTTGTTAGTTTGTCAGGGGTTTTTCTTATACTATTACTATTTCAGCCAAAATGGAAAATTATTTCAAAGGAAAGAATGTAGAAGAACAAATGGAGAGGGACAAAATACCAATAAACAGCCTTCCTGTTGATTTCCTATGGATGCAGGTAGACTAAATTAATGTTAATGATACTATTACTTTGAATTAAATTTATTCTTAAAAATTAAATTTAGGTAAAGGGAGGCAGTAAAATGACAAATTTACTATCACATGCATCAGGAATATTGGAGGATAAAGCAACTTCCACTGTAGTTTGGAGTGGCGCTGGGGTAGCCATTTCTAAAGTGATATCATGTGCGGAAATCTTAAAACGAAAATTTTCGTTGAAATATCAAGTAACAAAGCTGACATTTAAGAGGTACCAATCGAAATAACTTCCACAACAAAAAAACAAGAAATAAAATAATCATTAATATTATAATATTTTTTTTCAGTGTAGAGGAATATTGGGAGCCCAAACTTGATGGTTTAGAAACAATTGTTGTGAAGAGGCAGATTCCTGTAATCCATATTTTACTGTCATCACAAGAAATAGAAGACACCCAACAACTAGGGTAATTCATTTTGACCCACCCACACTAGAATTAAAATATAATTATCACACACTTTTTTTAAAGATAAAAAGTACCCTGTGTGACAAATTCATCAGCTACACAAATTTCAGAGAAATTAAAGGATTTTAGTAAAAAGTGAAACTCAATTAGAATAAATATTATATTTACATATAACATTAGAAATTAATTGTAATGTTATAATTAAACATTAGAAATTAATTGTAATGTTATAATTAAATAAATATGTTCCATAAAAATGCATACAAGTAACCTGACTAGTTTAAAAAAAAAAGTTTATTTTTTATCTTAATAATATTTATCTCTTTTTTTATTTAAACAAAATGTATTTTAACTTTTTAGATACCAGACATTAGATGGAAACACATTTTGGGAAACAAACAAGTCTTTTATCAAGCAGAATCACGCACAAAAAACTAAGAAACCGTTTAAACATAAGACAAATATTAGTAAAACAAAAATTACAGAGAATTAATTAAAATATTTTTATTTTTCCAAAAAGATTAACATTTTCAAATCTTCCTTAGCAATCATTCTCTTAGGAATGCCTTTTGTTGCATTAAGTTGAGTATGGTTACATTTCATACTAGTGGCAATTCTCTAGTTGATTATTAAACCTTGTTCATAACTAAAAAAAAGTTGAATTTCACTAAGGTATATAAGAGTTATATAAAGAAAATTGGATCCAACTATCAACTGACTTATGCTTCGGATTCCCCAACTGGCTGATTAATTGGTACTTCATCATCAAGTTTTGGCAAAATCAATATTTCCTTAGAGATAATAGAATATTTTGTCACAAAGTATGTAAACCGTTTGCAGAGATGTGTTTCTTTTTCAAAAGCATCAAATATGGCACGATGATGGAAATAAGCATGTGAGAATATTCTGTATACCCTGCGGCAAACTGAACCTAGTTTTCCAACTGATGAGTCTCTAATGCTCACTCTGCAAAGAAAAGAATTAATTAAATACTTATTATGAACATATTTTTAAACAGATTTTATATTATATGATTATTAAGATATTTATTATTGAAAGACATTTTACCTGCTTGGAAAATACTTATTGCTATTCAACAAACAAGCTGCACCATCAAGTGTGTGCCTTGTGTAATCTATAGCAGGGCATTCTTTAGGTGTTTTATGAGCAGCACAAAGAAATATCCATTGCTCAGTAGCAGTCATTTGTGTGCATGTGTTAGGCTTACACTCGCTTTGCAGTCTGACGGTTAAACCATTCAACTCCATACAGAATTGTCTGAAAGTAAAATCAATACAGAATATTGATATTAAGTCTCAATTACAACTGCACATATTCAATTATGATTCAAAACCAACTTAGTTTAGTGGCATCTAAGCAGTTAGGCCAATAAAATGAAACTAATGCAAAATATATAGCATTTTATAACTAAATAGTTCTTTATCTTTACAAGCTAGTAAGTTCTGCTAGGCTTACACGCAGATTTTTAAAGAATACATTCTTTATCAAAAGTCACTGCAATAATTGAAATAAAATGGTTTTATTATAATATGTCAAGGCTAATTCAAGATATGTAGTAATAAAAAGCTGTCTTAATAAGATACAACTATAGATATAATTGCTATTATTTTAATTGTAAGAATATTTTAAATGTAAAGTTAGAAACATTTAATATACATTTATTTTTTTGACGATCTTAAGTGTACATTGTGACCTATTGATTTTTTACTTTTAAGACAATGTACCCAACATGTATGTATTAGTTTTTGAAGCTAAAGAAGTCACCATTGGTGGTATACCAGGATTATGGTATGGTATGAAATTGAACAATATGACTTTGTAAACACTGAAATTATATGGTAATGTTCATCCTATAGTGAAGATAGCAATACTAATGTGGTATACTCTAGGTATGTTTTATCTTACCTCAAATGTTCATACTTCCAAACACCCTCTTCCTGAGCCTCAGGCATTTTTAATATCGCTTCCAGATTTGAGGGATCTCGTCTTATGGTTTGTTGTATCAATTGTTGAACCGCTAGTGTGTTATCCATTTCTTCAAAAGGTTGGTCAGGCCACCGACAGAAATCCTATAATAGTAACAATTGATTGTTAAAATTACGTTTTAAAACATAGGTAAGGTAATTAATATCACACTATAATATTTTCTTTTTAATTATCCCCCTGCAATCTATAAATTTATATAGGTAGTCCATCTACATTTTGTACATAACTTGCAATACCTACCTTTGCTTTTGAGCCAGGACGATTGCGTCTCAGTATTTGCGTTCCTTCCGCCATTGTTGAGATGATGAACTAATAATTGTTATTTAAAAATATGAAAAAAGTTTTTGTTAAAGTACAAACATAAATTACAATAAGAATATCTTAAGATAAAATATTCACAAATGCGGAAACAAATATTCTAGGGTGCGGAACTGCGGACTACAGATTACTATGAGTGTAAAAGAGAAAACTATTATATAGAATAAAACGGTGACTCTAGTCTTAAATTTTAAAAAAAATTATGTCACGCCCTCTTATGACCAGCCCCTGAATGAAAACGATAAAATAAATATAATCTAAGAAATAATGGACTCAGTGTTATACCACTGTAGAATCCTTATTAAATGCGCTAACTATTAAAGCTACTTGCCAAACTGGAGTAATACATTTTTTTTTCAGGACGATCAGTTGAAGTAGTGCGAAAATTAATTTTGAAAACTTGGTACGGTATAAAATGACATTTTCCTAAAAGTTGGAGTGATCAGGGGCCTTAGTCAAGATGCCTTAACAGTAGTGTATGTAGAAAGTCGAAAACTTAATTTGTATGGAAATGACAGTTCGTGTCGAAAAGTTTCATAAAATTTAGTTTTTGACGTCACAATACATCTTGACTAAGGCCCCAGCACAGAGTTTAGGATCATAGGTTACATAAAACACTATTCGGGATGACGTAAGAGAAAAAAAATTGCCAAAAAGTAAATATTTGTAACAACAGGAATGAAAAAACTGTCACATGGTGTGCATTTTCTGGAATAACAAAAAAATATCCATAACTTCAAAAATACATGACTTATTTTTTTTTTTAATTTTTCTGATAACTGATGTGGCATTACCTATGAGAAAATTTCGACTTGACGTCGACTTTTGGGACATCCTGTATATATATATTTTTTAATTTTTCTTTGAAAAACTTCCTGTTTGTATTCTGTTTTTTTTTATCTCTTATTTCTTCCAGCAAGATATAACTAACGGGTCCCCAAAACCACTAGTATCCATGATCAGATTGGCTTTTATAACATTATCCGTTAGGAGCGAGGATCGATTGAGATATCTTCCTAAGGTCGGTAATAATAAACGGTATTATTTATACGGGGCATATATCTTGAGTAATCCTTATACTGGACTGTACAATTACGGAGGTTACGTAGAAGAATGGAAGCTGCGACGGCCTCTTCAAGACGGCTAAGAAATTTGTTTCCCTACTTGCTATTATTGCTATTATGCCGGCACATAATCTTTCTTTTTTTTTTCTATCTTAGGCTATGCTGATTTGCGACCAATGCTATTGCGATCTTAATGAAAATCTACTTTCCGCCTTAAACGTCTTCAGAATTTGTGTGTGATCACATCATAGCCATAAGAAACTGAACTGGCTGCCTATCCGTTTTTGTCGTAATTGTCATATTCCTCCTGTATTCCATACTTTCGATCCCAAAACGTATATTTAAAGGATACAAAGTTATCAATTATTTATATTAGGAACAAAGGTTCCTCTCATAAGTGGTGACTTCTGTTCCCTACAAATACATCTAACTCTATCAATTCCTCCTTTACCGTCTTTGTAATTCAATTATTGTGGAATGTTCTGCCTATTGCCGTGCAGAGCTTCCAAATAGAGAGAGTATATATACGTTAAGGAAACAATATAATATTAATCCAGTGGCGCTACAACCCTAAATGGGTCTTGACCTCAGATTGCATCTGTTTCTTTGGTCTATTTAATTAGTTTAAAATATAATTTATTAGGGATGGCGGTTTAACCTAAGTTCACATTTGACGTGCCTGACTGTTTTGCCCGGTGTCGATTGACGATGTTCTGTGTTAATCTGATAATCTGTGTCAAAACATGATTTTTCTACCTCAATCAATCCTCATATTTCTAATTTCATGTACATTGTACTCATCTGTATTTTGTTCCTAATTATATTTATTTTGTCAAATAAACATTTTTAACTTCCAAATACAAATTCATACATTTGAAGTGTTTTAAAATAGAAAGTTCTTATATATTTCTATCTGGTTAAGTTCTTGAGAATTCAAAAATGGGAAAAGGATTCAATAACTACATGTGTAAAAAGTTTTTCCATCCAGCCTCTCGTGACAACTTAAAGAGAGTAAGTTTGCGTTATACAAGTTCTACCATTCTATACTTTTAAATATTAACTGTCACGAATAATCTGGTGTAAATATACAAAACAAAATACTAAGTGTATAAAAAATGTAAATAGTTGAATGATATTTATATTATTAATATTGTGCAACGAATAAACACAGTTTTACAATTTCCAAGTTATATTTTTGTAGGTATGGATGGCTGAACAAAAAACTGATGCATACAAGAAAAAACAAGAAGAGTTACGGGTCCAATATGAAAAAGAGCAAGAATTACATGAAAATAAGTAATATACATTTAGAGTTTTAGCTTAAAATAATTAACATGTTCCAAATATTAATATACATAGGTATTCATATTTTCTGTATATTAAAAATAATTTTAATGTTAATTATTATTTTTAAACATTATTGATATCTACATTTTATTCCTGTTATTAGAAAAAATATTATCTATATTTATGCTTAACAAAAAAATATAAAGAGATGAATAAATATAGTAAAAAAAAATTTCTTTCAGGGCCTTACTGAGCAAGGATAGTAAAGACAAGCTAAGCTTAAATTTTATGTATGAACCTCCTCCAGGGGTGAAAAAAGAGAGGGAACGTGAAGACAATGAACCAGAATATAAGTTTGAGTGGCAACGGAAATATAATGCTCCTAGAGAAAGCTACTGCAAAGGCGATAATGAAATTCGAGACCAACCATTTGGTATCCTTGTCAGAAATGTGCGCTGTATCAAGTGCCATAAATGGGGACATATTAACACAGGTTTGGATTCTAACTAAATATGACTGTTTCTTCTGAGCTGAATCAATTTTGCTTTTGTTAGAAATGATTAATTTCTGCCTGAATAAGATTTTCTTTATATATGTCACACTTTGGTTTTAGATAAAGAGTGTACTATGTATTCATTGTCTATGAGTGAAGCAAGAGCATTGCAAGCTTCTGCATCAGTTCCTCAAGAGGAAGAGGAAAAGCCAGATGTCCCAACATTAATGCAGCAAATGAGAGATAATGGTTTGGTCATGAAACCTGGTGCCTTGCCACTTGCTGCTACCAAAGTAGAGGAAGGTGAATCTTCCACCCTCACAGAAACCGATCTCATAAGTCAACTGACTAAGAAACAAAAGAAAAAATTGTTAAAGTAAGTAATTATTACATTTTAGTAATTGCTTTCAATATCATAGTTTTATTATGTTATGGTATGCTTCTGAATTGATATCACCAGAGTTTATTTTCTTAAGTTTTAGCACTCTATACAAGAAGAGATGCTTACAAAATAGAAAATAACTATAAAAAATAGGTCAAATGTTGATGCTTCTTTAATATTTTTTTTATTTTTTCACAGGAAATTGGAAAAACTTGAAAGAAAAAAGGATGACAAAAAGAAAGACAAAAAGAACAAGTCTAAACATTAATTCAAGATATGAAATTGATCATTACTCCCATAAATTTCTTATAGTTAATATCAGTTGTATTTTAATGTATGTAGAAATGGTTTTAGTAATAATATGTTATTTATATATTAGAGTGAGTTTTATTTCTTCAAATAAAACACTATATTAATCAATAAAACTATAATCAGTCCTAATTCATGGAATATAATGATATTATATTTATTTGTATGAATATCACAATACTTTCTTAAACATTTTACTATATAAGGGTAGATTTATAACTTAACATAAGTTTTGTCATCAATTTCAATGATATCCTGTCTATCATTTCTTTCCTTCCAATGCAAATATAAAACACATCCAATAATTACTATAACTATAGCAGTTAATACAAATACACTCTTAAGAATAACTTTGCTTGGAGTAACAAATAACTGAGCTCTCCATTGTGAGGGATCATTGGGTGGAGCAGGTATTAAAACTATTTGGGAATTTGGTATAATCTGAGTCCAGCTTTTAGAGTAACCAGAGAGTCCCACAGTTAAAGTATCAACAAAATTTGGAGTACGATCTAGACCAAATATGGAATATGGTAATTGCAGTGCATAATATGCTGATTGTGGTAATTGTGCACAAACTCCAGTCCTGTATGTACCTTCCTGAGACCATGTGTTGTAACCAATTTTTGGTCCTGGCAAATTAGTTCCTGAAGGAAAAAAATATTTTTATCATTTACACAAATAATATACTACTACTACTAGCAAAAGAATAGTTATTACCAAATGTAACCTTTCTGGTGTATAGAGTGCCATTTATGGTTGGTACTTTTTTATTACTAAGGCCAGTAACTACAATTACTTTAACAAAATTGGTATCATACTCCAATTCATTACGAAAAGCTTTCATTAAGTATTTTCCTGTGGTTATATTTTTTTGGACATAAATTACATCAAGCACTCCATCCATGTAAAAGTCGTAAAAAGTTCCCATAACAACATTATTTCCAAAAGAATCAAATTTTTCCCATTGAACTTCAAAAGTTCTATGAAATTTACATCCTGGTAGATTGCATGCTACATTGTGCATTAAAAATACTTTAGTTTCATTATTGTTACTTGTAGGACTGAGTGTCATAAGAATATCAGGATATCCATCCATATTGTAATCCCCGCTTCTCATGGTTATTGTTTCTAAATAAGGCTCATCTCTTGGTGGTATAAAATGCCATAAAGTTCCTTTTCCGTCATTAAAGTCAACTTGTAAATCATGCCACTGTTTATTATCATATATCAGGATTGTGCTGTTAATACATCCAAGATCATAACACACTGGTAGAACTAAAAAGAATTCACCTGATAAAGCTACATCAATAAACAATGCTTGACCATATATTGTTGCAAAGCCAACAAGAAGTTCAATACTGTTATTATATTTAAAACCACTTGGTTCTTCATTTAACCATACTTCAACATCCAATTTTGTAGTCACTAAAAGATCAGCTGCATTATCATCATTTACATCTAAAAATGAATGTGAATGAGGCAATTTGATTTCCTTATACTTATCATTGCCCATAATTATTTCCATAGGAGTAGACCTTGAGTTATCAAATACCCAAAAAACTCTTTCCTTTTGAGCATTCATACCAAAAAGATCTAATATCATATCACGATTATAATCAAGTACTAGTGGTTGGCCAAAAGTTACTGCTTTTATTGAATTAGCATTACTACAGTTAAGGTCTGGCATTCCACCCCATAATATATGTACTTCATGTAAAGATGTTTCATTTTGAACTGCTTTAGTAAATAAAATATCCATGTAAGCATCTCCATCAAAGTCACCTGGAACTATACTAGTGATAATGTCATTGCTAAAATTACAACTTAGAGATGGTCTTAGAAAAGGTTCCTTGTCATGAGCTAGAAGCACCTCAATAGTGGATCCATTTATAATAAACGCATCTGTCAATTCATCTGAATTAAAGTCACCAAATGCAGCAATTAGTCCTTTATTGCTTTTACCAAATGAACTTTCCGTCATATCACTAATAGAAGTTACTCCTCTATAAAATATAAAGGCTAATAATACAAAATACATTTTAAAAGGCGATTTGAAGCCTTGACATAAAAAGATACTGTCTTATTTCAGGTTTTACAGTGACTCAAAAGTCAGGGTTTTAGGTGAATGTACTAGGTACTTTGTTTGTACATATCAAAATCACATTGTTTGGTTTTAATTTAATTAATATATATCTAAGTCATAAGTGACACTTCTCAAACAAAGAGTGAGCGTGTTTTCATTAATATTTACATTAGTTTGACACACAAATGATTTATTGTAAACGATAAACGAAATATGTGAAATTGTGAATTGAAAAATTGAAATGATTCTATTCAAATTTCAATCGTAAAACTTTGTTTTTTTTATAACAGACTGTTAAAAAAATAAATATACAAATTGTAAAAGTCATGATGATATTAATTTATCCCTAATGGGAAAGGCAAAGGACTTAGAGTTTAGTCTTGTTCTACTCTTGGTCTTAGGTTTTAGTTCACTTTGACATTGTCACTCTAGTGACTCTAGTCATAAGTCATTGTCTCTAGTGTCAAATAAAACGTCAAGAGTACTATTAAAGATAAAAGAATGGTTTTGTATTTGTGAATTGTGTACCTATGGGCTATGGATACATAGTGTAGGAAAATTGTGTGCTAAATTGTTGTGGCGAGTAGTCCGTGAAAATTGTAAAATTAAATCTTTTAAATTAATTTATGGAGATAATTGTGATTGCTTTGTGTATATAGACAATATTTAAAACATTTGATTGATTTATTACTGGTGATTGTAAAGTACATTATTTAAAAGTATCAAAGAGACTGAGTGAGTTGAGCCTATAATCCGGATTCACATTAACTTCTTGTCGTTGTGTTGCTTTACGTTTTAACACATTCATACAGTTTTATCGTGTTGGGAGTATTTTTAGAATTGCCTGCAGTGTTGAAGCTCCATGTCTTTGTAAACATATTATTATGCTTGTGAATAGTTGCGCCGTTTTTATATGAACTTTTGGATTATAGCTTGGTGTTTTCTTAAGTTTCAACAACAATGTGATGAAAGTTGAGTGTTTGTCCGAAGATAAAAGTATACAAAGAAGCTTAATTTATTTTATGGTAAGTTAATTTACATGAGATTAATGTTTTTATGACTTTCATAAATTTATTATTATTTAAAGTCATTATTAATGAGAACATAAATTTTATATAGTTAAATAACTGGGAAAGAAAAAAATGTATTGCACATACTTACAATAGTATTTGTTGCTTGTTAGTAATATATGAATTACAATAGTTGTGAATGTACAACTTTGTATAATTTGTCTAATATTCTGTTAAAAATATTGTCAAATAAACAACATTTATAGACAATTTTTTACTTTCTACTGTTTTTATTTGTTTTATCTTTTAAATCTTTGTCTTCATCAGTAAAAACATGTTTTTATTTCATTTAAACACCATTGATACATACCACACCATGCATAGTTAAAAATATGTTCTAGTTATATTATAAAACCTTAGGAAACATGTGAAGTAATGATACTCCTTTATAAAACAAAAGATTTCTTTCAAATCAGTTCTTGACCAATCACTTTTAAATATGTAGTATTAAATTATTGGTTGCAAAAGATTACAGATACATTAATGTTAAAAAGTGTTTTTAAGTGATGTTGTTTTATTATGTGTTCCATAATTTGTATTACGTAGTTATGTTAATCATAAATAAAAGTATTACACTTTATATTTTTAATGCAAGAGGACTACCATAAATAGACTCAATGTGTTTTTAAAACAGATTAAAAAGGTTTTATAATTTATTTTTGAACTAAAGTATCAGGCCTTTTTCTATTTGCCCTTGTTTCTTAATGTAAATTCTGTATATTTATTATAATTTAAGTTATATGCTGAAAAATCCCAATATTATTACACTAAAATAAGTATATAATAAATTTGTTTCATTAACATGATAGTGTGATTTCTGTAATGGAATCATACCTATTCTTTTAAGCAGGTTCAGATTTGAAGGCAAATGAAGATTCAAATGTACAGAATTATTATTAGCTATATTCTCATGTATAATATTGATTTTGTTAAACTGAAGGGTCAGGTATTTAAGTTATTATTGTATCATTGAATATTTCTTATATTACTACTGTAACAACTCTCCTATTAAATATTATAATTCTAATTCAAAATACATGCTGTGTTTAACTAGTACTTTAAATAGCATGTTAAAGATGCCAGGTGTTGAAATTCAGTATTATATTAAAAGTATATGGATAATATAAACTATTATTGTTATTTCCTATATTAGATAGCCCAAGCTTAGGTCCGAGTCTCTCAGGAGATACCCTGGTGCTAGTTTTGAAAAAAAAAAAGCATTTTTCCAGGTAACTCTCGCCAAAGTTCACATAACAGTAGGAGATGAACTCTCAAGGCACTTCTGTTGAGATTCCTTTTATAAAGATTTTTTTTATATTTTGATTATATTTATAGTGTTTTGTCATTTGTTATTCCACTCCCAATTGACAAGACTTATTGCCATTTAGTGGAAAATTTAGGTGGAAGATACAGGAGCAAGAGCATGCAAGAGCTTAATATTGGCCAGATTTATGAAAGTATGTTTTGGTGTAACACCAAAAATACACTAATGTGCAAACTGATATTTGAGAATGATAACAGTATTTAGGAAATCACAGTAGAGGCGTTCTGAAGGGGGTAGCCATAGGTCTAATATGTTTAAATTTAAACTATTATTTGTTCACATAAACTTATTTGTAAAAGATAGTGTAAATCTTTTATGTGTAAATTGTTATTAACTTCTTATCTACATACCGGTGTCTGAAATAAATGTGACAATTATTTTATATTGCATATATGTATCTACTTTTATGATTATATATTCTTGGGTTGGCCACTTAAAATCTACACCAACATTTTATTGAATTCCCAAGCTACACAATTCACATAGTACCATTTCATGGCTTAAATTTTTTGCCTAATGATTTAATGCTATTTGGGAAACCAGTTGTCAAAAATTTAATCTAGTTTAGATATATCTACATTGTGAGATGTCTACATAATGTTAGTATGTTGGCTGCGTGGTCGATTTTTATTATCTTGTATGGTGGGTGTGTTGGGGAGTGGCTGGACAAACATCGCCCCGCCGTGATCGATATTATAACGAACTATTCCGCTTACAACATCAACATTCCCCTACTAAAATTTAAGATGTGCATTGATATGATCATTACCTTATCTAATGTATACGTTGGTTCTCGCGACCGACTAACCGATGTTCCAATGGTCATACCTTAAATTAAATCGGTCCGTAACACATTGAATAGAAAAACAAATGTGTATTCGTGGAAATATGTGTAATAATAATATAATATGAAACTTACGTTAACTAAATGTCATTTTGAAGAAACAACTATTGACCTAATTTAAAGAGTAGTAAAGGAAAATTTCAGAATATTATTTTTCTTATTGGTTTCATAAATAATGTATTGTCAGAATCGGATCACTCTGCGTTATGCGTCATACGTAAAAAACAACATATTCACATCGAATTACAAATTTGTTTTCGTCGCTTAAAAATCAGTTCACAGTAGTGTTACCACGAATGTGTAAGGCATTTTGTTTATTCAGTATTTGGTTGGAGGCCTTGGGTTTAAGTCGGGTATATTATATTTCTCTTACATACAATATACTCTTTGCTACGAGACATTCTCGAATCACCAACGGGGCATAATGGTTTTTCGAAGTCTGTTTTTTTTTAAATTGTTGTTTGTTTTTAATTGTTTACACAATCATAGTCTAATCCCTTTCTATTCTCTTAGGGATTAAATCCACTTTACGTAGTTGGAATTTAATATCAAACAAAAAAAAGTAGTCTTAGGCTATGTTCAGATGGCAAAAACTTGACGCGCGTTTTCAAATCGCGCGACTAGAGATTATGGTATTTTTCATACCATAACTCTATTCACATGTACGCGCGTTAACGCGCGTCAACGCGGCGCTCAGAGAAAAAGTCTCTAGACGCAGGTGATCGCGCGTTGATGCGCGCTTTGATATTAATGTAATGTCCGTTTGCTGTTCAGATGAGCGCGCGCTTTCATCGCGATCGCATGTAATTTTATTAATTTTCGTAATTATATTTTGTTCTCGCTTTTAAAATGAGTGAAATTGAAGATATTGACATCGACTTACTAATCGATGAAGTAGAAAAAAGGTCAGCAAGTTGGAATATAGCAAATTTGTATAAAAAATATAATATAAATTGTATTTTTTTTTCAAAATTGGATAAACCCAATGTGTACGTTTTCTTTTTCTATATTTTTCTTTATAATATAACCACAAAATAATAGCCTTTTCCACGTCCATTTTCTACGTTCTACCGAACTAGACTGACGAGTACTCTCGCAACGCGCGTTAGCGCTCATCATCTGAACGCTCTTCAAATTTGATCGCGCGTTGACGCGCGTTACATGTGAACATAGCCTTAACCAACTCTAAATACTAGATCAAAAATCTTTTATTCTCCAGTCGGCTGGTTCCATTATAGGGACAAAAAATAACAACAATGTAATGTTACTATATTTTTATTCGGGATAATTAAAATTTAACTGCTAACCAATATTAGTTTAAATTATTGTAATTATAAAATATTGTGTTAGTCGATTGCTATTGGCAATTCAGTTGAATCTTCCAACTGCAAAAACACCCGTTTGTAAGTGGTTTTAAAGATTTACATGTAAATGTAATTCATGAATATCTAACATGGAATGTATGCTCACTAAGTAGTGTGACCGTTGAATCAGCTAGCTTATGTATTTGGTGTTATTAATAGCTCAGTAAATATGTACCCAAAGTCGAGGCTACAAATATTTAATACGAGTAAAGAATTGTTGATTGTTACGTCCTTAGAATTAATTGAATTAAAGTTACGTCCCTGGGATGTAGATATGGTTTTATTTTTAATTAGCTTAGTTAATTTGACTTTTCCATTTGAGAAATTTCTTTGACCTTATAGATAGTCTTAGTTCAGCTTGTCTGTAGATTACAAAATTCTTCTAAAACCCGATTTTAAATGAGCTTTCTAAAGATTATATTGTATTGATAAGGACTGTATTCTGAATATAGTATACCGTCGTTGGTGTTTTTACATTGATTAATAGTATAGCTAATGTTTATATATATGAAGATATATGCGTAATATTTTTCGTCATTCTGCCTTGATAAGCTGGCATGTGTGTGTGCTCGATTCACGAACAAAAGTAAAAATCTATATTTCACAGTCTTTTTTAATCTCACGTTATTTCTTTATTCAATGTGCGTTTTGCATTTTATATAGTATTCCCAAATGTTTTTTTACTTATGATTGTCCCTCAATTCCCCTCTTTAGACGTGGCATGCGCAACATGTATCACCGGACTGTCTGTGTTTCAATCCACGATCTCGTATTGGCCATTGTCAAAATATGTATCTCAATGAGGTATAATGTATTATCTTAATATGTTTTTCCGGTATCCATCCCTGAACCTTAATCGTGAAGGACACGGGAATATAACAATTAGGATGTAATATATCATGGCAGTATTGTCCATAGGCTCAACGTCTTTCAGATTGTTAGAACTCTATGGGAAGAGATTTTTTTTTATAAGTAATTAATCAGCCACGAACCCTGAACTTCCATTATGCACTCTGTTGATATTTTACATATTGTTTATTAAATTAACACTAACATAAGTTAACAAATTATATTGCAAAGATTATGTTTTTTTTTGTAGCCCTGTGTACCTACCTAATCTTTGCATTTTTATTAATGTCTAAAAATAACTAGAGCGTTATCGCTCACGTTATCTCAAGGCGAGATGGGTGTAACTGTCGGATACTATGGGTATATGTACGTTTTGACTACCAGACTACAAACGACTTTTGGGTATTCTTTCTTCTTTGCTCACGTGACATCGTTCTTTGTGACGTCAAACATGTCGCGACGTCAGCTGAGCTTTTTTGAATTCAGTTTGACGCAACTCCCGACGAAGTCATTACATTTTGTATGAATCGCGTATTTGTCCTAATTATTTATGTATATGTTACAGCATAAATTTTCGTGTGAAGTCTTTTCTAGTGTGACTGATTCATATTATCTCGTTCGGGTCTTTGGTCTGTCTAAAGAACGAAGAACGTATAAGATATAATATTGCAAATATTAAAATTATTCGTGAAAGTTATACACGTAGGATTATTATAAATATATCCTACGCGTATCCTATCCTATTATAACATTGACAAATAATTTTCATAACTTAAGGAAAAAGGAATGTAAATAGTTTTTGAAACATTATTCACTTATGACAAAAATATTTATCCATTTTTCAAGCAACGAAACAAAATATATATAAAGATGAAAATACGTTTCATATTAGCTTAGAAGTAGTGTTTTCTTGCCGAAATAACGTCATGTCAATTGGTTTAATCGGTCTCCGGCTGTGAGCCAATTACTTACTTGACAGCAGGGAAGTAATTCCTACATTTGAGGGCGGAAAGCGAGCTGCAGGAAGACTTCCCTTTTATTAATCTACGAAAATAGAACTTATATTATACACGTATGATGTTTTTGTTAACTTAATTCTTTAGTAGTCCTTTACAATCCATGAAGTTTATTAGATTTTAGCCATTTTGACCGCCAATGGGGCGTTAGCATGTCGGTGTGAAAACACTTTAATATGTTAGTTTCATTGTAACCTTTTAAAAAGTATACGAAAGAACTGTGCCTGACAAGGTAACCTGTAATGTAAATGTAAATAAATAAAATTTTAAACAACTACTTATACTTATATTCAGTACAAAAATTGTGTTTCTGGATGTCATGAATTAAATTCTAAAATATAATCAATGTAATTAGAGAATGTAATCTAAAGAATATCTTGAGATTATAATGGTGAAATATTTGATAGGCTTTTCTTAGGGTGAGGTTCAGAAATTCGATGAGGCGCGAACTATATATGACTTGTATGTTAAAATCCAATACCTATATGTAATAATGAACTGAATTGGAGTCACCTTAGTGCTTTACCGCTACCACTTAATGATTTGTGTTATATCAATTATACAGATATTTGATAAAATCATAAAACGTAATTTCTAGAAATATTTTGCGACTTCATAACTATCAATCTATTGTCTCTCCCTTACGTGTACTATAACCCTTACGTGTAGTATAATATAAACATATTAAAATCTTATTTTCTGTCTCTTCATACGGTAGCTCAAGTCTGAGCGTCGTGGACAGTAAGGAAAAATCTGGAGCGGTCAGTCTGTTTCCACCGGTTTCTGTCCAGCGTCTTTCTTATAATAGTGTATGGTTTTGAGAAGGATTACTCTTTCATTTGATCGGTCCATCTAGTTCATAAACGTGATCTTTTTCCTTCTGTGTTACCAACCACGATCAGTTTCTCCAAGTTCTTATCGCCTCTGCGAAATTTGATATACTACGCTGTCCGCATATGGTAGACAGGCGAGTCCGTATGCGTAGTTGCAATTAAAATGGCACGGTTAATTAATGTATCCCGCGTAAAAAAAACAGCTTTAATATAAAATTTATCCTATTTATAATATTTAGTTAGTGTTAGTTTAGTCACACATATATTTGTATGTTGCTTTCAGGTGCTAGCGGCAAGGTGAAGGCGGCGGCATGTGGCGCGGCGCGCGGGTCCTTGTACTCGCGGCGCTGGGCCTGCTGGCCGCGTCTTCGGTCGATGCACAGATCCCCAAGAAGTTCAACATCACCATTGGTTACCTGCCCTCTATTAAGGGCGAGCTCAGATCGAGACAGGGTCTCGCCATTTCTGGAGCCCTATCTATGGCTCTCGAAGAGGTAGTTGATTTAATATATTCCATTCGGATTCGGCGTATTTGTGATTGTTCTAGGAAACAAAGAGACAGACAGTCTAAACTGAAATGCAAATGATAATTAATTGTTCTGTCACACACACGATATAATAAATGAAAACAAATTTACAAATGCTAAACAGCTTTAATTTTCAGAACTACACAATAATTTATTGATTTTTTTCGTCACAAAACTTTCGCTCTTTAATTTGAGTCTGTGCGGAAGGTACTCTACCTTGGAATCTGCGCCAGTACTCTTTAACTGACTTTAGTCTCTTGTCTGACCAGCTAAAGACAATTATGGGTCTCAGCACTTAATACACTGATACAAGCTGAGGATAGACTGGTGTGGAGGCTTTTCAGTAATGAAGTTTGCGAAGAAGAAGAACTCTTTAACTTCCAATAGCGATACCGATTCCGACGTTTTTGTATGCAATTTTGATGTAGTTCTCTCAATGTCCGTAACGCTACTTTGTGATAAGCTGTACAAAAACTTTGTACTTCCAATAGGCATTGGTATTAGAAGTTACAGAGTAAGGGGTTTGTGGGTGGCGTAACAATAGAGTGGCAGGGCTGGCAAAATGCCACGGACTCCCGACGCAAGAGTGCCCCTGCCCAAGAGATATTATGTTCTATGGATGAACGTGAAGTCTCCAATACGCATTGGGCCAGTATGGGGACTACAGACCAGTCCCCTCTCGCCTAAGAGAGGAGGCCTATGGCCATTAGTGGGACATATACAACGTGTAATTAAGTACACTGAAAATCTCAAAGTTTATTAAAATTAAACTGAGTACAGTGACGATTTTTATTGATTAGGCCCCATCAAAAGAATTTGCCACGAGCCCCAGATGGTTAGTGGTAGTTACGCCAGTGGGGTCTGTGGTCTTTTTTTGTTATGTTGATAACATAGTTACGTCATTATAGGTCCAGAGTCACCTTACACACAGAATAAAAATGACACGAATTATATTACTTATCGGACTCTAACGACGATGTGTTCAATTTAATCGAAAAGTCTGTGTGAAGTGGAGTATCTTTACAGCGGTTGCATTATATTTACAATATTATTTCCAGATTAACAACGGTACTGACCTGTTACCCGACGTGCACCTCTCGTTGGTGTGGAACGACACCAAGTGCGATACGGTGACGGCGACGAAGCTCCTAACCGATATGAGCTGTTCGGGGGTGGTCGCGTTCTTTGGACCAGAGGGCCGTTGCCACACAGAGGCCATTATAGCACAGTCCCAAAACTTGCCGATGATCTCATATGTTAGTATAAGTAGAACCACATTAATCCAGGAGTTAGATGTCTTAATTCTTCTTGATTTTTTCTATTTCATGGTTTTTGCTATACGCTGTGCCTAAAACACGTCAATGTTTAAGACATGGCGGTTTCGTATGACTAACTATTTATTGCACATAGAAAAATTATGCGCCCTTGGAAAGGTTGTCTGAAATGCACGCGTAATAATTGAAATTTATTTTTAATTATTTTAAAATTGTAGTAATTTAACGCAATAAATTTCAATAATTTGCAATAATTTTCTTTAATTATTTAATTTTGTATAAAGATTTAAATTTTCAAGAATTACTTACTTACTTATTATTATTACTTATTTACTTACTCACAAGGCTGTCTTTGGTCTAAAAATATAATATTTTTTGCAGAAATGTTCCGACTATCAAACGTCTAAATTGCCTAATTTCGCGAGATTGGAGCCCCCCGATGCACAGGTATGTATAAAAGGCAGCAAATTAATAATCTTTTAGCAACAAAAGCATAGGGGCGGGACTCGCGCGACGGCGGGCCCCCACTCGCCTATGAATATGAGAAATATGGGAGAAGTGGGTACGCCAGTCCTCTCGCGAGTCCTGTTTCTTAACAAAATATGTGAATAAAATAAGGTCCTACAAGCTTTTCGGGAAGATTAAAAAGTAAACGCTGCTTATGTTTTAAACAAACACGGCTTTTTAAAAATTTTGAAAAAAAAAAAATTGTCGAATACAATATTATGTTCACTCTAGTTTTATTGTTCAGTTATATTAGTCTTCTTAAATTGTATTAAAGCAATCATCTGTCTTTTTTCATCACAGCGTAAATGCAAGTTGATAGAAGAAACGAAAAGTATTTTAATTGGAGTGCATAACTTATTTTCAACCCTATTCTAAAATTGTTTTGAGTTATACTTTTTACAACTGTTATTTAAATATGGGAGATGTCATTATCAGCTGAATTAATGCGCAGTTACTTTCTTGTCTTTGGTAAGGTCATTGCTGAACTTGTTAATAAACATTGTGAACATTACAGGCAACGAAATCGGTTATTTCACTGTTACGATACTACAGATGGAATAAGTTCTCAATATTGTATGAGGAGTCGTGGGTGACGGTGGCTTTGACGCTGGAGAACCACGCCAAGAAGAATAATATGACTGTCAACCATCAAAGACCGGTAATAGATGGCTTTAAATGCTGTGAAGAGAAGATGAGCTGTTGTGCACCAGGGTTCTGGTACCAGTTTATACAAGAGACCAAGAATAGGACTAGAAGTAAGTGATTCTTAGCCGGATTTAGCCTTCTGGACCTTGCAACAATAGTTTAATTATAAAATGTAAGTGGTACCGTTAATATGTCAATTGGAAAAGACTAGCTCCCACGACACAGGGAATGCACTGTAATGTGGGGGACATTACGATTTCCTTTAACTAAATTTCGTTTTTAGTATGTGTAATAGTTAACACATAGTGGAATTAAAGTAATAATTAACATATACATGCGATATTTTAAAATACTTTTCAGACATTTGATTAATAAACTGTTGGAATAATCCTTCGTTTTGGCGTCATTTCTGTATCTAAGGGTATTTTGTCGACACGAACTGTAATTTTCATACAAATTTAGTGTTAAGGCATCTAGACTAAGCCCCCTGTTTAGGGTTTTTTTTTGTAAGTAGTTGATTTTAAAAATGGAGATTTTTATATTATGATATATTTCTATAATCATTGAATTGCGCGGTTCGATTTTTTAAATATTAAATTTGTCATTAATTTATTTCTATACAGAAAATGTTAGAGGTCTCAAATACAGTTATCCCAACATAATTAACCTGGAACACAGGTTTATAGCAGTTGATTATGATTAAATAACAGTTTAATATATTCTGTTGTATATTTTCAGTATATGTGTTCCTCGGATCGCCGGGTGGGTTGAATGACATGATGACGGCTATGGAGTCATTGCAACTGTTTGTGAAGGGAGAGTATATGGTTATATTTGTTGACATGATGACGTATACGGCAAAGGATTCGTTGAAATATTTAATGAGTGAGTTATAACTTTCCTTTTCTTTATATTGTGTATTCCATTTTGGTTATGTCTTACGATACCGTAGGATTACGAAATAATATAATAATAAATGTAGGTAATTTTTTTTATGCATATAACTTGTATTATTTATGAGTAAAAATATCTAAAAAAAGTAAAAAAATACTAATTAACTTTAATTAACGTATAACGAATTTAAATCAAGTTTCAAGAACTGTCAGAAAAATAAAAACACTCAAATATACGTCTGTTCCAATATAAATTTACGACTCGTATGAACTAACGCTTGGTATATGGATTCCGGTGTAAAATAAATCAAATAATTTTTTGACGGAATGTTGTTGAAATTTCTCTAGTTATTTATATTTTATTGGAAGGTGAAACAGCCTTACTAAGTTAGCTCCTCCAGGCAATCCTAATTAAGGAAAATTTATCAGTTAGGTAGTCCTCTTAGTCATTTTCACTACAATAAGTTTCAAATGCTTTTCTTTTGTTTGTCATAAATATTTTTTCCAGAGGCTGGAGACCACGGACACGGGCATGGGCCGGAGGATTTTTGTCAAAATACTCCAGAATTTAGAAAGAGGGCACAGTCGCTCTTGGTCGTAGTTTCGTCTGAGCCCGAACGGAGTTATGAGAACTTTACGAGCAAAGTTCAAGTGTATAACACGGAGGCGCCTTTTGAGTTCCCTCTGCCGGCAGTTTTTGAAAAAAAATTTATAAAGGTACAATATTAGTTCGAGAGCAGTGTTGGCCTAGTGGCACCAGCGGGTGACTCTCACCCCTGAGGTCGTAGGTTCGATCCCCGGCTGTGCACCAATGGACTTTCTTTCTATGTGCGCATTTAACATCGAGAGGAAACCGGCTTGTCTTAGACCCAAAAAATCGAAGGCCTGTGTCAGGCACACAAGGCTGATCATCTACTTGATTATTAGGGAAAACAAATGATCACGAATCAGATATCTGAAGCCTAGAAGATTATTTGACCCCCCCCCCCCCATGTAACGCGCCATAACGTTTTTCTGTACCCAAGTATAGTAAAACGTTTCATGACTCTTTATACCTAACAGTCATCATTATGTGGTGTAAAGTACTGGAAAATCGAAAATAATATTAACAATAACGGCTTAATTCAATCCCCACCCCGCATCGTAACGTTTTACAAAAGGACACTCCCCCAAAATGAGTTACGTAATACTTGAACGCGTTGAAAAGGTTTGTGAATTTTTTAACGCAATTTTTTTTTTCAGTATGTGTCAATATATGCGGCGTATCTTTACGACTCGGTGAAGTTGTATGCGACGGCGTTACACAATTTGATTGAAGAGGAAACTCTTAAGAAGAACGAAACACTCACACATAAGAGATTAATGAGTATCGCTACTAATGGGACACGAATTGTTTCCAAAATGATCGAAATTACGCCGTTTAAAAGTAAGTTTTGGAATTTTAATCTTCTGATTTACTTTTAATATAATGAATTGAAAAATAAAAAGGGTGCGTGTACTTATGTACGCGCGTAAGAAGTTATACTTGTTTGGCATTATTAAAATAGTTTTTGATTGCATGCAAATAATTAATTACAATTAAATAATAATCAAAGACTGGAAAAGGAGTCATTATAGTCAATAAAGTTCAGTTTAAATTTGAAAAATTAAATAAATAAATATTTATTATTATATCGTTACATTTAGTGTAACAAAAAATATTATTCGAAGTTGTTTTTAAATATGGCCGAGCATCTTCCGTGGGCAACTTAATTCTGTTAATTTTGTGTCACAGCGCGCGCGCATCGTAAAATTTCACTCTCATCAATTTTTCGTAACGCGCCTAAAGAAGTATAACTTTCAAAAAGTTTTAGAAATGCATAAGTTTACCAAAATTATTCTGAATCCAATTATAAATATTATGTATCTAATTTGTGCTAGTATTTCGGGGATTTTGATGAATTTGGACGTATTCGAATATAGGTGATTTAAATTGAATTGGAATCATCTCAATGTGACTGGAGATATTTGTGGACAAACGTTGAAAATTTAGAATACGTTCTAGAAATCCAATTCCTGTTAAACTGATAACCTTTTTAGAATCGGTTAAAAAAACCAATTGCAGCTACGTACGCCCTTTATTGAGAGATTATTATTTCGATTTCGATTCAAACAGTTTCTTCTCTTGACTATTCTTCAATTAACTGGGAATATATATAATATAATATATATATTCTTTAACACCTAAAAAATTCTAAATCTGTCCAGGCAGTTGACTGTATATGTTTATTGTATATTGTGATGTGAATTTCAATCTTGTATTAAAATATCTTTATAATAAAGAAACGCTTAACATATTTTCTTTAAAACGAAACTATTATTATAAAAACAGTTGCACCGTTTACACTAAAGTACTCATTTGTCTCTTTCCATCACAGCGTAAATACAATTTGACTGAAAGAGACGATTTCTATTAATAAGAGGGTAGGTTAAAAATTAAAGTGAGGGTACTTTTTTCGTTTATTGAAAAATCGAACTTAGAATTTCTATTATATTACGGTATCAGATAGATTTAGTAATTTGATTAACAGGTGTATCTGGAATGTCGATACGTCTGGACGAACGAGCCGACTCCGAGGGGAACTTCTCAGTTCTGGCCTTCAAGCCAATCAACTCCAGCGACAATTTGGTCAATTGCACTCATAGTATGATACCAGTGGGGCACTTCCAACAGTGTACGAGGGAATTTCCTGTAAGCATTTTAAGTACATTTTTTTATTTATAATTTAAATATATGTATGTACATAAAACACTAAATATATGAATAATTTAATGCAACATGCGGCCTTTTTGCCTATAACCGATCTCTTCCACGCGATGCGTGCTAAGAGCAAAAACAAAAATGCAAAACATCATTAATTTCAGTATTCAAATACCAGAAGTAAATATTAATCTTAATTCCACAGGAATACAAATTAAATCCGAAATTCCCAATCGACTGGCCGGACAGCGTTAAACCGGAGGACGAACCGTCTTGTGGGTTCTTAAACGAGAAATGTCCTAAAGATGATTCCCAAATCACGTCCCTAGTCGTCGCTGGGACGTTAGCGGTGGCTTTATTTTGTACCCTCGTGGTGACAATTAGCATTTACCGTAAGTGGAAGATCGAGCAGGAGATCGAGGGACTCTTGTGGAAGATCGATCCGCATGAGATTGGGGGGTATTTGGGGAGTGGCTTCGTTTGGTCGCCCAGTAAGGTAGGTTGTCGTAGTTAATAATAATTTATTCCATTTGGATAACATAGATCCATTTAGATGGTCAGTACAATTTAAAGACAAGTTTTATTTTACTAAATTTTATTGTGTGTTCGTGCGTGAGAGCGTGTTCTTTACAAATTCTGATTTTGATTAGCATTTGATAATTTCACTATTTAAGTTTAATGATCTTTCGTGTTGTCTTACTGCAAACAAAGATGAATAAACTTTATTGTTTTAATCTAGAAAATAGTTTCTTTATTTAAAAAAAACACTTGTCTAATTACCAAACGCATTAATCCCGTTACTTATAATAAAAATATGTCTAGGTAGCGCAGAAGAGTGATAACCTAGGTCTTTATAAAGTGGGTTGACAAATTGCATTTTTTTTAATTTAGATTTTTTAATTTCAGTTAAGTTTGGCAAGTGGTATATCCGGAGAGAGTAAATGCTGTACCCAGATATTCACGCCCACAGCCCAGTACAAGGGAAATGTAGTTAGGATTAAAGAGCTTAAGTTCTCAAAGAAAAAGGTATATATTTCATTTTTTATTTACTCTTATTAATTATAACAGAATTTAAAATAAAAATTTCTGACATACAGCAATCTATTTTTAAAAGAAAATATTTTAAACATATTATATATTTATTATATTATATATTTATCAGACAGGAGTTTCCTAGCGAGCTTTCCTATTTGATTAATTCGTTTTAACATTACCTTCCGACTGACGTGACCCACTAACGCTAAATAAATTTGTTTGGGAATGACATTGGCTCACGCTTTATCACGTGACCATATTCATACAAAATCGTTTTCGTTAGGCGACTGTCAAAAAGTGATTTTGTCTCAAGCCCCAGATCTACTCTAAGCGACAGGTACAGAATAAATACCAAACAACAGGTACAAAGTTTTCACTTGCAACAAATTTTGCACGTTCGGACAAAGATAGAAACATTATATAGAACATTTTTTGTATTTATGTATTGATATAATATTATGATCATTATATAAATACAAAATTATATGTGTATATTATTATTGATAACTAGCTGGCCTGGCGAACATCGTACCGCCTAGCAGTCGATTCTTTATTTTTTTTAATACTTATTCTGCTATTCGGGACACCGGTCTAGCTAGTAAGATAAAAAAAGAAAGTTGATAACAGAACAAATACATTATGTCAAAAAATAAAAATTTACCTTCCCGGAACCCCTCCACTAACACTTGAACTTTATGATATGGTATTAAAGTTCAAATTGCTTTTAAATATTATTACGAATATTTTGTATGGGAATATAGAAAAGTGTTGTTTTTAGACTTTTCACTCAATTTTTTTTAATTTTTCTCTTCGTAAGAACCATTCTCGTACTTCAAGGAATGTTATAAAAAAAGAATCAGACAAATCGGTCAAGCCGTTTTCATGTCATGTCGTGACAACGGAAAATGGGTTTCATTTTTATTTTATATATAAAGATGATAAGATTATTAAAAAATTAATATATGCTTTATTTCAGGACATATCTCGGGAAGTGATGAAAGAAATGCGCCTTTTGCGCGATTTGAGACACGACAACCTTAATTCGTTTATTGGCGCGGTCGTTGAGCCCTTACGCATCTTGCTGCTCACGGACTATTGCGCTAAGGGAAGCTTATATGTAAGTCTTATTATTGAAATTAAAATAATTAAATCATGTTATCATAATGTCTTCAAAAATCTGATATATATCTCAAAAACCACTTAACTAATTTCGATGGCATTTGAACTGTACCCTAAGTGACCTGGTTCAAATTTAATTTAGTTTCTGAGAAATTTGTAAACATACACTTACGAAATATATATAGATCTATCATATATAATACTTAAAACTTGAACTACATAATATATTATCATACATAATAGGTCAAGTTTGAAGTCGGTTAATTTCCGTTGATCCTGTTGCGTGTTATTTATACGCTTTTTTTTTATAGAAAACTTGCCTTTCAATAAATTTAAATGCTTAGAACTTGATGTGTTATGTAGAACTACCTATAAGTTTATTGCCAATCTTCTCTTCCGCTCTACGCTCGTAATGTATTTATTTTTTGACGTTCATAAGTGTATATTGTGTTACCTATATGAATAAATTATTTTTTGACTTTTGATTCCCTATCTGAGTGGGCGCAAAGATTAAGTACAAACTATTAAAATTGTTCAATTGTGCTCGGTCTAAGGCAAATTTAAAAATAGTCCAGAAATTACAAAATAATTATTAGGTCTGTTTATTATAAGATTTGTTTGCAGCGTTTAATATCTTTAATCGTATTTTTTCTTTTTTCCAGGATATAATAGAAAATGAGGATATAAAGTTAGATAAGATGTTCATATCGTCATTGGTGCATGATCTCATTAAGGTTTGGAAATTTTTTCTTTGTTCTAAAGTTCTTGAGTCACGGTTGAGTAACTCACTAGTTTTATGCATTGCTTAGGTAATAAATATACATAAAAGACGGTGTAATATTGTATTTTATATAATTTCGAAAAACTCCTTGAAAAATGTAAGTTTTAAGGAATTTTGTGAAAAGGTTTTTATAACAATACTTTATTGAATACTTTTTAATATTTTTTATTAATGGGTCGGGTCCTTTGTTTGAATATGCGAAAAATAATAGCGTTATTAATTAAAGTCGTTGGTGTTTTTTTTGGCAATCATATTTTTTTTAGTTTTTTTTTTTTTTTTATTTTTGTTGGGGGGGGGGGTAAGAAATTAAAGTAATAGTCAAGTGGAAGAACAGGGTTTATGCTTTGGATGGTAGGTTTTGTTTTGGAAACTCCAGGTAACGGGCTCTGAACTAAGTTTATGTATATTGGCTAAATGTTCAAGCAATTTTTTTTTCAGGGTATGATTTTTATCCACACGTCGCCATTGATGTATCATGGAAATCTCAAATCTTCAAATTGTGTTGTCACCTCAAGATGGATGCTGCAGGTATTTTTGATATTTTTCTTTAAAAAAAATTTTTTTGATAAAGTCCCTAGGGAATTGGTAAGATTTTTAAAATTATTTTGAACCATGTTAAAGTCGTTTAAAACTAACCTTTGTTTAGATTTTAACCATTTCGCATTACACAGCCATAGACGGACCGCATGTTGCAGTCAAGACCGACTGCAATATCTCCGATCTGCAGTTTCCATACTAAATTCATATTCGCAATACACGGACCGCTCGAGTAGTTCCTGAGCAAACCGCATATTGCAGTCGGTCTTGACTGCAACATGCGGTTCGTCTATGGCCCGCTTTAGGCTTTCTTTCTTTAGCTTCTGAAATGGCCTAATGTCAAAGCCATGGAAAGTAGAATGATTTTAATAATGTTTAAATAGAAATGTTTTTTTTTAATTTTTTTTATTGATAAAGCTTGCCAACGCTCGGCACACTGAGACATTGGTAGAAACAAACACAAAATACAATTTTTAATGTGACAAGCACTTATAGGCAAACATAGCATACATATATAGAGATCATAAAGAGATTATTAAACAAAACAAACATTACAAAACAAAACAAAACAAACATTACAAAACAAAACAAACATTACAAAACAAAAACAATTGCTTATCAAAGAAAAAATTCTGATTACAAAAAAAAAACTAAACAAAAATCCATTTTATACTGTGAGGTGAGCAACTATGTATATCCAGACCTAGCTCGTTTATAAGTATGCTTAATCTGGACATCGGTGAGTTTTGACCAAATCGCGTTCTACGGAAAGGAGGGACAAATGGAACAATGGGATGCCGGGGGTATCGAGAGGGTACACGAAAATTAAATTTAGATAGGAGGTTCGGGCAATCAATCAGATTATTGAATATCTTAAATGCAAACGATATATCAATTGATTTTCTGCGATTCTCCAGTGACAACATGTTAAAGTGCGCCAGCCTCGTTTCGTACGTTGGCAACTTTTTTTTCGAGATTCCACTGGAGAAAAGCAGATGCTGTGGCATCTGCTTTTCATCTTCTTTAACCTCTTTTGTACTCTCTCGAGTCGTAGCATATGCGTCGCATAATGCGGCCTCCATACACCTGTCCCATATTCTAGAATGCTCCGCACGAGACTGTTGTATACTAGAATTTTCGATTTGGTGCTTCGAAACCCTTTTGTATTCCTTATATATGACAAAACCAAGCACTCTAGAAGCCTTCTGAATTATAAAGTCCTGGTGTTCTGAGAAAGTGAGCTTATTGTCAAAAGTACCCCCAAGTCACGATTGTTACGAAGTTGCAATTGTTATTAATAATTTTCCCGTTTTTTTTAGGTAACTGATTTTGGACTTCATGAGATAAGGAATAGTGCCGAAAACGATTTTATTGGAGAACATCAATATTATAGAGGTATTTTATATTTTTAATTCTTTCATAAGGTTCTTTAATCTTAGTATTCCGAAACCAAGAACCCAAATTATTATTATTTTAAAATAAGTACTGAATTATGATGTGGCAGTATTTTTTTATTACTAGTTACAAGGTAGTAATTTTTTTTTAATATTGTCGTTGAATTTACATACCTAGTTCCTTATATAAGTGAATATTTTTTTTGTGTCACTTTTTTGGAATACTCTTATTGAATATCTTAGATTCAAAAGGATTTTGTTTATTTTGTCCTTTAATTCAATTGTTTCTTATTACATCAGAAAAAAAATTGCATACTAAAGAGTTTTGAAACTATATTTTTCTTCAACTATGTATATTGTTACACAGTGACAGCTTCCTTAAATGAATAAAAACTCACTACATTAACAATAGAGAAACTACAAAAGTTATAAGGGATAAAACTAGCAAAAATTCGCGGCTACCATCTTTAGAAGGCTTCTTCGACAGGTTTACTTTGGAAGTCTCCGGAATTGTTGCGACAATTGGATTATCCCAACGGTAATGTGGGCGGGACGCAGAAGGGAGACGTGTACGCGTTTGGAATTATTTTGTACGAGATTATCGCACGTCGGGGCCCCTTCGGATTTACTTCTTTGGAACCCAAAGGTATCATCAATTGACGATTTTGGTATAGCATGAATAATAGATTAAATCGAGTGTTTAAAGTGGTTTTTTTGTATGAACATGTGTAGTGGTTCCTTTATTTGAAAAGTAGGTTGTATATGAACTTGTTGGTTGGTTTTCATTTAAAGTTGGTTTGATTCCAAGCGAAACAATAATTGTTTTAAGACATAAATTGATAAGAAGTTATACGATCCTACGCACTTTTAAATCTGTATTTTTTGGTGTTTCATATGAATTTTTTTAACATTTTGTAATGCGTAGAATTTGTAATTTTTTCGGATATTTTTTTAACCTTCAATAACTATCAACTGTGTTTTCTTTTATCATCCTAGATATGTAAACTGGGTATTGATTCTATAGAGATCGTGGAGCGAGTAAAGCGTGGTCCAGAAAATTTAGACGGATCGGAGGCTTTTCGTCCTGACTGGCGGACACTACAGGGTGATGTGGAGGACTTTGTGTTGGGCGTAATGCGGGATTGTTGGACTGAAGAACCAGCCTTACGACCTGACTTCCCCACTATTAGATCGAGGCTCAAGAAACTCAAGTCGGGCAAGTAAGTTCAAATGCCTCAGCGCTTCCAGCAGTTCGACAAAGTGTGAACGTGTATACGCAGTCTACGTATACGTTTTCTAAGACTTATGTGAAACTCTTTTAACAATTTTTTTTTTTTTGAATGTATATAAACTTTCCGACAAAAAAAAAAAAAATTAAAGACTTATACGAAAAATAAATAAACAGCACCTTATGTGCACGCCATTTTTTTAAATATTAAATTTTCAAATTAAATCTGCTGAGAATTTAATTTGAATAATGTCGATTTAGTATTTTTTATTTGGATTTTAAGGGTAAATAATCGTATTGAAAGTTTATTGTAAAGCTTTCTTCGACTTGATGTAGTAGTAGTAGTAGGAGGATTTTTCATACCAACCCAACACTTTAATAGCCTACTAAGGTATTTCCGAACCCATAAAGAGAAAAGGTTAGTGTCCACAGGCTATATCTCTTAACTTATAATAATATATTAATGCTTTTTCGTCTCTGTCTGTTAAATTGTTTTCACGTTGTGATAAAAAGAGACAGAATATTTAAAGAAAAAACTTTTTACCGGATTAAAGTTATGTATTATTATAAATTTACAATTATTTAACATAATTTTAAATTTATCCGACGTTTCGCGTGCTTTACAGCGTGCGTGGTCACGGTGACTGAAGACAAAAGGTGTTGGATGTTGACATCCATCAAAGACAATACTATGAGACCGAATATTATAGTAAAATGCAATTATTAGATTGTTTTTTTTAAAGGGTGGACTTCGCTTTGTCACTCCATGATCACCAAGTTTTACAACCTTAACCATTACTGCTTAATTAATGAATTACTCGAACGTTCCAGGTCAAGAAACATCATGGACCAAATGATGGATATGATGGAGAAATACGCGAATAATTTAGAAGAACTAGTCAATGAGAGAACGAGGCTATTGATAGAAGAGAAGCAGAAGACGGAAGATTTACTTCACAGAATGCTACCAAAGTAAGGCCTACGCTATGTACATTGTACATACGTGTTTGTATATTATGTTAACATATAACATGTTTAGTGCTTAATATGTATATGGCTTTGAATATGGTGGTGATATTGCATTACGGATTTTATATATTTCAAAAACTAATGAACTGATTTTGATGAAACTAAGTTGGAATACGTGTATTGTAGTGATAATTATTAAAATAATAAAACACTATTTTGACCGGATTGAAGTTATGTATTATTATAAATTTACAACTATTTCCGGTCACCGTGACCACGCACGCTGTAAAGCACGCGAAACGTCGGATAAATTTAAAATTATGTTAAATAGTTGTAAATTTATAATAATACATAACTTCAATCCGGTCAAAATAGTGTTTTATTAAATGAATAAAAGTTATGTTAATCAAAGACAATACAATTATTAAAATAACTAAGCGAAGTATTTACGAAATTTAGCACATGTGCTCCAAACACTATTATCACTTCTTAAATATTATATCACATACAAATTGATAACCTCCTTTAATGAAGTCAGTTAATAATCTAAAGGCAAAAATGTAGACCTTTTAGAAGTAGGTTAATTATGAGATCTTTATACAGAGTGGTATTGCTATAACTGCTAGAAGACAGCTTGCCAACACACTTTTTACATTAGAACAAAATGTTTCGTAGAATAAGTATTTGTCCTGCTATTATCTCACGGCTCAGAGATAAGTTTTAAGTGCACGCTATTTTTGGGACATGGGATTTTTGTACAAGGGAGTCAGTTTGCACTTGGCACGTACGTGCATACGTACGTACGTGTACGTTCTTTTACGATCCAATGCGCAAATTTAGCCAATTCAAAGCCATGTTGTACGTAACAAATGAATGTTGTATCCACAAACAGCGATTCAACCGCAATGCATGTTCACCGTAACAGCTAATAAGAACGATGTACAGAAGACGCAAATACAACAAGCCGCACACGTGTGGTCGCGTGTACTGGTTTACATTTGGTCCACAGGCTTTCGAAATAACCACAGCTTATGTCTTGTAGACTAATCTTTCTAGCTCCTTAGGAACGGACTTTATGTAAAGCAGTGTTGTGAAACATAATATTCACGTTGTTGTACTTGTGTTCTTTACAGATGGGGTTGAATCCATTTTGAAATGTCGTGAAATGTCTTGAGGTAATTAACTCTCTACTGGTGATTAGTTTTGTGCTGTAGGATTTAACATGTTGTTAGTTGCTTGGGGTTGGCGCCTCGGTGTTGGTTTTTAGCTTTTATAGACATTTTGACAGCATGCTTTTGATTCTAGTGTAGCGTTCGAGGATGTGGTGAGTTTAGGTTAAGGTACGGTTTGATTTTCCTTAGCATGGTTTAGCTTAGTTTTCCAATTCTTGCGATTTTGTAATAACAACCCGATATGGTGATTTGTGTCATTAAGAATTACCGATATGTGAATGCAATTGACCATTTTGGAAACGTTTTGATTTTATATAGAATTTTTTGTAATTGAAGATTTTCTTTTTAATATCTTTAGTGGTATTTCTAGATGTTGTTTTGATTTATATAGAATGTAACTATAGGTTTAAAGAAAACACTTTTTTTAGGATTGAAGCTATGTATTATTATAAACTTATAATTATTTTACATAATTTTAAATTTTGTCGATTTGTCGAGTTGTCGATATTTTATATTTAGTCGATATCAACTCCGGGGAAATAAATACAGATAATATAACTTTTTCTAGAGCTGTGATACTTTTTGACATTCAACACCTTGTATTCAGTCACCGTGACCACAAACGCTGTATATCACGCGAAACGTTGGGAAAAATTTAAAATTATGTATCATAATTATAAGTTTATAATAATACATAGCTTCAATCCGTTAAAAAAGTGTTTTCGTTAAATGTGTAAAAGTTATGTTAATAAAAGACGATACTATATAACTATAGGTTTTTAGATATATCGAAGTTCAGGAGATATCAAGACTTTCTGGAATAATAAAGTAAATTGTCGTAGGTCAGTCGCACGTCGTCTCACGACGGGTGAGGGGGTGGAGCCGGAGTCGTTTGACGCAGTCACGATTTACTTCAGCGATATCGTTGGCTTCACGTCCATGTCTGCTGAGAGCACTCCGTTACAAGTCGTCAATTTCCTAAACGATTTGTACACCGTATTCGATAGGATTATCAGAGGCTACGATGTCTACAAAGTGGAGACAATCGGTGATGCCTACATGGTGGTAAGTATTGAATTTGTGCTAATATTATTTTTTCTGATTCCGGTAGTTGATAATAGAAAATTAAAAAACCCATATAAGAAATACTGAAATGATACATCAGTAATTTTTGTCAATTCAGCATAATATAACAAATTCAATCTTTGCAGTGATAAATGGCGTTAATATAAAACAACAAATTTAATGAGTTAACTATTGACATTGATACGTTCGCCATGAGTGTGGTAACAGCGAGGAAAGCTTTGTCACAAAATTATTTCGATCATGATGAATGAAGTACATTTATAACCTTTCGTTGTCAACTAATTAAGTTCTGTTTTTTGTTTTTGTTTTACAACCTACATATTTGGAATGTTTGCCTTCTTTTTTTATAAAAAGAAAAACTATATGTGAAGATTTTTAACTGGCCCATTAATGTTATATATATATTATATACATCTATTTCTGTATAATATATAGTGAAATAGTTATCTGTCAACTAGTATTTTTTAGATCAACAAAGTAATGTAAAATAACTATCATATAATAACACTCACTCCCTCGACTCTAACTTCGATGAAACTGTAATGGTTGTCAAAATTTGTATCTACCTTTTGACAACACAAAAGTTGCTTTATACTCTAGATTGAAACACTTGAAGGACGAAAGTTCAAAATAAAAAGGGTGTCCTTGGGACATTTGTCATTGCCGTATTTTTATTGGTTTTAAAAAGTTACCTTGACTTCTTGAGGTATCCGGTCTGCCGATAAGGAACGACGATAGACACGTCGGGGAGATCGCCTCTATGGCGTTGGAGCTTCTTAACGCCGTCAAGAGTCACAAGATATCGCATCGGCCCAACGAAATACTTAAATTGCGGATAGGAATACATACAGGTACGTTTCGGTTTATACGTCATTTATAGACGGCAATTAACTTCAAGTTTGAAAATTTAAAACCTGTAAACCTAACTATTTTTTTACTTATCAGAAAACCATTGGTATTGTTATTATCACTCGCTCATTCACTCACTCACTCACTCACTTACTCACTCACACATTCACTCACTCACTCGAACACACACTTAATCACTTGCTCACTCACTCATTCTCTCAATCTCACACTCATTCTCTCACTCACTCACACAAGGCACACAAAAAGTGACAATTATTTGATTATTTTTTTTTAAATTGATTAACATTTAGAACATTTTTTTTTATAAATTAAAATAATAGAAAATACTGAATATAATATGAATTACAGGCGCAGTAGTGGCTGGAGTAGTAGGTCTGACCATGCCACGATATTGCCTATTCGGGGATACGGTCAACACGGCTTCTCGCATGGAATCGAACGGGGAGCCCCTGCGCATACACATATCGCCCTCGTGCAAGCAGGCTCTTGACAAGATTGGGGGATACATCGTTGAACCACGAGGATCTATTCCTATAAAGGGCAAGGGAGTGGTCAGTGGTATTTGGCCTAAAAAGCGAATTTAGACCTTTTTTTCTTTATCTCAAAACAGAATATTTAGAATTAAAAGCAACTTTTTCAAACAGCATTTTGAGGCATTATAAAATAACCGTTGCCATAGCAACGCGTTCTGATCGAGAAAATCTTTAATGAATATGTAGTTATAAATTCACGCTTATATCCGTCAAAGTACTTTTCATTATAATACGTAGTATTCGCGTTAACCAAAGACAAAAGAAAGTTTGAAAACTCGCTTAGATAAAGGTATACTTTTAAAGTTTTCCTATCTATTATATCAAAAAGAAACCAATTTTTTCTAACATAATAATATGGGGAGATGTTTATCTGGTTATGTATGAAAAATTATTTTGTTTGCATGTTTACGTATGAATAAATTAGAAGGTAAGCTTTATATTATTTGTGTATTTTCTCAGTTGCAAACCTACTGGCTAGTGGGAGCGACAGAGAAGGCAATACAAAAGCGGCTCGTGGAGGGAGAGGAACGGCCTCTGTTTTGTCGGCCACGTCGCAGTCCACGGCTCACTGATTCCAGACATCCATCAATATCAGGTTATATGATTTTCTATATATTTTTTTTGTGATTTTTAATGTTTTCTCGAATTCAACTTACTGTAGATTATTATTATCAAGGGTAGTTTTGTAACTTGTTTCTTAATTAACCGGATTCCATAGTAATTAGATGTCAAAAGTGACTTTATTTCAGTCAGAAAAGTGCCACGTCATATTCCAAATCCTACCTCAAGTCGGTCACATTTCAGATTTCGAGATTTACTGCTAAGTTCTCTTATAAGTCAAAAAGGTATTTGACAAGAGTCATACTTAACTCTAAGTCTCGAATTTTATCCCTAGTGTCATATTGAGTACGACGTAATGAATTCCTTTTTCGCTTTTCTATATTTTCAAAACTAATTAAACGGTCATCGACGATGTGTGTGTGTGAGCTAATAGCGTGGTGTGGTGTGACAGAGTTGCGTAACGAATCTCGCGGGGTGAGACAGAGACTGCACAGTGGCGCCTCTTTGCCTGCGCACTCGACTAAACCACGTTTCGACAGGGATTCGTCGCTACGACACAGGTAAGTAAACAACAATCAGTTTGCAAATGCTTTATTTACATTTCTATAGTTTGAACCTACATAATATATTCTGCTTATTTTACTTTTAAATATTAAAGTAAAATTATTGAACTCGCCCCATCTTTCATAAAAATTAAAGCAGTCCAGTTATACCGTACTAAAGCACTTACGTCTCTTTTCATCACAGCGTAAATACAATTTGACAGAAAGAGACGAAAGAGTACTAAGTTAAAAGAGTGCTAGTTAGATTTAGTTTTTATAAATAATCTTATATTTATACAGTATAACTATTTATGAAAAAGCATTATTACATAGCAATTTTTATTTCAGAAATGCCCTGAGTTCGATCGCCTCCTCGGCGTGCGAGGGCGACGTGTGTTCAGGCGCATGCGAAAACGCTCTACGTACGGCACGTTCACTCGACGCGCTCGCGAAACGAGAAAAGCCTTGTTTGCGCAGACACAATACGACGCGTTCGCTCGACGCTGACGTTGCTATAGCGACCATTTGCGGACCGATTTTCAACGGCAATGCGATCACAGAAGAAGCCAGAACGACAGAAGACAGCCCGCTTTTACGTAAAGCAAGTCTCACCAACCGCGAACGACCGCGTCGTAAGGTCCCCGATTCGGATTATATTGAGTTCTATAAGAAATGGCGGTCGCTCGAAAATGTTGACGTGAAAGGCGAACGCGGGAAGATGCCCCGTTTTGCGATTCGGTCGTGGTTGTTAGGGATCTTTAGCGGAGGCACTCGCAGTACTAATTCTTCGCTGCGTCGGGCTCCTCCGCTTCTTGATCGCGAGTCGGCCGTCTGATTTCCTTCATAGTGTTTCCAGACTCACGGCCTATACGTGGATTTAGGTGCCGTGTTTGTTGCCATGGTTACGATGTTATTTCCATATAAAAAAAGTCAACTGTGGTAACAAATATTGTTCTAACCACCATTTTTCATAAAAAAGACATCTATAAAGTAAAAGGTACTTTCGTTTCCAATGTAAGAATATAGAAAAAATACCTTGACATCTGCTATTGGGATTTGGAAGCACTGATTACTATAGTTAACCCAAGATGCACAAGAAACAAAATGAAGCCAAAGTTTTGCTATATGCTACATGCAAGTTTAAATAGTGATTTATTAAACGAATTTATTTATTATAATTTAATACCTATATTTTACTAATTAAAAAGGTTTATACGTAGAATCGGTTTATGAGGCTGTAATATCTCGAATGTGGATCTTGGGTTTTTACATATCCATGTATATTAGGAATATATGTATATTAAATGCTGTTGTAAATAATATGTGTAAGTAAAACGATGTTACCGTGAATTGTGAAATAAGAGTTTAATGTTATTAAATAATTTCTATTGAACATTGTTTTAATACTGACGTCATCACAATCTTTTTATTGGATTTGAGAAACATTTTGAACAGATTGAAATTATAAGTACATACAAATTTGTGCCTAGATATTGACTAGGGAATTCGTAATCTAAGGCCAATTACAGAAACGTCATACTAATTCGTTTTTATGGACAACTTGAGTAACTTATTTGACAGATGACAGCTCATATGTGACATGTTTGTGGTTCTAAATTTGAACCAGTGTTTTTTCATCCAACATCCATTTGTAGATTTTTACGAAATTAAAAAATGATACAGGTATAAAGTAAATTGTCAACATTGTTGTCCTATGCCGTGTTCCATATAACTGAAAAGTGAGATGACACACTGAAAAAGTTAGAAATTCATATACATGTTGACGTCTGTGTAGTTGGCCGTATTTAAAAAATACAATTATTTAAACTATAATAAAACTAAGCTGTCACATTTATCATAATTCATTCTTAATTACTGTTAAATTGAACTGAAAAATACACAGGCATAAAAGGTATAATTTATTTAAAAAATAATGAGGTGGACACAGGCCACATATTACGGCAATAAGTGCAGTATCGATCTTAGTGACTATTACTTTTACTATGACCACTTTTATGAATATATTTGAATATAATAATAAATCGCATTGTTAAACAAGAAAATATTTCTTGCTAGTATTGTTAAATCTTAACCGCGTCAATATTTACCTCTGTTTTAAGTTAAATTAAAATTAAAACAGAGGTAAATATCAATTAGAACAGTATACATAGATAGTAAATAGAAATATTAAGCTTAAATACTTTAAAACTTTTGTCATAGTTACAAGTATGATGAAAAGAATGAATTAATTTGTGATGAAAACACAGACCACTAGAAACCGTGGTCTGTGTCAAAAAAGTTATTAATTAATAGAACTATTGTTAAATTAATTTAATGAACTTTCTGAATATCTAGTTTTTACAAGAACTTAAACAATCATAAACTTAAATATAGTTAATTATTACATATATCGTGTCATGACTATTAGAAACCAATAACTATCAAATCTCCGCTTTACTTAAAAAAGGATTTTTTCATATTATGAATATGAATGATTTGAACAATAAACAGTGATTCTATAAAGACTATGTCAATGAATTGACATAATTTAATACGAATTAGCTGTGTATTAAAACTGAATTATTTTTCGACAAATAATGCAAAGATAAACTAATATTTACTAAAGTTTACTAAAAAGACAGACACAGTCCTCATTATTAATAATTAACATGAAGGAATGGAAAAATCTGAAATAATTACTTTCTTTGAACAACATGAAGTTTTGGAGAAATTACTTCAACGTAATTTATTTTTGATTTGTTTACATTTTCACATTGAGAGAGTTTAAAAACATCCCAGTCAAACATACAAGCCTCAAAGATTTAAAGATTTTTTAAATAAACTTTGTTTATTTACAAAGTCAAACGAATTATGAATTAAACCTTAATAGTTTTGTATAATCTGCCTTATTTTTACATGTTTTTTTTAACATTATTAAAAACAATTAAATACACCAAAATATGCTTGCTAGACTCTGACCCGTATTTCAAAACGTACCTCAACTTGCATTCTTGCAATGTCAAATAGCTATGTCAAATTTCATCTGTTGACAGCTGATTTATGTTTGAGTGACGTTTAAATACCGTCGTGAGTCAAGGCTTTTATCGGATGTAATTAATCATTAAAGTATAGGATTTGCTATTGACGTTACGGGGTAAACCGAAGAAAATCCACCCTTTATAATGGTTTCTACTATATTAAGCATCAGCGAGCAACGGTAGAGCCGCAGGATCTTGTACGCCATTAACAATAAGTCGAATGTCACATTCTGGGACATGTTCAATTATGGGGCATGATACGCTGGTGTACTCCTGACGAAGGCTTGGTGCCTCCAGGAGATCGATCCGCGGGCTTGGAGCAACTCGGTTTTCGCCTATCACCTTAAATATATAAAATCTCTTTATTTGCCAGAATGCATTTAAAGTTAATATAAAATATTTTTCTAAAAGGTTACATAGGGGGTAATTAATCTAAACGTTGTTGGGAATTATAATATTAAGTACGCCAAAGTGCGTGTATGCATCCATAAATTTCACGGAAACGAAGTTGTATTAGAGATAAAGTTTACAATGTATTCCAACTTAGAGAATCGTCCAAGTTGCATCAAACCGGTCCAGTAGTTTGAGACACGGAGTTTTCACGCAATGTTGACAACTATAGGTCTACCAGGATCTGAGGCAAAAAGGGAAAAAGAAATTTACGCTAGCAATACTGGGGAAATTGGAGTAAAACGTTTTGATAATTTTTTCCTTATAGTGGCTGATTCTGTGTGTGATACATGTAAATATAAAAATTTCTCCAATGAACAAGGATAATTTTTGAAAATGTGGCGAATGTGGGGTTTGAAATTTAGATGAAAACTCAAATTACTCTGTTCATGAGTTTATTAATTAATTAAGAACTTGAAAATGGTTCCAAATACTCACATCCATAAAAACGTCTTCAACGCAGTATTTATGATAAAACTTTCCTCCTGCATCTCAATTAACCGATCTTGTTCACAAAATTTTAGCCATTCATCGATCCCTATTTGAGAGAAAGAAACAGTGTAAAACTCATTTATCTTGTTTCTGATCAATTCTAAATCAAAACTATCCAAGTTTATTTGTAGTATAAGAAACCCCTGAAATAAACCAAAGTTTAGTATAAGTACATAATATAATACACACGAAAAATCCCATAAACCAAAGTATCAAGACGTGTCACTCCTACTAATCAGTCAACGCTTGCACATGGCTCAATATCGATGATTGTGTATGTTCTGCATCTTGTTGACCAAGTATTCTTTGATAAACATTGAAAACAATTTGTCTTGCTTGCGATTGAAGAGGTTTCTTCGACATTTTCATCACTTTTTAAAGGAAATTTGAAGCCAAACCAAAAACAATTCCTCAAAATTTCAGTTGACAGATGAAATTTTTCTTTTTATTGCCATATGAAAATCGCTAATTTTTAAATTTTTTTTGCCATCAGATTCTGGTAGACCTATATCTGACAAATTTTGTTGATTAAAATACTTATTTAGTACTAGAAACTAAATTAATTTTAGAACATACTGTATCTACCTATACAGTTAATCACAATACAATGCATATAGCATAACTATGTTTGAACTATATGAAATATATACATATTTGTTCAAGTACAAAAGTAAGTACTGTCAATAACAGGTTCCTACTGTCGCACTTGGAACCTATCACATTAACATTGTAAACCAATTATTATGCTTTGATTCATTACTTTTTTTTTAAATTACAGTATGTTATTGTAATTAATGTCGACGCTTCAGTGGACAGTCGAAGACCGATTTGTGTTCCATCACATAGATCTTGGTAGTTTTTTAAATAAAAAATGTAATACTCACTTCCATAAGGTATTCGTCGCTCCGATGATGCATAACACTATCGTTGTGAGATTCTAAGTGATTTCCCGAAGCAAATCTTAGTTTCTTTGGAGATTCTAAACTACAACATCTGAAAAGTATAATCTATCAGAACTGGTTCTCCAAGTCTTACCAAACTATACTACCATGGATTCAGTTGTATTAAAAAAAAATACACTTTATTTCACATACAAGACAAAAAAATCGGGCAAAGTCAGTACATACGTACTTTAAATAACCAAAATTCATTCATAACCAAGCGAATCATGAGTGTTTTATTCAGTAGGTTAAATTTCAAATAATTTTGTATTTCTTGTTCTAAGTTACAATGAGTACCACACAACAACTCCAAGTCTTCTTCTGCCTTTGTCAAATCCTTGGAATATTCTGGCCCAAGAGAATCTCTAATCAGCATTGGGATGCGATGAAGTGCAAACGAAAGTTGAAAATTGAAATAGGTGGGCCATACGCTCGGGAGGGATGTCCAGACACAAAATGAAACATGGCCGCCCTGAACAGACCTGGCAACGAACGGTATCATTGCAAAGACGAAGGAAGCTGGAATTACGTGGTGTGAAATAAGGAGAGCTGCCCAGGTCAGAGCAGGCTGGTTTTCTACGCTGGAAGCCTTCTGCCCCATTTGGGGAAGCTCCTATAGCTTAGGTCAAGTAAGTCACGTTTAGGTAGATTTCTTAATTTAATTAACATTGAGACACTAACTTTACGCCCTTGACTTGCGAACTGGTAGTAAATGTAAATTTAGAATTAATTTAACTTCTTTTCTGAGGTTGATAAGTGTATTTGTTTACCTTTATGAATAAAGTTATTTTGAGTTTAAGTTTAGCGCTTTTAGGAAACTTTTAGCCATCCACTACTACCAGCTGCTATACCTGATATATTTTTAAAAGACAATCCACTTGAGCCTGGTTTTCAGGGGCTAAGAATGAAAAACAAAACACTAAAGTTCGTTGCGTTCGAGTGTGATTGGTCAAATAGACGGAATAACAAGACGAATCATATTGAGCTACAGATGCTGTTGACGAATTCGAATCAAACGATCGGAGAATTATTTTTTCTTACGGGGTCCAACAGGCAAGACAGACAGAAGTGCTTATCGCCGCTTGTAGACACCTCCAACACCAAGAAGCTTACGTATGTGTTGCCGGGTCTTTAAGGGTAGCTTCACAAGTGGTGGCAGAAAGTGCTTTATAGTCCTCAATGAATTTCCCTGGTGATCCTGCTACCCAATTCCCCCTGTTTTATAAAAAAATAAATGGCCATACCTATGCAAGCCGCCAACTTGGTTCTTCCACCCCCGTGACTTGAGCGAGCTCCTATTTCGTTTATTGTCAACAATCGGCGTGCCTTCCTTGTGAATGGCGCGTCGCCTCGTCCGACTTGCAGCTGCCTCTGGGTCCTCACCACGCACCCAGTATGTCACCTGATCCCGTTTACCCTTCATAGAAACTATACCGCGCTCTTCCAGAATATAACCCCCGAGCTGGTCAAGCAAAGCCTTACAAGCCGAGCTGCAGTGGATTTTGAGGGCTGGAAAAAATACAAATATCCTGTCATATCAAAGGTGACGAATATGGTAATTTGATTTGCTTATGGCAACCTTGGGATCGTGAGGTTCTCAAATATAAAACGAAAACTACGTTGAAGGTGAGAGTATATGTATCGCAGCCATGGGAGCTACTGAATTGCTATATATTTGCTTGGGTTGCGAACTCATTACTCAAAATGTAAATTTAGAATTAATTTAACTTCTTTTCTGACGTTCACAAGTGTACTTTTACCGATATGAATAAAGTTATTTTGAATTTGAGTATAAAGAGATTTCGTTTGATTTGTATTTGTCAAGTCCTATCCGGGTTTATTTTACCATAATATAAACCATTGTAATGGCTCAAAAGTCAAATTAAATCAAAATTACCACACACCAAGTTTAATGACAATTATTATTATTAATCCAGAGGAAGTCTGTAAAATTTTCTCACAAGTATTTTTTATTCTCAGAAAACTAAAAACTTTTGACAAAAAAATTACAATCAATCAATCGCAAAATTACAATCGAATCAATTGACGACCAATGAAGCTTTCAGCTATGTGGGTAATATATTTTTATAAATCTTGTCTATGAGGATGTCTATGATATGTATGTCTGTTCCGACGATCTACGACTCCCTAGAAGAAGAACATCTTATGCCTGTATTTAATGTTTATTTTTTTTTGTTAATTACCAACGCCGGTTGATTCAAAACGGCTAGCTGTGTTTACTGTATCCCCAAATAGACAATAACGGGGCATTTTCAGTCCGACGACTCCTGCGCAGACAGGACCTGTAAATAATATTTTTGAATTGTATTATATTTGTGATTTTATTTTACAGAATATTAGCGCAGGAAACTTTTTTTCACAGGTGGCAAGAAGATCCATGTTTAGATGTTTAATACTAAACTTACCAGAGTGAATTCCAATTCTCAGCAGTAATCTCTGGTCGGGTCTATGACGTACACGAAACGCGCGTGTCGCAGAGAGCAGAGCCAGAGCCATAGAGGCTATTTCGCCCGCGTGAAGGATTCCGTTGCGAATCGGGAGACCTGATACCTGATAAAATGATGTCATCAAAAATATAACTTGTAAAAAGAGTCTCCCAAATCGAACTGAGTTCTACCTTGAAAATTTGTGAGATCCATGTCCACCAAATCGGTTAATTCAGTCCCTACTTAACGGTCTATCTTAAGTTATTAGCTAACCTAGCAACGTCATATACTGACCATATCTATAAATAAATAGATTAATTTGGCCAATGCACAAAACACAGTGTATCTATGTACAATGTATGTATATTAAATTTATGAAATTAGTTTTGCGTAAAATATAATGTTAAAAAAAGTGAACTGCTCGTCTTTAAGGCAGCAAAGAAAAAACCGACTTATGTGCCACCAGTAACACTCGGAGGTGTTCCACTGAAGAGGGTTACTGAGTTCAAATACCTTGGCCATATTGTAACTGAGCACCTTAAAGACGATGCAGATATTGAAAGAGAACGGAGAGCGTTGGCTGTCCGCTGCAATATGCTGGCCCGCAGGTTCTACCGTTGTACCGCACAGGTCAAGGTAACCTTGTTCAAGGCGTTTTGCCAGTCCTTTTATACATGTGCCCTGTGGGTTAGATATACGCGGCGGGCATACAATGCTCTCCGAGTGCAATATAATAATGCTTTCAGGATGTTGTTGGGGCTACCGCGGTACTGTAGCGCAGGTATGTTTGCGGATGCACACGTGGATGATTTTTCGTCAATCATCCGCAAACGGACAGCCTCAATGAAGCGTGGGGTTCGTGCGAGTACTAACAATATCCTGATGGCTATAGGTAAACGCAAATGTGCTGTTTTGAGGCATTGGGTTCATATACATGCCCATGTACCTGGTGCCTCGAATCAACGTAGATATATGAATTAAATGTTTTCTTCGTCTTTAATAATTTTGATAAATTTAATTTTAATTTTACTAACATAGTTATAAGTATTACTTTACTAACAATATATGGACTTTTTAATGGTCTGGATTCAATGATTTTTATTTTTTTAATTATTTTTTTTAAAATTGTTGAGAATTTTTTTATAATTGTTCGCCATCTAAATTATTAAAAAAAAAGTAGCGCCGTATAATTTATTATTATTACTTATAAATATCATAGCAAGCTTTCTGAACGTGTTTTAATTCAAGTACACATAAGACAGGGCAATACTTACAACCATATATGCATCACCGATAGTTTCAACTTTGTAGACGTCAAAATTTTCTAATATCGAGTCAAAACAGGTGTAGAGGTCATTTAAAAAGTCGACCACCTAAAATAATATTTTAATTACTTTTAAAAATACAGTTAAAAAATAAATCAAGTAAGCTGATTCTTTTTGCTACAGTCAAATTGCGTTTACGTTATGATGGAAAGAAACAGTCGAGTACTTTAGTAAAAAATATTCAATGAGACTGAATTAGTTTCTATGACTAAGGGGATAAACACTTGTCTGAATTCTTCAAATCTATCCATTGAGATTCGCTGGATTGACCTGAGGAGGAGGATCGACTGGAGCTGAAAAGCAATTGGTGGGAAGAGGCACAGGACTGGGAGCGCTGGATATTCGTTTTTGATGACACTTTTTGGGTCCCAGATCGAAGTTAGTGAGGGAATTGAGAGTTTAGTTGAAATTAAAATATACATACAATGCTGTGTATTTTACCTGTAACGGAGTGCTCTCAGCAGACATGGCAGTGAAGCCAACAATATCACTAAAGTATATAGTAACGGAATCATAGTTTTCGGGTAACACGCGTCGCCCGCGCTTCAGTTGTTCTGCAACTGGTGCAGGCAACATTTCCTCTAACAGCGCCTCTGAAAATACAAATCTATGCTGTCCTACTAGTTCTATACTGAGTTTGTGAAGCGTATTTAAATAAAACTTAAATTTATTTTATTATTTAGTGAATGTTTCCGCAGCAGTCGAGTTTTATAAAAAATGTAAAAAAATCACGATTTTTTTTTTGATTTTTTTAATGACAGAACACGATGTCGTGGAATTAATTATCATTTATTTATTTACCTTGACAGATATAATATCAAACTAACCTATGCAAATGTCAAATTATAATTAAACGCAGTTATTATGTCAATATGACAATATCTCAAAACTAATAATCTACGAATTCCCTCACGTTATAGAAGCACCGTGACGTTAAAAATATAATCACCTTCCCCTTGAAAGCATTCCCATAAAAAGGTTCCTCAGAGTTCAACGAATATCTACAAAAAAAAATATTCGAATCTGTCCAGCCGTCTTCGATTTTTGCGCAAGGCATATTTTGCGATTAATTTTTATGAAGAAAGTTGTGTACTTATGGATACGTAAATACCAAAATAACTAAACCAGTTAATTGCGCTTGGTAGGGGATAGATCCACAAAAAATAAAAATTAACAGTTTACGAGTGTCTTAAGGCGGACAGTAAAGGATGACATAGAAACAAGTAATAGCAAAAGGGCGCAACACAATTTACAAGGAAAGGGCGTAACATACTGGAAAAAAATAGAACGGAATTTGGGAGAGATATTATTACAATCTGAAATAGTGTCTAAACTACTTTATATCGCAAAAATATACGTCAAATAGATGTCTTTTCCACGACACCCCACCAAATTGTTTATTTGAAAAAAACAGATTTTAATTCCCGTTCCCAGTTCTACTGTAGCTGTGGTAGTGCAACTAATTGAAAGCTATCAAATTAAGGTTTAAATATTTTAAATTAAAAATGTGTATTAAGAGAAAGTATTTATTTATAATTTCTAATAACAAACAATATTAAAAGTCCAAAGTCAAAATCATTTATTCACACAAATGTAACACAATGTACACTTATGAATGTCAAAAAAAAAAATGCTTCTAATTTTATATTTACTGCCAGTTCTCAAATCAAGGGCGTAGAACGGAAGAGAAGAACTGGCAATAAACTCTCCGCCAGTCTTTTTAATCGCCAAGTTTTTTGTTTTACACAACGTTTACGTTTGTAAGGAGCTGCAACTACATCATGTTTCACATAACATTTTAAGTGGTTAATAGTTATATAAAAAAAGTAGTTGGTAGAAAATGAAAAAAAAATTAAGCGAAATTAGGTTTAGTCATGAATCATTGTAAACGGGTGATTTGAAAATACAACATTTTTTTGTCTAAAACTACAAAAGTTTTCAGTGTCATTTAATATAACTAATGCCATTAAGTCCAACTTTATTAGCAAATATTAGATATTTTTCAATAATTTCGATAGTCTTCTAAGCCTTAAGAAAAAAAGTTCAGATCGCTTAAGCTTTACAATTAAATTGAATAAATCTTTGGAATTAATTCCATTTATCTCTCTATTCGCCATTTCATCACCTATTTATGGTTTTAATTTATGTTTTGCACGTCCAATTATTTTGGTTTATTAGGTAATTAATATGTTGTTTCTCTAGTTGGGACAGAAGGCATACGAAGGATGTCTCCGAACAGTGATGAACATCGCCTATAAAGTCGGGCAAGTCTGTTACCGGCAGGTTTTAAAGACCTTTTTAATAAGTTGGATTTTAGTCGGGCCTAGTGTCAATTCTCGGGAAAACAACTTTTAATTTTAACTCTTTATTAATTATTCTGCAACCTAATAAAAAAAATTTTTTGAGTATTATGAAGTAAACGACAGGTTTTGATCTTAGGTAGAGGTTTTTTTATATAATAAATGAAAAAGAATAGATTATAATATGATAAGATTATTAAATTAATAATTATAAAATCAGTAACGTTTTGGTATCACAGGTCAATGGACCAAAGAATTCAAATCGAGTTTCCGGTCGTGACCGAAAGTTGATCCGCTGTCAAACGCGTAGTTATGCAAATAAGATTTTGTGCGTGGATTTATTCGAACAACCTTGAAATAAGTTCGTAAAATTCATGTATTTGAAACGAATCTACATAAACCATTGATATGAAGATATGAATGTATAATTCATGGGCTATATATAAATAATAATAAATTTAAAAATAACGATTTTTTTTCAAATTTAACAATAAATTTAGGAACCTTATCCTGTGATTCATTTCATTTAGTTTAAAATACCAATTCAGTGGCACTTCAACCCTAAATGGGTCTCAGATTGAATCCGTTTCTTTGATCATTAATATTATATAGACAAGTCTTTTGTGTCTGACACATGTCATCGATTTTTGCGTTCAAGACATGCTGGTTTCCTCGCAATGTTTGCCTTCACCATACGGGTGTTAATTCCGCACAGAGAAATAAAATTCCTTTGATGAACAGCCATGTTTTAAATGAATGAGAGTCGTACGCTGAAGCCACCAGGCCAACACTGTTCTTGAGCGTTGAAACACGTCAACAATTTGGTTTAGAAAATAATGAAAACAACTAGAATAATGTAATTTCTCAGTTTTTTGTTTTGTTTTGTTCTGGAGCTTAGATACTTTAAGAGGGAGCATTATCTCCAGTATTTGTATGGTCACGTGACAAGGGGTTAAGAAGCGCGCCGAGTTTGAAAGACTTATTTTTAAAGCCATTGTTATAATTTACGTTTTATAAAGAGGATTTTTTAAGTCTGCCATAGCGTTTAATATCACAAAACAGATTCAAAAATAAACAAATGATATCTTATGGCAATGAGCATTTTCACATAAACAAAACGGAATTGTTATGAAAATTGTGATTTTTCCTCACCTGTCTTCTTTTTCTCTTCCTGCAGCTGATCTGTTCTTTCGTCGACCAGTGCTTCTAAATTGTTAGCATATTTTTCCATCATAGCTATCATATTATCGAATATATTTGGTTTCCTGTAATAAAATTAAAATAAATCAACGCAATTAAATTATTCAAACGTATTACTGAAATTAATAACGATATGAATAATTATCGTATAGCTTCAAAAAGCTATTGAAGCTGGACTAAAGATTCCGTTCACATGGCTTCCGTTTTTACCATGGATTTTTTTATCATTTTCGTATGTTTAGTAAGTTTATAATGTTAGCTAGCCGTTCATTGTATTGCGTATATTTATACTGAGTAAGCTCTCTCTTATTTGATAAAAAATCTAAATTTTAGCTATAATATACTATACGTATTTATATTAATTATTTACGCCCTTAGGCTGAGATTCAGAAATGACACTAAGGGCTAAGTATGACTCACTTCACTTCACTTCACTTTATTTATAATGGCGACATCTGTGTAAATCACAATTCCGCCAATGTCGCGTTCTAAGTCTTCACACAGTGAGGATAGATTTGATAAGTATGACTCCCACACGTAACAAATGTATCGGATTTTGACATACGGCCGTCACAGTTAGCGTTAAGTTTTTGAAGAACAATAAGGTATTGTATAATTTTACTCCTCATTAAAGTTCGCTTTAATTTCTTTCTGTCATATTGACTATACACGAAAGATATAAGTTTAGTTAAAACGGAGATTAAAGAATGAAATTATTGGTAGGATAAACACTATTGTAGCGTTTCACGACTGTCAGATAGCGCTATTCGTCACATAAAGTCCATCATAAGTTATGAGTCCGATGAAGTGACAAGCACAATAATTTATCTTCTAAATAATTTATGTGTTGCATAGCAATTTTGGTACTTTATCCATACATTGTGAAACAGACCCTTATTCTTTATAAATAAAGGAAGTTAAATTACTTGAAACTCACATGCCCTTCCTTAGCGGCCGTAATCTTGTACGTATTGCCTTAAAATCAGGACGAGTGCTTGCATCCTCCACCCAACATTCAGCGCAGCATTCTCTCACGCAGTCAAAACGATCCGCTAAAGCTTCGAGAGGTGGTCTGTAATGAGTATAAAAAAATTGCTAGCCGCAAAAAATTCGAATAAAAATATCGCTTATCCATTAAACGGTCAACCATTTAGTCGGATATAAGCGTGTACGGACAGACGAGAGATACACCGAAAATTATATTTAAAATATTTTTTTTGTGTTCTATTTTGCTTCTTAAGAGAATTCATTCTTTGCTTTTTTTAATTACAGATGTCTTCATTCATATCTCATATATAAATTTTATTTAATATTTCGTTAATTTAATGATATTAACAAATTGATTTAGAATGCTTAAAGAACACTAAATGTGTAAAAAAGTTTAACTTCTTGGCCGAATAAAAATTTAAGTATAATTCACCTGATAATCCTTAAATTACTATATAATTATAACCCTAATGTAAGTTGACTATCGTACTTCCTAATCCCCGCAATACGCGGTAGACCCGGACCGCGTTATAGGAAATCGCGTCACGAGAATACTCCTAAGTCCTAGTGTGTTCTCGTTAAACCGTTTTTTTAACAATTCAAAAACTATGAACAAGAATTTAATAAAGTTATTAAGTTTAATTTTATAACAACACAATTGAAACAGGTGCAAAGGTACGCAAAACTAATTATGGACTTGACAAATCATTATAAATTTCACACTACAGAAATATATATAACTTGAGAAAGGACCGCATTATACAAGGGGATGGAAATCGCATTTATATTCGAAAACGCGTTATAAGGGTACCGCGTTATAAGAGGGATTACTGTATGTAGTCGCAAATTTTATTATAATACATCACTCATTAGCAACCTGGTAAGTCACTTGTGGAACTAGAAGGAATTATTGTCATTCGCGGCAAAAAATACGTCAAAACGCTAATAAGAAAATAGAATTTGATTTTTTTCTGCCACTCCCTTTAAAAAAAATCAAAATCTTGAAGGTGTTAATAACTCCACAGACCTTTTTTATGTTAGTCGTATGCATTTGTGAATGACATTTGACACATACCTACCTATAAGGCGCAGGGTAGGGATGTGCTAAACGACGTAATAGCGAGGGCGGTGATGGAGCTCCCGGGCCAAAGGGACCCCGACGAGTGTGAAGTTCGTACAGGAGTAATGCAAACGAATAAACGTCAGACGCCGGTGAACCGCACCTAACTTCAAGTGACGTGGGGAAGCAGTCCTTTCCCCAACCGGCTGAACGTAGCAGCTCTGGGGATAGGTAGACTAGACCTATAAACAAATATAGGTTAAAAAAAGGGTGCGTGTACTTATGTACGCGCGTAAGAAGTTATACTTCTTTGGCATTATTAAAAATAGTTTTTGATTGCATGCATAATCAAAGACTGGAAAAGGAGTCATTATAGTCAATAAACTTCAGTTAACATTTAAAAAATTAAATAAATACATATTTATTATTATTTTCTTACATTCAGTGTAACATAAATTCTATTATTATTCGAATGTTGTTTTTAAATTATGTCCAATGCCGTAGCATCTTCCGTGGGCAACTTCATCCTGTTAATTTTGTGTCACGGTGCGCGCGCATCGTAAAATTTCATTCTCATCAATTTTTCGTAACACGCCTAAAGAAGTATAACTTCAAAATATATTATACATCGAATTATATATAACTTATATAATTCGATATAAGTTCTATATATAGGATATAACTTCCTCTTTCCAGTTTCTTGAAGTCTTATGTGTCTTCTATTTAGCTAAATAAATAAATTACGATAATAAAGCATGGTGGCGACTGTTGTATGGATATGTTCAGGTATATGTTAAATGAAACACTTTGTTTGAAGCTGGCTTTAATTGTTTAAAACATGAGCTTATCATATAACATTAGGGGTACTGGGGTTGTGATTCTGGATTAACAAAATACTAATATGCCGTATTGTAGAGTTCGTAAATCTAAGTGACAATTATGTTATAGGACATTATCGGAAACGAGAATGTTAAATTACAATTTATGAGTTTGGTAAAAACTAAAGGGCACATATTGGCTTCAAGTGTGCGATGATTATTTACATTTTTTTACGCTTCTAATTATTAACTTAAATATTTTTTATTTTTTTTTATATAATAGGGGGGGCAAACGAGCTTGCGGGACGACCAAAAAGGGCAGTCTTCGCAGCCCATAGACACCCATTTTTAGTGGGTGCGTTGCCGGCCTTTGAGGGAGGAGTACACTCGCCTTTTAAACATTTGGAGGTCGTATCTCTATGTATATATATGTAACTAACTAATGTAAGGTTACATAACTCGGTGCTATATAACTTTTTGGAATGCCAATATAATAAATAATAATATATATTTTTAATGGGTCGAAAAATAAATATATGTTCAGTGTCTATTTAAGTAGAAAGAACGAATAAGATTTTTTTTTTAATTTGTTCAAACAGACAAACTAGTAGAATATTATACGTACGTAAATAACTAATCACTATTCATACATAGAAAATGTATGTTTATTTACATTCAAATATATGTGCATATTTTGTACACCCTAGTTTTTGGCGATAAAACAAACCCTTTAGTTTCAAAGGGGATTGTTAGTGACAAAAACAGAAATCACGGAACGACACAATCAAAGTGAAAAATGGATATGTTAATAGTGTAATACGTTATACGACGAATACACGGACGAAAAATACTTCTAAAATGAATTTTATGTTAGGATGACTAAGTCGGTTTTAAAAAGTAAAAACAAACAGTGGCGCTGCAACCTTTTTTCGGTCTGGGTCTTAGGTATCTGTTTTGTAGCCTGTACATGACACACGCCGTCGACTTTTTGGGTCCAAGGCATGCCGGTTTCCGGCGAGTGTTAAATGCGCACATTGATAGAAAGTCTACTGGTGCATAGCCGAGGTTTGAGGGTTGCACGCTAAAGTCACTAGACTAACACAAACTTACTTTAAAAAAAAATAACTTAAATATTTTATTGATATTTTTATTTATCTATGTTTTGTGAAGTCTGTTGCAAACTAATTCACAAGAAGATATGAAAAGATAGCTAGTAGCTCAGTTGGACTAAATAGATCGCCCAAAATCCGCAACATTCCGTTTCAGAAAAGAAAAAGATTCTTAAAACCTCACTGTATATAGAAAACATGACGACAAAAAAATGCTCTTTTTGTTTGACTGGCGAGACATGTTAAAATCGAAACATTAATTCTGTATCCCTATAATTAAAAACTACCACAGACCTTAGTAATATCAAAGACCATTAAACCATATTGTCTTTGGTAAAAGGGATAATGGAATCATAACCTATATGCCATAAATATGAGCACTTGATTTATCCGAAATCCATTCGCGCAAGATGTCGATGGATGCGAAATTTTATAACCGCATTTTATATCTTTCAAGTATTATGTTTCTATATTAAAGAATCGTAAAAACAAGCTTCATAAAAGCAGTGTGTTAAGATTTATTATAATTTATTTTATGTTTTCGATGCGGTAAGTAAACTTTGGCATAAAATAAAAGATTTATTGGATCAAGACATGATATAGGCTGATTTTGCAAATAGATCAATTTTTTTATACAACATTGTTTTTATGACGCTCCAATTTTTACCGATTTGTAAAACAAAACTTGGCGGCGAAAAGAGTGGAATAGAGTTTCTTGCCAATTCTTCTCGCCCGCTCTACGCCCTTGATTTGAAAACTTAAGTAAACATTGACGTTCCTATGTGTACATAAACCACTATGATCAGCGCCGGATTTAGAAGTCTGGAGGCCTCGGGGCAATGAAAAGAAAAGTGTTAGAGTTTAAAACATTTTCTATAAGAGGGGCCCTCTTTTGTGGAGGCCCGGGACTGTAGCCCCGTTTGCCCTCCCCTAAATGCGGCCCTGACTATGATTAAATAAAATTTGATTTGGTTTGAGTAATGGGTATCCATGCATTTCTGGAGGGAACATATATATATACATACAAAGTCCTGGAAACCAACTGGTTTAATATAAAATTTTAAATGTATAAATGTATAATTATAAGTATGTGGGTGTTTCGATGCCAAAAGGGTTTAGTTTTGACTGATTAGTTATTAATTATGTCCAGTAGATGAATTGTGTCGCCTGCCCACATGTCACAATAAATTATTTTCTGAAATTACCAGTAATTTTTAACAGAACCGAAATATCCCTTCCACCTCTCTTACCCTCTCTCTTTAGTTTCGTAAGTTGTAATAAGTAAGCTAATGATAATTTGTATTAATTTGGTGTATGTATATGTACGCAGATGTAACATTTTCCTGTAACCAACTGGCAATACTCTTCAATTAATTAAATAAATATATAAAATGTATTGTGCTTACATTCTATATGAGATCTAAGAGCTGTAGGATCAGAGGGTGGCAGCTCCCCGCGGCGGAACTCCCGGAGCCCGAAGTCTGCGAGTTTGACCACCCATCGCGCGTCCACGAGGCAGTTTGAAGGTCGCAAGGACCCGTGGTACTGCAGCGGGGACTCGTGAATGAAGATCATACCCTGGAATATGTAACATTTATTGTTTGGCTTGGAAATTATTAGAGAATAATATTAATAAAAATATATACGAATAAAAATTCCGTACCCTTATAATGTCTCCGACGAGCGATGCAATGAACATATTATCCAATTTAATGTCCTCATTCTCAAGAATATCCTGAAAAAGGGATATAGGGTTTAAAATAGTGAAGTTCCAAACTCCTGATAGTGACAAACACCTGCATGAGTAATATTTAAGGTAGGTTATACAAGGTAAATGTTTATAAAGATAAATGTTTAACCTTGTATAACCTACCTTAAATATAAACAAAAAAAAAAAAAATAAAAAAAAAAAAAAAAAAAAAAAAATTTTTGTATTTTCAAAACATTTGGTGTGCTTTACCGCCGCCGTCATATCAAGTGACAGAAATAATGTACCAGACAATATTCTAGAGCAGTGTTTCCCAATGTGGGGCCCTCGTCCTAAAGAATAATTTTAGAAAGGCTGAGGTGGGGCATGGGACAAAAAGGTTTGGGAAACACTGCTCTAGAGTCTAGGCTTTGATTAATTAGGAACTACATATATACAAGCCGTCGGAAATATCTGCGAACCTCGCTGGATGCGCTTCCCCTGGCGCCCCCGCACCCCGCCCCGTTTTCGCCTATCCAGTACCGTTGCCACGCAATCGCCGACGCCGACGTGTATTATTCTTGCTTTCGTAATGCATTTTAGTGTTTATTGTTTCTCTGTTTGGTGAAATATTACATAACCTACCTATTTAGTGCTTTATTTAATTACCGTGGTATGGAATATAAATAAAAATAATTTACATCAGAATAAAATATTTTTTACCTTTTTACATCTTCGAAATATTTTGCTATCTCTCCAGTTGTATGAGTCATTAAGCCATGTTCGCAGATATTCCGACGAGTTGTACATATCGTGTTTTATTTAATTACCATCGTATGGAATTAAATAAAAATAATTTAAATCAGATTGCCACTAAAATTGTTAGAATATTCAAATTTTTTGCCGACGGTAAAAACATGTTACAGCACTTATTACCTAAAAGTTTCTACGTACATTTAGACAATCTATAAAATAGGCTTTATCTAATCTCGTTATATGTAACGTCATAACAATTCGATAACGATGTTACACACAGAATTGAAAGGTGGAAATAATAGTCTACATCCCTAATATCTCCCAGAGTTCCGAAACGCTTTTAGCAATTTTTTTTTAAATAATATTTTTTTCGAAAAAGGTGTACTTTTCTTTAACAAAATTCCAGAGGCTCGTTTATCTCTGCCTTTTAATAAATGTATTAAAGAAAAGCCGTGTAAAAGGCTTACTATAAAGTTAACGATTATCTAGTTGACAAAAGGGCCTAGTGCTAGACGGTCTACTTCTAATTAATTTGCGATTTTAGTTTTAAAATAAGTGTTGTTTGATGATTTGCTATTTTAAAAGAGTACCGAGTGTTTTTTACGCCGGCTTTTTCTCTCGGCCTACACCCTCTGTCTTCTTTGCCGATGAGTAAGGATGTCTACCGATTCAAATTTAATGACTTGGAATAAGTGATACCAGTATCTTATATTCCATAATAAACATATTTATTTTTCAACAACTATTCCTATAGACTTACCTTAAGGCTGCCTCTAGTACAGTATTCGGAGAGAGCGCATACATTAGGCGGCTCGATACACGCGCCCACAAACCCATTCACATTGTCATGTTGCAAATCCCGCATCTGTCACAATGAGATATTAATGATGCCTTAAAGGAAAACAGCGTGGGATTTTTTTATGATATCGGATGTTCCATTCTCAGAAACCCAATTCTGAATGCAATTGCAATTCTGTGTAATTTACTAAATTTATTTCGGAACGTGATTTGGGCAGTACTTTTTGCTCAATGAAGATTCCATTCGTAAATTATATGTGATATGTAAAAAGCTTATTAATTTCTACATTGGCAACTGGTTATTCGGAGAATTTCAGTTTTTCATTATGTTTTAGAAATTTACATACTGTTTCCTTAATGATTTCCTAGTAATTTCTTCCTGAAACTTATAATTTAAGTTTCTTTAGTGAACACATCAATTTTTTTAATAAGAATTTTAGAAAGGCTAAGGTGGGGCATGGGACAAAAAAGGTTATTTATTACAAACTATGTATAATAAAGATTCCATTAGTTGTAAAAATGTGATAATATGTAAAAAGCTTATTAATTTCTTGATTTGCCAATTAAGAAATTAATAGTTCTACAAGGAGATTGATTAATAGATAAATAATGATGCAATAGGTCATCATTCAGCACTCATGAATAATCATTGACTAATTCATTCAATACCATCCTTATTTGTATTTCGTGATTGTTAGACAAAATACGTGTCAACTGACTTTATAAACACTAATAGTCGCTATTATTCTATTCGAAGCTCACTATTGTAAGTTTCAGGTTATTTATTACCTTCCCACATAAGCAGCACGATTATCATAATATATTATATACTTATCTACACGTTAATGGCATTTAATGTTCTGCCTATGTTACTACGTTGACAGATAAATTCGTAAATAATGAATCCGGATATCAAAAAACAAAGAGAAACTTTAGTTTTCTATCTATATATTATATCTTTAATCTAGTAATTTATTTATTAATATTAAACTGTGTCCAGTTTGTGTTTCCACCACACCAACTTCTTCCTATTTAAGATCATGTATACAATAAATAAATAAAAAAAAATTGTATTTTTTCTCTAATTGAATCTAGTTAACATGTCAAAAGGAAGAGGCTAGCTGCCCACGACACAGGGAATCCTTGAGTGCACTTTCTAACGAAATATCCATTTTTTTATGTATAATAGAGATTTTTATTTTATTATTTCTTTTAGTTTTTACAGTAATGGTTTTTGTTATAAAATATGTTTTTTAAACTTTTTTAATATTTAATCGATCGACAGTCTGCTTAATTACTGACGCTCTAAGAAATATACAAGCTTTTCACATACACATAGTATAATAAAATTCATATTCACATAAATTGAAGAGCTCTTTTCCAAAATGTACTTATCTATCTATATATATAAAAATGAATTGCTGTTCGTTAGTCTCGCAAAAACTCGAACACGGCTGGACCGATTTGGCTAATTTTGGTCTTGAATTATTTGTGGAAGTCCAGAGAAAGTTTAAACAGTGGAAAACATAAATAATAAGTAAAGAAAAATACTAAAAACGACAATTAAATTTTCCAATACAATCAGTTCCTATTGTGTATTCCTATGTCTTTTCAGAAATAAAGAAGTGTCTCTTGGATGTCATATATATATGTGTAGTTCGAGGTTGTCTTTGGTCTGTTTTAAAAATGTTGTATTACGTTTTGACACAAATATATGTAGGTGATACGAAGTTCACGAGTCCATCTAGTAGTATAATAAAATTCATATTCACATAAATTGAAGAGCTCTTTTCCAAAATGTACTTAGTCCACAAAAACAAAACAAAAAAGTAGAAAATATCTATAATTATTTAATAATTCTTCAAAAAGTCGGGAGTTATTACATTACAGACTGTTTATTATTATTAACAAATTTTCGTTCTCACTTAATATGCTTTTTGAACTGAATTACTCTTCAGTTTTTCCATGCAGTATTCCTATATATCTGTATGTCTAGATTTTGTCGGTCTCGCGTCTACGAAGCTGTCATAATAGAGATAAATAATTCTTGGCTTACGTCTAATTCTCATAAATCGCTTGTTTCATATGTTATTTTAACATCAGTTCATAGTTATTTTATTTTATACTAGCTTTCGTGTATTTTGAAGACAAAGAATTTTGCGACCTCTTCAATAATAATTCTGATGTAATAGTTAATTAACATGTAACCAAATCGAATAAGTTAACATTTCTCAGCAATGACTTATCCATTGATAAAAACTATAAAAAATTTGTAGTTTTGAAGTTTATAAGACAAAAGCAAGGGTCTTCACTTTATAATTTAGTTACCATACACTTATTTGTTATTTAAATTTATATTTTGTTTCTTCCTGTCTATGTACCATATATTATATATAAAATTCTCGTGTCACATGTTAGTTACCATACTCCTCCGAAACGGCTCGACCGATTTTTATCAAATTTTATATGCATATTCAGTAGGTCTGAGAATCGGCTACTGTCTATCTTTCAACCCCCTAAGTGATAAGGGGTGTCCACCCCAAAACAACGTATCAACGGTCAGCTAGTAGAATTATAGAATAATGCATTTCATTATTTTAGTGTTTGGTTTTCGAAGAAAAAACAAACCAAGCGGACTTTTTGATAAAACTTAACTAGAATATAGTAAAAAATTTGCTCAGTCACATTAGTCACAAATGACACAAAGCATGGAAATAATTAATGAAATGCATAACTGACGTTTTTAATTGTCGGTTGAGTGAACTTACAAAAGGTCTGGTTCATGTCAGTTCGTATAATGTAAGAAATAGTCTTTTTGTAAGTATTTCTGTTTAATGTCGGGTTGTTTTTTCCTATGTGTATTGTGTATTAGTCATATAAATGTAAATAGTTGCCATCGACCATTAGTAGTAATAGTACTTATTATTAATTCTTACATAAACATCATATTTAAGAATTAATTGTAACTTTTAAAATATCTTTCTTAGAGCGAATGTTTGGATTATCTTTTATTCCACTTATTGAACCAGGTTGATCTAAGAAAATACCGTCTAAAGGGAAAATGAATGTCTATGAAATAAATCCCTCGGCATTTTCTGAGAAAATCCACCTATCGTATGAGAGATCTATGAACCTTAAAAAGGGAATTGAGTTTACTTCGAATAAGGATCTCGCTAAGTATTACAATATATATATATATATATAAAATATTACATTAGAGGTTTTATGATGTGGATTCATATATAATTATATGTATATATATATATTACATATAAAGATTAGTGGAGGCAGGAAAGTCAGGAGGCGACATCCGCCATCGTTGCCTGTGATTTTCCAATTTTCATGGATCTACTAGCTGACCCGGCAAAGGGCCAGAAATTTCAGGAAACATTTTAGTCAATAAAAATAACTAATACTATAATAAAAATAGAGATTGCTTTAAAATAAGGGTTGTACGATTTTAATGCCACATAATAAAAAAAAAGTTAATCCAAAATTTTTGGGATTGACACCCCTTATCACTAAGGGGTTTGAAAAATATATAGTAGCTGATTCTCAGACTTACTAAATACCGCTCGACCGATTCCTATGAAAATAAAAATTTTCATAGGAATCGGTCGAGCCGTTTCGGAGGAGTATCTGAACGAACATTGCGACACGAGAATTTTATAAATTAGATTAGACTATGAAATTATATTACTAGATAAATTGACGTATATTCAATAGGCCTAGTATTACTTTTATAAGTTCTGTGGCATAAAATGACAATGGCAGTTGACAGTAACGTCATTGCTCCGACATATCTGATTATTTATTAACCCCTTATTGTATTTTTTATACTACAGTGATGTATCTGTTTATTTTCTAATAAATAAAACATGTTCCTAGTAAATAGATTTTGTGGGTATAATTTTCAAATGGCTTACAATTTTGAGTTCCTTCTTGATTTCCCGGTTAATATCGATATGATGTCGTCTCACGCGCTTCACTGCCAACAAGCGACCACGGTAAAAGGCGACTTGGGTAAAGATGGCTGAGTACCGGAAGTCCAAGTCTGGGTTAGAGCTGAGAGAGACTTGGCTTGACCGTGCCGCCCCTATGCTGCCCTTCTCGCATATCGCGTTACTTGAATTCGTATTCAAGCCAGTGCTATCTTGCTGGAAAAAATCAGCTCTGATCAACTAGCTCTGTTTTTGTTTATGAGTAAACTAGTGGACCCCACAGACGTTGTCCTGCATGATATTTAAAGCGATTTGGATATTAAGCAAAGTATGAAAGTACCGACTGCAGTGCCATCTGCCGGGCTGATTTGTGAATCTAAACCATTCCCAGATCCCCTTGAACACACACAAAAAATTTCATCAAAATCGGTCCAGTCGTTTAGGAGGAGTTCAGTCACATACACACGCACACAAGAAATATATATATTAAGATAGCTCTGTTTTTGTTTATGAGTAAATGTCAAGTATGCATTGTAATGAATATGAAAGGAACGCTATTCTGTAAAACCAATATCCATGATGATTTGATAAGTAATAGCTTAGGCACACAAGACTCCTAAGAACGAGATAAAATTATTTTTTCATGTAGTCCTATTAATATCAGCAGCCCTGATGTCGTAAACTTGAAATTACGTAGTTGGAAAATTTGAAATTGGAATCGGAAATGTGTTCGTAATTGCTATAAATTTTTATGGATTATATTGCTAAAGCGAAAGTGTTTAAGATTTTTTAAACAGATCAGCTTCAATGTCAATTTTGGGTCTAAAAAATTTCCTCAAGACTTCACCGTACGTGCAAGCGAATGAAAAGTCCGAAGGGGTATGATCACACACAAGTTTAGAATCGCTAGCCTAACTACCAGGCTACACTACATGTATAATTGGGATAGGTCCGAAGTAAGCTCTCATATAAAATAAATCAAAACAAATTGTTGTCCAAGTTGGGGTTTAAATCAAACGATTAAACTCCTTTTTCATAATCGCTTTTGAACCTTTAATGAACATTATTTTTCCCGAAACATTGGAATTAAATTATTGTTTCCACAGATAAGAAAATATATCTAAGACCGTTGATATAACAATTACATGCATCATGCAAGGCGAACATGCAGACAACATATATAAATTGTGTTTACCTACTCATTTTGTTGGCGCGCTGCTCATCATCAGGTAAGTGGAGATCTCTGAAATCGATTTTCCACAGAAGTGAGTCCAGTTCTTGCTCGTATCTCCATCCTCGGTATAGAGCTAAAGCCGCAAGTGCTAGAAGTACTAGGGTACCACCAGATGCTCCAAGGGCCCACGCACCAATATGACCTGTTTATAAATTGTGGTTAATTTATGAAAGATTATGAAAGTGAAACTGCAACTGCAAAATTGAAGATTATTTAGTTTTCACGGAACAGTGTTAGCGTAGTGCCTTCAGCGTGCGACTCTCATCCCTGAGGTCGGATCCCTGGCTGTGCACCAATGGACTTTCTTTCTATGTGCGCATTTAACATTCGCTCGAACGGTGAAGGAAAACATCGTGAGGAAACCGGCTTGCCTTAAACCCAATAAGTCGACGATTTGCGTCAGGCACAGGAAGCTGATCAGCTACTTGCCTATTAGATCATGAAACAGATACCGATATCTGAGGCCCAGACCTAAAAAAGGTTGCAGCGCCACTGATTTATTCATTTTATTTTATTTAGTTTTCACAGCGTTAACACAATTCAAGGAAAAGAGATGAAAGATAGTCTTATTACAGATTCTCTTTTGTTGCTTTGGCTGAGGAAGGTTACCTTATTAAATTCCCTCCTTTACCTTATGGAATGTGGATATATTCCATTTTCATTTTCTAAAAAGTATGAAGACAAATGTTCTTTATAATTACAAAAAACAAGAAAACCATACCAAAATTGCTTTCAAAATAAAAAGTAATACAAGTAAACAATCAGAAAACATTTGTACACAAAGACGGAAATATATTAAAGCACTTAAGAGTGTAAGCGGTTCGATTCAATTTGTGTGTTTGAGACTTACATGAATTGGAATCGTCCTAAATTGAGGTAAGGCGAAACTCGAGACTGGGAAGAAAATACTTACACAAAAAGTGCGAAAAAGATGACACGAAAGTGTATAGATTTTATAGACGAACAGTATTAGTAAGTATAAGTATATTAAGGCATGTTAACATTAGCAGACAGAAAATATAAATTATGTTATTCAGTCATTTAATAATAAGTATATTCGAAATCTAGGTATTCTAGAATATACGGAACAGAAGTTGTTTGAAAAATCCTTTTTAATACTATCAAGTATCTATTACTAACGCGTTAAGTTCTCATTAAAATTGGGTTTTATAACATCTGTTGTCCACATTTATACGTAATTGACGAGTGCAAGTACCTACTATAAGTATGTCCTTAAGTTTTACATAGTGATCGTTATTTGCTTACTACTACTCTGTAACTTCCATTAGCAACAGGAATACAAATCCTGACTTTTATATGCACTGTCTGTGTAGACTTCTCAGTATCGCAAACGCTGATGTTGAACTTTGGGATCGCGCGGGAAAAAACTGATTTAAATCGGGATGAGGCATTTCGGTATTGAAAGTTATAGAGTAAGGGTTCTACTTCTATAATCTACTGTCAAAAAAGCGAAAATTAACAATAGAATATTACGTATCAATTTAGTTAATAATAAGCGGGTGGTGGCCGTACAAAGGATCCAAACAATAAAAGATATACATAATATTGACGGAATTTTCTATTCTTTCAATGTAGATAAAGCTTACATTTCGTATCGAATGATAAGGATTTGAACGTGATCCATTTATTCTTATTGATTTATTACATACGCATGGCGAGGAAAATTGGATTTATCAGGCTATATTGCATTCTTTTAGATTTCTATAAATATTAAAGTTTGGTTAATAAATATTTAAATTTTCGACGAAATTAATTATTAGAAATCTTATAATGTAAATCATTCTCGACTCCACCTCAACACACATCAATATTTCATCAAAATCGGTCCAGCCGTTTAGGAGTTTAATTACGAACACATGCACAGAAGATTTATACATATACCAGCTGTTTATTTGCTGTATAGATAAATAACCTAGTTAACGACTGCAGCGCCATGTGCCGGGCTGATTTGTGAATCTAAAGTCTAAACCATCCAGGACACCACCCAAACGCATACAAAAAAAATCATTTAAATCGGTCCAGCCGTTTAAGAGAAGTTCAGCGCCACACACATAAAGATAGTCCAAGGCCCCGTAACCTTGTAAAAATTAGGGGTTGTGTTTTTTTAAATAAATTTACAGACAATATCCGTAGGCTTATATCCGTAATACTATAAAGGCCATTAAGCGATATTAATACTGAAATTAAAAAAAACTAAGTTTCAAGTTTTGTATTTAAGAGAAAATCGTAATTTCTAGAAAGGGCGAAAAACGCACAGCGGGTGACGCGTGCGGCCGATGGCCACTGCTCGACGTTGCTTGTAACATTACGCTTTACGACCCTTCCTACTCTTACAAGCTTTGCGCTTAATGCCCCCGACCTCCAGCTAAGCATTACTTTTTTAGTTCCGGCAAAATAGGTCGACCTAATGTAATTTGTTGATTCTATTAAGCACTTATCGTACGTAAAATTTGCCGCATAAAAACATTTACTTAATGGGGTTTAGGATTACATCTAAAACGTCGAATATAATATAACGTACTATTTATGAATCACACGAAGAGAAGAAAAAAGAACTGAAAAGACTAGAAAAGACCGTACCAATTCTAGAAAGGCCGGCAACGCACTTGCGAGCCTTCTGGCAATGCGAGTGTACATACTACATGGGTGGCGGTATGACTTAACATATGGTAAGTCTCCTGCCCGTTTGCTACCATAGAAGCATATCTTCTAATTTATTCTGATTAAAATCATATTCAGTTACTTACTTAATTTTTAGAAGGAATAAACATATACTTTTATGAAAAATTGCTGAATTTCTTGGCAGGTAAATATATAATATGGTGTATTTTTTGTTCCTTTTATATATTTCAATATTATATATGATTTGTATTACAGTTTTTGATTGGGTTGTGTTGACTCAGGCATTTTTATTAAATCATTTATAAGATTTACTTACTAACGCATTTTTCACCTCGAAACCCGCAGGGAGGTTCTGAGAGTGGCACTCTACCTCCAGGCCATTTCAGTTCTCGGTGGAGTCGTAATTCCTGTAAATATTAAATAAATTAGTATAAATGAGAATGTACTATAAACTTTTTACTCTATAGTTTATGAACTCATTACCTATGCAGTTTTAATATTCTAATAATTATAATTGAAATTATAAATACACCGTATGCCGCGGCGCGGTATCTTGTCACGTTGTCGACTTCCAAATTTAAATAATAAAGATATTTCCACGAATCAATAGCGCCAAAACAGCCAGCACATGAGCCAATGCGAGCTACCAATTTTCGTGTAATGCCATAAAAATGGCGCGAATTTTTTTTAAAATTAACCAAAAATTATGTTTTTTTTGTATACACAATTTTGATGTCGTGTTCGCAACGTGATCGATACAAGCTCGTTAACAGTTAGTACAAAAAGATAGTGGCGATAGAATCTCACAATTCTGTATCTGTTTCGTTATCATTTGTTTTTCCTAATAGACAAGAAGGTGATCACCCTTCCGTGCCTGACACACGCCACGCCGTCGACTTTTGGGTCTAAGGCATGCTGGTTTCCTCACGTTGTTTTACAAATACATTACTGCACAGCCGTGATTCGACCGATTGACAGAGTTGATAGGCTAGTTAAGTCTGGAGTTTATAGATAAATATCTGCGTCGTTTTAATTCATTTTGACCATAAACAAAGTTTTAAAAGCACTTGGCTTATATGAAATAATAAAATTAAATAACGGTGAAATTTTTATCACAGCTTTGAATAGACGAAATTCCAGAGGAAAGAATGTCCATTTCGCACATTCCCACAAATATTTGTTTAAGGGATCGACGATTAAACATTGCGTACATTCGAGAATAATGAAAATTCTTTTATTTTTTCTTTCTATTACATCTATAAATACTTTAAAAGAAAATTAAATTAATTGCTATAAACTTTGACATATATAAATATTTATTACTTATTAGTGTTTGTTTGACTGCCCTTATAATATGTTTCACATCAACATAATATGTACATATATTGCTTACATGACACAGTTTCGAGGTTTACATAATTTCAGTGAAGATTAATAGTAAACATGTGTACAACTGGTCTAGAGAAGGGAATTAAGATTATATTTATAATATAACATAATAAACACTGCTTAACCAGAGCTTGACATATTCGGCTGATTGATTTAATAAATAGCATTGTTAATTTATATATTTATAATAGCATCCGCTATTTTACTAGTAATTTATTGCTTTACAATAAGAAATCTAAAATTGGAAAAATAATATTTGTATTATTGTTATTTTGGAAAACATAGCTTGTAACATATACTATAGATATATTATTATATTTGTTGTGATGAACTTTAATAAATATATAAACATTTAATAATTTGTTATGTTGCAATAATAATAATAATAATAATATGTATATTATATATTCAGATTAAAATGTAATGAAACTGGTTTAAATCTTTAAAACACGGAAAAAATGAAAATTTATAGGGCTTTTAGTCATGAATATTAGGAGATATAAACAGAAATATTTGATGTTTTGTGAAATATGTGACGGCGCCTATACCGCTAGACGCGCCTATAGCAATAAACAACACCTGCATCGAGCAGGTCACAGCCGGTTCTTCAAGTCTCCCCACTCTCCCCACTACTGAGTCTGTCGTTATAAATGGCGGAGCGAGCCTTGCACAGGCAGGTAGTCATCAAGGGCATCCCGAAGGAAATAGACTCCGGGGTCGTCCAAATAGATCTGACCGAGCAGGGATACCCCGTAAGGGATGTATTCCGTATGCTAAACCGCTCCACCAAAGAAGAGTACGATATGGTACTTGCAGTCTTAGACCCTACTCCGAGTGGGAAAAAGATTTTTAACCTTCGGGAGTGCTGTAAGCTCTCGGGGTTGAGGGTTGAAACTCCCCTCAAACACTCTTTTACACGGCAGTGTCATCGCTGCCAACTCTACGGGCACGCAGCCCGAAACTGTTTTGCGAGGGCGCGGTGCGTCAAGTGTTTAGGCGACCATGGCACCTCGGACTGTAAGCGGACACTCCCGTGCGCTGAGCCGCCGGCGTGTGTGCTTTGCGGGCAACATGGGCACCCTGCGAATTATCGCGGTTGTCCTAGAGCCCCCAAGGCGCATAAGCCGCCGTCTTGGCGCATGGTGGGCCGCGACGCGGCCCGTCGTGGCACGGGAGCAAAGCCCTCATACGTGCCGGCCCCGACTCCCGGTATTAGTCCATGGGCCAAGCCCTCCGTTACGGAGGGCCCTCCCCAACTCACGGCAGAAGCCTTCCCGCCTCTGCCATCAAAATCGGCAGCCGCAGCGCCTTCCCAGGTCCCTGCGCCAATCCCTATCTTAAAAGAGAGGCCCACATTAAATGCGAGCCCTCCCACTAAAGCCCTCAGCCCTCCCATGAAGGCAACTGAGGAGTCAGGCAGCGTCCGCGACGCTTTTAATCTTGCGTTCAGCGTAATAGACGCTATAGACTTAGACGCACTCGTCGCATTCGCGGAGGCCTTTAAGTCCGCCAAAACTGCGTCCACCAAGGTGGAGGTAATAACCGAGCACGCCCTGCTCCTTAAGTCCGTGCGGCAATTTGTGGAATCCGGCACACCGCAATAGTTACGACCATATTACCCCTTCCCGACACAAAAGGCTCTTAGGAGGCCCAGGTACACTTACACACTAAAGGATTCGGATGATCCAATTATCGCAGCTAACACATTAAATTAAAAGCCGCCCGCGCGGCCAAAAATAACAATCAAGTATTCAGACACAGATTAGGGTCAAAAACCGCCTTCACCGGGGAAGGCGAGGACCTCTACTTCGCACTTCGCTCACTCCAGTGAGTTTCCGTCCTGCCCTTCAGGCGATTGACCACCCCGCGACGGCCCAAGCCGAGGTTCGAGTCTCACAGGAGACGCCCTTGCGCTAGTCGCGGGAAAAACGCCATTCTGGCCGAGCTACGCTCGCCAACCAGCCCGAGCTGAGCTGTAAAGGCCGTAAAGGCCAACAGCGAGATTCCTTTCTCAAAAAAAAAAAAAAAAATTGCACAGGCAGTCTCGGCTCTGGCGTGGCTTGGTACACTAGTTGTATCTTGCGAGCTTATCCCTGACTCAAATTACTCTGTGTAAATTAGGAGTGATTAAAATAGAATTATTATTTGAAAATTAAGTGGCATTTTATTTATTAAAATGTCTTACCCAAATCCTACATATGCAAATAAATTGTTTATTTTATCACGCATCACGCTTCATACTTACGTTTTGCGTTGCGTTCATTCAGTCATAATATAATAGTTTAATGCTAAACAAAAAGTCCACAGCAAGAAATTTTATTATGTGAAATACAGATAAACAATCGCACCAGTACTCTTTAGTATCCAATCTACACTTACCGGAGACATTTTGTGGAAGACGCCAAGTGGATAGAGCCCTGGAGGCTTCGTAGGATCTACGGAAAGTAGAGTGTAGTTGCCCTCTGCATCGCCGTTCTCATCCATGTGAACGCTGTACCTAAAAGATAGGTAATTTAATTGCTACCGAATTATTTCTATTAGATCGTGCATTACGTATTTCTAGGTTGTTACAGGATTAATTATGGTGGGTAAATCATGATCTGAGGTTACTGTACATTCTGCGCGGGTCATCATGTAGATTAAAGTATTTAGAACCTTCATTACATTGAAGATAAAAATTAAAACATAGTAATCATTTTAGGCAATTCGTTTAGGATCTCCGCCATTAAGTTGTGGAATAGGCTACCCGACTCCATACGATTAGCTACCTCTCTAACATCTTTTAAAACCCTTCTTCATAAACATTTCTTAACCATATCCTATCCTGCTCAAGCGTGACTTTTGTAATTCTTGCATTTGTTATTCTTTTGTAATATACGTAGTTGGTCCCAAAGTTCTGTCACTGGCACATTATTTTTAAATTACGAACATGATTTTATAAAAAAATTATTGCATTCTATTTTTGATTGTTTGACTATTGTTTTAAAACAAAAAACAATCACTTTCCGTAAATTTTCAAGATGGAGTGGACATTGAAAGAAAACCGAATAGCTGTTATTGCGTTGCACCGCTGTGGGCACTCGGCGAGTACCATTTTCAAGTTGCTCAAAAATTTAAATATAACGCTTAGGTTTGTGTACCGTACTATTGATAGGTACAATGAAGTCTCCAGTGTTGAGGACAAGAAAAGAACTGGCCGGCCACGCTCCGCAAGGACACCAGCAGTGATCAAAGCTATCAAGGCGCGGATAGCAAGAAATCCTGTCCGAAAACAGAAGTTGATGGCTTTGCAGATGGGTGTCAGTAGGAAAACAGTAAAAAGGTTTTAAATGAAGATCTTGGTCTACGGGCATACAAAAGAAAGAGTGGGCACCTACTTAATGCTCGTCTAAAAGCAATAAGGCTTAAGAGATCGCGGGGTTTGTTAAAGCGGTACGCGAAAAACCGACACCGTGATATCCTCTTTACGGACGAAAAATTTTTCGATATTGAAGAGAAGTACAATAAACAGAATGATAGAGTGTACGCTAGGAGTTCTGAAGAAGCTGGAAATAAAGTTCCGAGGGTGCAACATGGACATCATCCATCATCAGTAATGGTCTGGTTGGGAGTGTCCTATTACGGGCCAACTGAGGTTCATTTTTGCGAAAAGGGGGTCAAAACCAGTGCAAAAGTGTATCAAGACACGGTTTTGGACCAGCTTGTCAAAGACCTGCCCAGCACGCTATTTTCGGGACATCACTTTGTGTTCCAACAGGACTCTGCGCCTGCACACAAAGCCAAGACCACTCAAACCTGGTTTGAGCGTCAAAACATCGACTTAATTAGACATGAGGATTGGCCTTCCTCCAGTCCAGACCTTTATCCTTTGGACTATAAAATTTGGCAGGTCTTAGAGAGGAAGGTCTGTGATAAACCCCATAAAAATTTGGAGTGTCTGAAGTCATCTTTAAAAAAAGCAGTCACTGAAATCGACATGAATATGGTGCGTGCTGTGATAGAAGACTGGCCGCAGCGCTTAAGGGCCTGTATTAAAAATAAGGGAGGTCATTTCAAATAATTTTATGCTATTTCTATTTCTTAATTTATGTACTATTAATTGATATATCACTCATTAAAAACTGATCAGTACTTTAGTTTTTATCATTATTTCTATTTATGACAGAACTTTGGGACCGACTACGTAGTTTGTTTTATTAAATTTTTTTGGATTAAGGTGATTCTACAATTTTTTTATGAAATTTGCTTATGCAATTCTTGCACATTATCCATCATATTTCTTTTTATTCGTTTTTTTCCTTACTGAGGTTGCCTGGAAGAGATCGTTTGTCAGGACCGTTGCATCCCTTATAAACGAAGGATCATTTTCTCTTCTTACATGAATTTGGCTTTACACAAAATTCGGTATAGTATTATATAATGTATAATTGTAAATCTACAAAGAAGTTAGCGGACGGAAGACACCGTTTTACATGCTATGCATTTCAATTACTCCAGTGTCGTTACAAAGAAAGAAATTTACGAGTGGGAGACCGATACTAGAACAGTTTAACAGAGAAACACTTTACGAATAGTAATTAGTGCAAATGAGATGCGTAACAATATGGTTGTAGATTTACGCAATGTTTTATTTATTTTTACAGAAGCTTAAAAATTCTTAAAAATACATGAAAAAAAGATTGACTGAATAATTTTTCTAACATATTTGTACATTAATTGATATGTATTGAAATTTCATTGCGTTTGTTGGTCAAGATTTGTTTTTTACATTCGGTTATATTATCATATGACTCTTCTTAACCTATAATGTAATAATAAAAATTATTAAAAAGAAAATAAAAGGTACACTGCCACAGGGGCCTAACTTTTTACGAAAAATGATTTTTTTAAGAAAATTGTAAATACTGTTTACTTGATTGTAATCAATAAAATTACATTTAATTTCATTAAATTAACTTATTTTCGTTATAAGTTTATAGGAAAACTATCTTCGCCTAAAAATCACTAAAATGACGTCATAACTGAATCGCACTAATAAAGTTATCTCCACAGCTAGTCTATATACAACTTCTTTACGTTAGCCACTATGTCTTTCGGACCTAGTAGGGATTAGACAGGTGATTTATTTATTAATTTATTTATAAAAGCTAGCCAACGCTTGGCACATTAATACATTGACAGAAGAAAAATAAAATACAGTTTTCAATGTGTCAAACACTTACTGGCAAACATAGCATACAAGAAGTAATAAAATTAATTAATCAAAACAATAATAAAATTTAAACAAACACTAAACGAAAATCGCTCTCAAAGTCTGAGGTGAGCAACTATGGATGTCCAGATCCAGCTCGTTTAATAGAATACACAATCCGGACATCTTCTCTTTAGGTCGGAGCAGCTCATTTCTTTCACAAGTCTGTTCCATTTTTCCTTCTTATCATATATTCCGTCAATCTTCAGTTGTATCTATGTTTTTCTTTGAATTATTTTCTTAATATGTATACAGCCTGTAACACCCCCTTACATATACACAAATGCTTAACCTCATCTGTCTATTGATTGTTTCATCCTCTTAGAAACTAAATAAATAGGTTTTGTTAGAACGACTAAACTATTTGACACTACGTTGACGACTGGGACGGTAAGTCCACTCAATATTGATAGAAATTACTAAAAATAACTCATTGATTTCAATAATCGATTAAATATTCGGTTCAAACGTCTATTGTTTGAAGATATTTAAAATTCGAGGCGCGATGTCCGAACATCGAATTCTTGAACCTGACCGGGTTAGAATCAGTCTGAATTAATTCATACAAATAAATACTAAACAAGAAACAATTTCGCTATGGGAGGATAAGTATTCTATCTCTATATATATATAAAATTCTCAAATTCAAATTCAAATTCAAAAATCATTTATTCACGTAGGTAACACAATGTACACTTGTGATTCGTCATTAAAGAAATAAGTATTAATGCTTCTAATTTTACATTTACTGCCAGTTCTCAAATCAAGGGCGTAGAACGGAAGAGAAGAACTGGCAATAAACTCTCCGCCACTCTTTTTAATCGCCATGTTTTTTTTTTTTTTTACACAACGTTTGTAAGGAGCTGCAACCATTACACCATGTTCCACATGACATTTTAAGTAATTAATAATAATAACATAAATAAAAACAAAGACTTGTCCCCTATCAGCAGGAGGCATGGTGAAATAGGAGCACGCACTTACATTCTCGTGGGAACAACACGCAAACACATAGTCGAAATAATTAACATCACCGCATACACGAATTCAATTACGACCAGTCACCACAAGTAGCACCCGTTCACGAGTATGACGCATGGCCAGCCATCGGCCCCCTCGCCATATTTTAGGGAGAGAGACAACCCGACGCATGGACGCCGCCACAAGCAATGACATTTAAGCGAGCATGACGATCCTTGAAATGTGGACTTGGCTACATAAGAAAATAATAATAATAATAATCTCGTGTCACAATGTTCGTTCCCATACTCCTCCGAAACGGTTCGACCGATTCTTATGTTATGTTCTTATTTTATGCATATTCAGTAAGTCTGAGAATCGGTTACTATCTATCTTTAAAAAAAAAGTGATTTTTTGAAAAATAAAAAATATATTTTTTTTATGATACATAATACAAAAATACATATATTAATTTTCACTTCTCCACGATCAACCCCTATTTTTATTATAGTAGATAGTTATTTTTATTGAACTAAAAAAATATTTCCTAGAAATAATATACATGGCAAAACGACGTTTTCCGGGTCAGCTAGTATTACTATATAATACTATATTATAATAGGTAGGATATTGTAAGTTTGTAACGAATAAACTACAAAACTGGATCGGTGCACGCGCATCGTAAAATTTCATTCTCATCAATTTTTCATAACGCGCCTAAAGAAGTATAACTTCAAAAAATTATGTACCAGTTCCTGCAATTCATTGAAAGGTTAATCTATATATACTGCAAAGAATAACTTTCTCTTAGAGTGCGCAACCTTCACCCCAATACATATATTACATACCCCATAACACTCTTGTATGTGGTATTCCTCATGTAAGCAGCTAAAGCGCGACCGTCACGAGGACTTTCGCCCGTTCTAAGAGCAGTCACCAAGGCGCGAGCATATAACCACACAGCATCGTGCAACCAGGCTGCTTCTACTGGTATCTACATACAAAAAAATCAATTAATTATTAATCTAAATATAAAAGGCTCGTGTTACAGTGTTAAACAAGCTCCTTCGAAACGGCTTGACCTTATGACATTCTTTGTATTCGGTTGGTTTGAGAATAGGTCGTAAATTATTTTTTATCCTCCTAAGTGATATAGCCCAATATTTTTTTTTCGGAACTTTTTTCTTAACTTGACTTAGAATTAAAAATACAATAAATAAATATTTTTAATAATAAGTCCCATTTTTAATAGCCCTATGAGTATTGCAATAATCTTATTATGACATAACGTTTCAGTTGAGTAAATTTATAAAGTGTATCACTTTCTTAGTTAACCACTAACAACATACCTTTTAACCCGTCATGGATACTATTATTTGAGAAAAAATAATTGTCAGGAAACCACGGAAGGCTGATCGCAGACGCAGTATATTATGGGATTTAAACATTTGATGAAGATAATATGAGAATGTCAGAGAACTAATTTTAATATTGGTTAAAGTTTCGGAAGACATCTGCCATGACGCAAGTAAGTTTATAAGTTCATTCAGATTTTTAATTAGTGTTATATATTTTATAAATAAGCTAAATACAAAAAAAAATGCTAATCAACTACACTCGTAAAACACAGTTTTAATGACATAAACATACGCAAATTACCGTAATAGCCGCTTAATTTAGGTATTTGGGGCAGTAGTTATCATTAACAGACTTCCGGTTCCAGTAACTGATAACACAACGCACTCTATTGATCAACACTTACCATGCGTAAGTCATTAATTAGATACGGTATAGACATAATTGTGTACAAGTACGAAGATTTGATCGTTAAGTGAAGTATCTCTTATGGTAATATTTATGATCAACACTTTTTGTATTTTACTTGTATACTAGCTATGATATATATATATACCATATAATTATTATAATGCACATATAAAACACAAACCCATTCAAACATCGACGTACTTTTTAATTTGTAGTAAAATTCCTTTTAAGACAAATTTGCAATTATGTGTGGCAGAATATGCGAACTTTAGATTGTACCAACATAAAATTTTTGTACATTATTTATGCAAATAAATTATTATTATTATTATACGTGCAAAGTATGTTTGCATATGCTGACTATATTAAATAAATAAAATAATTGTTTGGAAATAAATTTATGTGAAAATTTGTGCTTTAAAGATATATAAAAGAATGGTGAAACTCACCTACGAAATTAAGTTCAATTAAGGATTTAAGACTGTCAAATGTTTTTTACTCATTGAATCTAGTATAAAGTTGTTTAAATAATTAAATGGCCTAATGCATCTTTAACTCTTAATGATGCACATTTTACTGATATTTTTTCTTTAATAGGTAAATCGTGTGTAAACAAAAACAATTGTATTTTATCAAGAATAAATGGCACATGGAAATGCGTGATTAACAAGTTGCTAATTCATAAGTATTAAGTTGAAACATAATTAAAACTGTTTGTAAAACGATTCTTACGTACGCACTAAACTAATTATTCCAATGTACTCACCACTTTGCCTCCTCCCAAAGCCAATAAGGGATTAACGAAATTGAAAGGCGGCATCTGTAGACGCTTATTCACTTCCATAGAGAATACTGGGTACGAGGGCGCAGGCGAAGGTGCCACAGCGAGATAAGACCGGAAAGCCTTAATCGTCCTCGCACTGGGTTCCTTCAACAACGGACCCGCGAGATAACGAATGGCCTCTTCTGACTCGTATTTTTCGACATCTACTCCGATCGCTGCGTATTCGCCTAAAACATGTTTTGAATAAAGCTTTCAAAGAAAAAAGTAACACAAGCCAGTATACAAACGTTTTTTTATAAACCTTTCAAGCAAAAAGGTTAACAACAACAGCCAGTATTTAAAAGTATGTATTTTTTTATAAACCTTTTTTTAAAAAAAGGTCAATACCAGCCAGCATTTAAGCGTATTTATTTCTTTTTAAACCTTTTTTTTTTCCCTTTATGAATTTTTAAACCTTATAAACAAATATTTTAATACCAGCCAGTATTTATACGTATTAATTTCCAGCCAGTATTTACCTATGGACCATACTACAGTCCCTAATAAGGCACCTTTCTGTGATATTATTATCTACGCCTATAAAGCCGTAATTATTAATTTTCTGGGAACGGAACTGTTATACACTATAACTATAACCATTTAGGTTATTTACGCGAGCACATCATTTCATATATTGTTGAAGGAACTGAATAATTCTAAATTCATGCGTGCTCATAGCTATAGCCTACGCTTGACCGAGAGATATATCCTTGAAATGACATCACAAAACTCTTTCTCGGCGAATTCTATAGGCTCTCTACAATAAGGCTCTGGGATTCACTTGCTGTCTCTATCTGCTTAGCGTTTTCTTCTTTAATTCTCTACTATACCTACAAGTATTACTTGTCAACGTCGTATCCCTAACATAATTTATAAGTTATCACTTTTGTATAATTTAATCATTATTCGTGTGTTTTCTACAGTTTTAGATGTATTTTATGTTTTATATATATTATGTAGTTTTTGCACATTGTTGCGCTGAGCCTCTTTTATTATAGTTTTCCATATAATCCCTTATAGGAAAAAAAGGCTTCCTTGGTAGAGATCGCTTGAAAATGATATGGCCGCCCGTTGCCTTTATTATTTAAATATTATAATTTGTCGTGAAAATGTACGTAGTAAATACATAAATAATACTTTATCCGTCGCATTATTTATAAAAAGGTGTTGATTAAAATCTAAAGCTAACAAAATTTATTTATTCCACCAAGCTTCCGAACTTAACCAATTTAATAAACGTTATCATTTTCGCAAACAGCAGCCGGTTTCTTTGTAAACAAAATGAACGTTTTATGAATAATGTTTACGTAATTTTTCACTGAGTTATTTATTTATAGACCTCATTTCAATCTAAGCACATGATAACTTCAAGAAAATCAAAATCTCTTAGGTCTATACTCTAATTCGTATCTCAAGTAACAATCTCGTCTTGAGCGACTTAACCCGACAAAAAGTAAATTAAAAAAAATATATTATGCATTTGTCGCGTTCCTAAACTAGTCTGCTATGGTTACATTTATATAAACCACAGCGGTTTTCTAATGTAACACATTATGATTTTATTATATTATTCTGTAGAATAATAATAAAAAAAGATATTGTACTTTGTAGGCTTAATGCTACAATAAATGTATTTACATACATTTAATGAACGCGTAAGCTAAAGAGCAGACTCGTCAGAACTTAAGCATTTTCCATATTTTTGAACGGATTCCTGGTCAATTCGTGTAGCGGATCGAAAAAAAGAACCATAGACTGCAAAAGAACCAATAAGTCCATTCTCAACTAACTAAAGATCACACTAAGTCTTAGTGTCTAGTCTTAGTCAACTATCATTTACAAACGGGTGATAAACTATTTTGGCCAGGTCAGAACCGAATAGTCTTGACAAGCTGGTAATGGTATAGAAGAGTGATGGCAGGAGAAGTCGGGGTTGATCGCACACTCGTTGGTCTGATCAAATAATAAGAGAATTATGGGATGATGACTCAACTTCCCTAATGCACTGATACAAACTGAGGATAAGGTGGTGTGGAGGCAGCAAGTCGTCGTAACGTTTAGGGCCTTTCAAGACAGTCGTGCCTTCAGTAATGAAGACTACAAAGAAGAAGCACGTAAGATTTTTCGTCTAATCTCCATCATACAACTAAAATGAATTTTACACTAAAACCTTTGTCAGGAATCTATCTATGAAACTGAACACTGGTGAAAACTGTACACTGTGTAACCAATTTCGTTTGGTAGTTTTTGAGTTTATCAGGTACGTACAGACAAACGCAACTGGAGAACTTCATTTTATAATTTGTAAGGATTTACTGCAACGTTGGGGTACCTAATGTATAATTAGTAGGACCCACATAGTCACCGAGTTATAATTATTAAGGAGGTAAAACAATATTCGAAATTTCAACGATGGATTAGTTTTTATAGGTGAATGACCGATTTTTTTGACGTGGTGTCGGAAAACTCGCTAATCTACGGTTTTATTACGGAAATAAAAGATTTAAACGTAATAAAAATGCGCACGCGCACAGATATGGACCTGATGAGAGCTGTTCTAAATATAAATAACGCTGATCATATTTTCTATAACTTTGACATGGGTTTTATTAAATTTTTTGAAGATGTGATTGTGTGTGTAGGAAGGACATATTTTATCAATAACGATAGTTCCTTACCAGCGTCTAATAACTTCATGCTGTCCAAAGCCAACATTAACCCGATGTGATCATGATAATAACCAATTGAGACGTAAACTGTAACAAAATTTAGTTATTATTCTACCTGAAGGCCCTTCTTCAAAATGTATTAAGTATATTAGAAAAACATTATTTGTCGATATGTGTTTCTGTGTTTATGAAACTTGATAATGTAATTAAAAAAACTTAATGAAACAAAATACTGACGCTACAACCTTTTACCTCTGGGCTTCTGATTTCTTTATCTGTTTTGTGATCATTTGTTTTTTGTAATAGACAAGGAGTGCCTTACATACGTCGTCGACTTTTTGCATTTAAGACAGGTTACCTCACAATGTTTTCCTTCAACGTACGAACGTTTCATGCGCACATTGACAGTAAAATCATTGGTGGACAGCCGAGGTTAGAACCTACGATTTCAGGGATGAGTCGCATTGAAGCCACTAGGCCAACACTGTTCACTGAAGAACTTATAATGCATGCAAAATCTATGCGTTCGTGCTGCTAACAGTGGATGTTATTGCACAGAACTTTCGTATAGTTTACTCGATACTTAAGAAACCATAGAGACTGACACAAAATTTTATAGAAAGACACAGAAGAAAATTAATGAATCATTACAACAAATGCATTACAATGTCTAAGATTTGGAAACCCTTTTAAGTAAAAAATACCTGTGTCAGGGTTCCCACCTCTTCAAAAACAAACTTGATAATTAATTTCACAACAAAGTTAATATTTTTTATTGTTTTTTTTTTCAATTACAATTTTTATTTTGTTTACAATAACTTTTGCATAAAATTTTACTTACTTCTTGTATCCTTGTATGTTCAAGAAAATCAAAATTTCTTAGGTCTATACTCTAATTCGTATCTCAAGTAACAATCTCGTCTTGAGCGACTTAACCCGACAAAAAGTAAATTAAAAAAAATATATTATGCATTTGTCGCGTTCCTAAACTAGTCTGCTATGGTTCCCACCTCTTCAAAAACAAACTTGATAATTAATTTCACAACAAAGTTAATATTTTTTATTGTTTTTTTTTTCAATTACAATTTTTATTTTGTTTACAATAACTTTTGCATAAAATTTTACTTACTTCTTGTATCCTTGTATGTCTCGCGGACGATGTCCAAGAATGGGTTTCGTGAGAAGTTCTCTCGCCTATTTTCGTAATAATAAGGCTGTCGATACACTTGTACAGTCCGGATGGCGATTTTCTCCTCATTCGCTGCTGTTATTATCGCGTGGGCCAGGCGCGAAAAGTCATGATTTGGCGCCTTTAGGTAGACGACCGCTATCTGATTAAAAATTGTTATTTAATTTCGGCTTATAATCGTAATTATTATTCATAAATTTATCTCTTATGCTATATAAACATCATAATTATATTTGAAGAACGGTGAAGGGCTTCGAAATTTCGATTGAATTCTATAGTGAGCTTATTAAAAATTATAAAGGATAAAATATTATGAAGTGTTATATGCATACTATGGTACAAATTAAAAGATATGAAATCGTAAAATGTCAAGTTATTTTTATAGTTTCCCAGAGATCGAGCTCAAAATTTAAACCACACAGAGGTATATATTTACAGCTTAGATTATTAATCTTAAAGATAAATAGAAAAGATATAACTTTTACATGCATGAAATTAAAATGCGTGAGCACTGCAACCACGGAGCGGGATATATCGATGTCCGAAGGTTTTGTTCTAGCGAAAGTTGAGTATACCCGTTTGTTGGAGCTCGCTACGTCTCGACAGTACTGTAAAAGAAATAAAAAAAACATGTGTGCAATTCACACGTGGTAGAAGTGATCCCTTCAAAAATTTTGGTTTCAAGATAATGAGACGAGTGTAATTTTAATTTTTAAGATCAAATCAATCTTAAAATTTGATACAAACTAAAATATATTATATGTGAATGTCGATACTAAAGTTTTTACACTGTATAATGCTTTTTATCTCATTTTCTTCCACGTTAAATCTTATGAATTTATTAATATGTCTCTTTTTAGTGTCGCTTTTTCGTTTTATCGACTTTCAAATCACAACGATGCTAGAGAAGTCTACACGTGACAGTATATTCAATTTGTGAGACAATACAATAACAGAAATCACAAAATATCACGATATCTTCATAACTTCTCTTCGATAGTTATCCTTAAACTTCATAAGGAATCAATTTGTATTTGACATTCGTTGTGGCGCCAAAGTAAAGAATTCGCCCTAAAAGCATTGTCTATACTATACACAGAATACATATTTTTTTGGATGTTTACAGATAACATAAAAATACGTTTCCTGTGATGTTCTTTTATTTTTAATGCGACTTGTATGTGCTAAGTATTATGAATACAAAAATTATATGTAAATTCAGCATTCTTAATAGAATTATTTAAAATGGTTAAACTCTGTTTCACGACGTACGCGTGGATTACTAAAATACACGACCAATATATTTTAAGTTAAAATCTCCAGGAATAACATGATTAAGTATAATCAGATTTCCCGCGCTAGTAATCCGTGAGCGTTAAGCACATTAGTAACCCCTCCTTGTTATTTTATAAAATATACCATAGACATACATCTAGAAAACACGCGTTTGGAATATTCAAAAGCGACTATAGAAAAAAATTGTAACAAAAGCAAAACATTGACACTGGAACTGATGATATTTTCCATGGTTCAATGACCTTAGTCTATACTAATGTTTGAGTATTAATAGTATGTAATCTTCAGTTCTTTATATAATATGTACGTCTTCTTTTATATGTACTAGTTTGAATGATAGTTCTGTAAATATAGAAGGTTTGAAAGTAAACCATAATAATTTAATTATTTATCTATGCGTAAATGTTCTATGCATGTGTTATTTAAGTAAACTGCTCCTAAACGGCTAGACCGATTTTTAAAAGTTTTGAGTCGATTCTAGAATGACATACTTTAGAAATAACAAGGTATTTCTCTTTTTTTGTTCGACGAAGAAAAGAAGAAGAAGAAATTGATGGTTTGTTTGAATTGAACAGGCTCCAAAACTACTGGACGGATTTGAATAATTCTCTCACAATGAGAATCCTGCATTGCAACATGGGCTGTAAAATGTTTTCAAAAATTTAAGAATACTTATGACATATACTTATGACATTTATCTACATAAAAGTCCAGAGATACCATATGATTATTACATATTTAATCAAATTCTGCCGTGCCAAGCCGGGACTGAGCGCTAAGTCCTATATAAATGATAAATATAAATCATAGATGTATGATGTTATCATTCTTGTTAGTTTAACTGCTAGATTTTTAAAAGGCGTTTGGAAAAGAAAGATATAAGACTGTTTTCTTATTTATAGTCCATAATTTTAGATCAATTGAAGGATTATGAAAATTTATGATAACTTATTAAATAAGCTTTCTTTAGATTATAGTTGTCTATTGAAGGCAATATGTTATCAAATTCTGTCTATAACTAAATATACCTGTCATCAGAAAAAGGCGTGGTTTTCCCTATCTCAAAACTTATTTGATTTTATAAAATAAGTTACTATTCGTTCCCCTGAAATATGTAGATATTTTCCGAGAAAAATTTAGATAATTCCACCCATATCACATGCAGGTATTATGGATATATTCGGTAGTGGCCTGATCAATTTTTGAAAGCATTATTAAGTGCCTATCTCATACCTAATCCGCTGTTTTGCTTGACAAAAATTTCTGGTATTTTTATTTCATTTTGTATGTATTTTTTATAACATTTATTTTATAAAAATTGCCATATATTTTAGATAAAATAATTTGTAACATGTACCTACCGTAGATATAGCATTTGAATAATGTGGTGAACTTGAAATATTTTGTCCTAGAAGTATTAACATCTTGATGTTATAGAGAGATAATACACTTGTCAAAATAACATACATAGCTTATCATGGGTAGGTTGAAAGCTGCTGCCATTCGTCCCTCATGTACACACGTCTCTTGCGGACCGATGAAGGCCGATACATTAGCTGCCCATAGCGCTGCAACCTGGAACACAATTAATGGATAAATGGTCTGTCCATTGATAACAGAGAGGTTAACAAATAATAGATAAAAAAAATATAGAACAGGGTGCAAACGGGCAGGATGCATCTGATGGTAAGTGATACTGCCGCCCATGGACAATTACATTGAATGAAGGCTGGCAAGTGAGTTTCCGGCAGAAATGGTACGCTCTTTTCTCGTAAGACCCTAAGTCGAATTGGTCGCCTGATATTAAGTAATACCGCCATTCTTGGACATTCGCAACGCAAGAAGTTTGCGTTGCCTTCTTTTTAAGAATCGGAACGCTTTTTTCTTGCAGGACCTTAAGAATTTTCATTTAACGATTTACGTTAAATATAACCTACTAATCACGACGCGGCGGCGCGAGTTTTGGATTTTTCATTTGACAGTTCAGTTAATATCCTAAAACTATTTATTGTCCTATTCGTTGGAAATTTGAATCATTTGGCTCCCCGGTCATCTAGACCAGTCCATGGACGGAGGATCTATGCTCCAATATACACAAAAATACACCTTGTATTGATAGCCTCCTCCTTCGTTTTGAATCCTGTTATAAATTATCTACAATGGACCTTTTGAAATGTTTTGAAGAGTTAACTTAAACAAAACCTCGACCAAGTGATGCCACCTTGGGCGTTTTTCCCTCAAATTTAGGGTAATCAAGATGTCTAGAGGGTTTATAGGGGGTACATCTATTTAGAGGGTAGGAGGGGTTCTTTAATCAATTTTTCCTAAAAGAAACGATTTCACGATTCTATGTAAATTACTTTAAGCCTCGAACCCAACCAACAAACTAAACCAAATATAAACTCTAATCGTGGCTATAACTGTAATATCAAAAAGCTATAATACCTACTCCAAAACATAAATAACAGGTATTTTATACTACTCGAATGTATTTTCTAATGCATATTTTACATTACCTCTTCAACCGAGGGTACAACAAAAACTTAAGGGTTTTAAACGAGATTTAATATGGTTATTCGACGTTGGTCCTAGAGGGAACATTCTGTTGGATCTGGCATCATTGCCTTGACATCAGGCACGCGGCCTGCGAGTGTAGGGACGTAGGAGGAACACACTTCCTTCACACCGAATAGTTTCTTAGAAGTGTAATTATAATTAGCCATATAAGTCGAACATATAAGCAAAAAGTTAGGCGTAGGTTGTTGTGTCTTAAATTGCAAATTACTGGAGCTATTATTCATCTGTCTGTTGCCGTTTCCTCTGTAATGAATAGCCATCACAAGCAGGCTTCGAAGACAGATTACGTAATATCTAACGCGTATTAATTATAGTATACATATAGCAATTTATTATTAGATTTAGTACGTTTAAGGCTTGATGTGAAAGGCGTTATTTCATATCTTTATTAGGAGTTTTGCTAAGATGTACGATTATGGAACTAATTCGTCTTTCCTATAGGATAGCGATATATGGCTATATTTATTAATCTAATAGGCAAGTTATCAGTCTCCTGATCCTGACACACACCGCGCCGTCGACTTTTTGGGAATAAGGCAAGAGGTTGCCTCTGGATATTTTCCTTGACCGTTCTAGCGAATGTTAAATAATAATAATAAAGCCCGTTTTATTTACAATCATGACATAAAATAATTATTTTTATCTATTACTCTTTCTCTATTCGTTTCCTGCTACCGCTTCTATTTCTTCTATACACCTTTTTTTGGCGGGCTGTTCTCTTTCTTCCTCTTGGTCCTTTCCATACAGTTGTCTTTAAAGACCACCTTTTATCTGTGTATCTTGCTATATGCCCCGCCCATTGCCAGTTCTGAATGTTAAATGCGCACATCGAAAAAAAGTCCATTGGTGCACCGCCGGGGATCGAACCTACGACCTCAGGGATGAAGCCACTAGGCCAGCACTGTCTTAGTCTGTATAGCATATATTAGATGTCACATAGTTCACAGTTAAATAAAAATGATATGGCTACATAAAACACGTCCACGTTTACCGTTAGTTTATAAGCAAGGTGTAAAAAATAACATTGAGTTCAACGTTATTTTGTTTTTCTTTGAACGCAAGAAATTAAAAGAAATGTATCACTCTAATGGCGTTAAACGGAAAGTTCTTATTAAAACGTGCTTATCGCATTTATTTATTTCAAATGTTTGATCATGAAACTGTGTACTTTACAGCCAGCATGTGTTCCGCAAAGTGAGTTTTGTAATTCATTGAACCGTGTTCCGATCTGCCCTAAATTTAATCTGATAATGCTATTAAAGATGCGCTTACGTGTATTCGGAAGGAAACGGAAATAAGAAAGTAATTTTAAATAAAATAAAGTCCAAGTGAATTAAAGTTATACCCTTTCAATGGCTTGAACGCGTTCTGCGTTAAGATTATTACTGGGTCATTGCGTTGCTCAGTTGAATTATTTCTGGAGTGCCGAGTGCTGCGTGATGTGAATGACTTGACTCTTGTACTTGTATACAAGTCACACCTGTTCAAAGACGTGGCCAAACAAATGGTATACATCAAGTTTGTTAGAAAAATATTTCCTTAAAATGAATGAAGAAGAGTTTGTTTGCCAATACATCAAAACACAAATAACCGTGTCGATTTTGTAAAGCTAATGTAAATATAAAAGAAAATTAATTAATTTATTAAATAATTCAAGCAACATTCATTACTGTTAAAAGCCTAAACAGTTAAAACTATTTTGTTTTTAAGCTACTATTTGCCGTAGTGTGTGAACTATGTGTAACCCAGCTGCCGTAGGACTGATTCGAAAATTCCACGACGAGCCTTCGATAGAGCCTTCAAAAGAGCATACCAAAAAGTCGCATATAATTACAGACACAGTAAAAGACAAATCTACGGGCACTGTGATTATCACTTAACATCAGATAATCTCCTCACTCTTGGCGGTTTGTGCCGTTATGAAAAACATCGTTAATCACTAAACTTATTAAAGGAATATAGAATCAATTCCGTGTCTAGTTTCCAATAAAATATTTTATGAAAGACCGATTAAATTCGACCAAGATGTCACGTTAGTTGGGGTGTACTTTTATTGCAATAAATATAGAGTTCTTGGTTTTATGACGTAAGAATAAAGTGGTGAACCTTCCGCTTTGTTCTGGAGCCAATAAAATTTACGCTCCAGTGAGCAAAACTATTTTATATGGACTCCTCGTGTATCGTTTTACGAATAAGTATTGTAAATGTTTCCTTTTGGCTTTCATCTGTTTCACTATATCAAATTCACAATGTAAATTATGTAAAGATATTTTAATGTAATTTTTGTTTTGGTACACTGCCACAGCGACTTTTTAAATTTGTTTTACTCGTAATTTTATTAATAATTACTAATACTATGTAGGTTAAGAATATTGTACATACTGTATATTTGTGTGGTAAAAATAAATATTATAACTATTTAGTATATAGGGTTATAAGTTATAACATAACAATGCCTGCGATTACAAATAATATAAAACTTTTATGACGTCTGCTAAATGGTAAGCTAATGAGCTATTTTAATTTTTCATAGCGACGTAGATTGCAACAATTACGATCTCCCCCACCCCCCTGTAAGGAATGTAAAAAAAATAAAATTGGCCAAATTGATAATTTTTTTAAATTCAATCAAAAATCCAAATTTATTTTGCTCGGAGAGTTGATTTTTTTTCATATAAACAAAAACTATACCTACGTAAAACGCAAAATATTTTAAATAATTGTACATCTCTCTACAATATTATGGTTTTGTTGTACATGATTTGTAATAAAATCGCGTTGATAAAAGTGTTCTATCTATTAAAGGTTTTACATTTTACTATTCACAATACTTTTCGTCATTCGATTATTCTTTATTCGCCCACCTCGCTTATATACTTAGCTATGACACTGCCCGAAGGTTCGAATTCGAGGGAACCTTTGAGAACTGATGAAATACCAGATAAATCATTTCGCTTACCTGCTTTATAGAGACTTCTTCCTGTCCAAATGTTTCGGCCACTACGAAGTCTAAAGAATGTCCCATCGGCCCAAGGAGCTTTTCATTGACTTCTTCAATGGCCATAGGTATTGCACCTGTATACAAATTTAAAGTTTATAATATAAGGATTTTAGATTAAATTTACTATAAAAAATATTTTTGGATGGAAGACGATATTTTCAGAGACATAGTCTTATTATCAACTAGGCTTTCATTGTTTCTTTCATTTCATCATTTCTTGGCTTGGCTTGCCTCAGTTCTACAATTTACAAAACAATTTTGTACTTCTTTGTACTATGTACTATATAAAATTGGGAGAATTGAATCATGTGTGTTACAAGATATCCGGCATTATTAGGCAAGTAATATATTTACAATTAATAAATATAAAATAGTAAAATAAGCAATAAGTAATAAAAATATAAATTAGCTTGATTGCGTAATTAATTTACAACTATAGACACAGATTAGGCACCATTGTTGAAATTTGAACCTTATTCCATTTTTGAAAATGTATCGTAATGAAATTCGCAAACAGGTTACTTTGCAATTACAAGACGTGAAATACTAAACATGTTTAATTTACATTTCGAATGCCAAGTAATGTTTTAATTTATGTTATCAAATTAATTCAATGAGCGTTGTGTTTTAGTGTGTTAAAGTGTTTTATACAGTATTTTAGAAAAAAACATATGTTGACATTTTTAAATTACAGTAACTCTGGTAAAAACATTCCGCGGCTACCACAAAAGTTAATTCCCAATTTGGCGCATTGAGAGCATCCTGTTATTGCGTATGTGGCATTTTTTTAAATCTAAGTGCTAGCTTATTGAAATAACTTTTGAATGGTATATAGAAAGAAAACACTTTTTTACCGGATTGAAGTTAGGTATTATAAACTTATAATTATTTAACATAATGATGAAATATAATACATAACTTCAATCCGGTAAAAAAGTGTTTTCTTTAAGAGTTATGTTAATAAAAGTCAATACTATGGTCTATAGAAAAGATACGCGTATAGCGCTGCTTAGCTTACATGCTAAATATAAGGTAAATGTGCCTTAAATCGGCAAACGGTTATTTATTTATTTACCGCCTGTTTTACAAAGCCTCCTCTCAATTTCACTAATACTTTTCATGTATGTCAGTCATATGTTCCTTTAAAAAACAAAAAAGCAATCCACTGATACATACGTTTGGCATAAAAAAAGGTATTATTTAAATAATGTACCTGAAATGACCCTGCCTGGTCTTGGGTAGTTCATATCTCCAGGCCGTCGCTGTGACCCGGTGATGTAGCCCAACGTGAATGATTCTCCATACGAACGATTTATGGCCAAAGTCAGTAGGCATAAACAGCGAGACTGAAAAAAAAATTCAAGATGAATAGAAATAGGGCAGACAAGAGACAGCTTGCTACAAGAGTGGTTTGTTTGAATACCCATTGGTTGTTGCCAATTAAAAATAAAAATCGGCGAACAACTTATCAATAAATAAACCGGTATTAAATTATTTGCACAGATAACTAATGAACTCAGTAATAAAATACCAACGATACATCCATGAATCGTTTTAAGAATACAGACTTTAAAATTCGAATTTCAAATTGTCAGTTCAACCCTAGACCAATATTTATTTTTCAGTCAAATCGAAGGCGGGTTTATTTTTCGATTCCACCGACTTTCATTTACTTTTCAGACAATGGAAGGTAATAAAACGTGTGGAGAATTGTCGACTCCAAATTGTAATTTTAAAACTAGGATCTTCCGTACACTTGCGACTAACATATTTTCTCCGATATTGCTCATAAAGTACTTTGAAGTGTTGCGAGTGTTTACTTTTTTCCGATCTTCGTTAATGGAATTTGTATAAATCAATCTACACTTGTCTTAAAATAAAAATGTTATGGGTGTCGTTCTAAAAACCGTTTCACTATAATGTACTACATTTAGTTATTAGAATATTTTATAGCATACATTTTTGATATGAGGAATAAGAGGTTTGAAACTGTTTAGAAGGTCATATACATTGTATATCTGTATAGAGCTGAAGAGTTTCCGTCACCATTAATATATACTACTAGCTGATCCGGCAAACGTCGTTTTGCCATGTTTATCATTTATAATAAAAAATTGGGGTTGATCATAGAGGGGTGAAAATTAGGGGTTGTATGTATTTATTAATAATAATATTTTTTTTATTAATCAGACAAATACAGTCCATTGATTGATTAGTGAGTTAGTAACAATAGTTTCTTAAGATCTATGTTTGAGAATTAGTAAAAATAAGGAAAAAGTAGTTAAATAAAAACTATCAGGTACAAAGCCCTGCGGAGATGTCGGAGCAGTGTCGTAAATAGGGGCACTCCATTCTTTCGGCTATCATCCGTAAGATGTTGCTGGAGCTGCCCCGCACCCGGCGCACCAAAGAAGCGCACCGCCCGCGCCCCTGCAAACATTCTTGATGCACTGCAGAAGCGAGGCAGCCCCAGAAACACCCAAAATGCGTTATTATACTGCACCCGAAGCGAGTTGTATGTTTGTCGAGTAAAACTGGCCCATAGGCTGCACGTGTAGAAGTTAGTGCAATATGCTCGGAATAATGTGACTTTTACGTCATGAGAACAAAGGCTCGTAGGTTTGCCAGCATATTTGCTCTCACCGACAACGCTCTTCGTTCTCTCTCTATATCGCCATTATCTTTGAGGTCGGGGAGTAGGACGTGCCCAAGGTATTTAAACTTACTAACTCGCTGTAAAACACAGTTGTTAATAGTAACCGTCGGCACATTTTGTAGTCTCCTCCTCCCTGACTCAAACACCATCACTTGGCTTTTCTTGGCATTATAGATAAGACCATGGGATGCAGCATATTTTTCACAAATAGCTAATAATTTTCTTAACCCGCAGACAGAAGCGCTAAGCAGCACCATGTCATCAGCATAGCTTAAATTGTTAAGGTTAACGCCATCTACGTTACAATGCTGTATAATAAAAAAAATAAAGAATAAAATTTTTATCTAAAATTATAAAAAAAAAATTAGGGGTGGACTTAACATTTAGGGGGATGAAAAATAGATGTTGTCAGTTTCTCAGACATACCCAATGCACACAAAATTTCATGAGAATCGGTCGAGCGGTTTCGGAGGAGTTTAACCACAAACACCGCGACACGAGAATTTTATATATTAGATTAAGCTATTCATTAAGGAATTCCTATCTGAAGCGGTTCCGCAATTTTCAAAGACAAACTTTTAATTTTTCATAGATTTACAGGTTTTGTTTAAACGCATAATTTATGTTACTTTTACCACAAAATAAGAGTATTACGGTAGTTTATTATTTACGGAACCCAAATGTCTTACGATTATTCGTCCAAGTATTACGCAATGACATTAAATGTATGGCAGGCACCGAAACTCGTTTGCAGAACGACAGGTTCACAACTCACGAAGTACATTGTACGGGCTTTTGTTTTGTATTGTGAAATAAGGCATCTCACATTAATATATTCTTGATAAAAAACCAATACAAAAAGTTATCTCAGAAATTATTTTTGTATACTTGTAGCCAACTTCTCAATTAAATTAACACTAATTATAACTAGTCACTTATACTCCGATTTTTCATTCCGTAGAATTCTGACATTTCATTAATGTTGCTACTAAAGAGTTCTACACCGAAAAAGGGACAAATTTGACCCATTTGAAAAAATAAAATGCTACGTATTTGTATGTTTTACCTACAAAAAGGTAAATCTAAATATTTACTAACTCAAGAGACCTAATACAAAAACAACAAATATTTCAATATCACGATCAATTTATCGAATTAACTTAATTTACTTTATTTTATTCTTTAGCTGGCATCACTGCCTACTAAGTCCAGGTTAAGTGAACCTTTTTAATAAAGTGAAATGTTATCTTAACTTGTGCGTTTTTTACTGTTTGTGATGAAAAGGGATGTAATTATCACTCGCCGTTAAACCACTTTAAATGTGAAGCACCGCACTTAATAAAATGGATACATTCACTAACAAATAAAATGAATGTATAGATCCAAATGTTCAGACCCGTATTAAAATTTAAAAAGGTGCCCAGCCAAAAAGGTTTGCCATCTCTGACGTCAAAAAAATGATAGCTGTAAGAATTCCAAGAAATTAAAAATCAGAGTATAAGTACCTAACCTAACTATTCAGGCTTCGCACGCCTGGCCATTTATGTAGCCGTCCAATGGTAAAATATATTTTGAATTAACTTCTGTAGTCATTGAATCGTTTGTACATACACAAATCATTTTATAATACTTAAGGAATAAATATAAAACAGTATCAACTGACCTGTTCATGCTTAAGATATTCTGTGTAGGCAAAAGACAAATTCATCAGATAAATACACTACAATCTGATTTAAAAAAAAAGCTAAATTAATCGGATTGATTGAAAACCAATTAATTTGTTGGTTATCGGGCCTGTTATATTCAGTAGATTGCCTCTAAAGTTATTACTACGTCAAGTACTTTAAATTGTTACTAACATAGTTTTAGCTTCACGCACTCTTGATCTGCAGCGTACTTTTTAAATATTCCTATAAAAATAGGAAAAAGTATTGCAAACAGTAAAAAATTCCATTAATCAAGTACGTATAACATTTAAACACATTGTATGAGACCTTTTAATTATTTTGCAACTTGTTTTGGGGGTCAGAGCTTTGGACGATAAAATAAATTGTTGTCGGAATCGTAAACAAAGCAACGTATAATTAAATGTGATTTAAGTTTTATGTTAATATATCATTGATCCTTAACATAAGCATAAATTACAGTTATAATTTTATTTGAATTAATTTTGGTGTAACTTAAAATGTTTCATACTGGTTTAATAGTTCTCAAAGGCAATGGAGAGAAGTTTACTAAATATAAACATAATTTAGGGTTAGAAATATTATCATTAGGAACACGACATGGATAGAGAACATTACAAAGAGTATTTGAAAGGACAAGTGGAGGTAATATATGGAGCAAAACTATTAGAAGTTGGTATAAAAAAATAGACAAAGGCGGAGACAGTACAAGAGATGGGAAGATGAAATAACTAGTTACAGGCAAATTTGGTCAAGAGTGGTACGAGTAAGGCTATGTTCAGATGGCAAAATTTTGACGCGCGTTTTCAAATCACGCGACTAGAGATTATGGTATTTTCATACAACTGTTCACATGTAACCGCGTCAACGCGCGTTAACGCGCGTCAACGCGGCGCTCAGAGAAAAAGTCTCTAGACGCAGGTGATCGCGCGTTAACGCGCGCTTTGATATTAATGTAATGTCCGTTTGCTGTTCAGATGAGCGCGCGCTTTCATCGCGATCGCATGTAATTTTGTTAATTTTCGTAATTATATTTTGTTCTCGCTTTTAAAATGAGTGAAATTGAAGATATTGACATCGACTTACTAATCGACGAAGTAGAAAAAAGGTCAGCAAGTTGGAATATAGCAAATTTGTATAAAAAATATAATATAATTTGTATTTTTTTTCAAAATTGGATGAACCCAATGTGTACGTTTTCTTTTTCTATATTTTTCTTTATAATATAACCACAAAATAATAGCCTCTTCCACGTCCATTTTCTACGTTCTACCGATCTAGACTGACGAGTACTCTCGCAACGCGCGTTAGCGCTCATCATCTGAACGCTCTTCAAATTTGATCGCGCGTTGACGCGCGTTAACGCGCGTTACATGTGAACATAGCCTGAGGGCAGAATGGAAGTCTGGAGGAGGCTTTTGTCGGGATCGTTAATTTGTTTATTTGTTTTTAATTGTGTGTAAGAAAAATATCCTTGAAATCAGGGCTTTTTTTTATATTTTTTAATACTTTTTTAATGAGCTTTCATGTCCACATACGTAGTTGGTCCCAAAGTTCTGTCACTAGCACATTATTTCTACATTTCGAGCAGGATTTTATAAAAAAATTATTGCATTCTATTTTGGAATGTTTGATTATTGTTTTAAAACAAAAAACAATAACTTTCCGTAATTTTTCACGATGGAGTGGACATTGAAAGTAAACCGAATAGTTGTTATTGCGTTGCACCGCTGTGGACACTCGCCGAGTACCATTTTCAAGTTGCTCAAAAATTTGAATATAACGCTTAGGTTTGTGTACGGTACTATTGATAGGTACCTTGAAGTCTCCAGTGTTGAGGACAAGAAAATAACTGGCTGGCCACGCTCCACAAGAACACCAGCAGTAAGCAAAGCTATCAAGGCGCGGATAGTAAGAAATCCTGTCCGAAAACAGAAGTTGATGGATTTGCAGATGGGTGTCAGTAGGAAAACAGTAAAAAAGGTTTTAAATGAAGATCTTGGTC